GGGTTTCCTTTCTGTGGTTGCATAGCGCAGATTTTAGGTCGGTGCCTGCACGTGCGCCGGCATGTTTTTTTTTTGGTTTGTGCTGGTGCGTGGTGATTCTAGTGCGGAAATGGGCTACACGTCGCTCTAGGCTAGTACATACTTACAAATGTAAGTACTATGAATAGTTAAGTACTTACAGCCTCACCGTAATTTTCTGCTGGTTTCCTTCGCAACTCGAGCATCTTCCTCAATATGAGGATCCTCTGTTGTCCAGATCGAGGCAGCAGAAAGAAAATTTCTTCACTCGTCAGCATTGATTTAGAGGTTGCAGGGGAGTTTGCGTATGCGTTTGTCTAGTTTTGTTTGAATAAAAAAAGAAGCAAGTAGCCCATGCTCATGCTAAGACACAGTCAGCGGCCCTCCTGTCTAATCCTCATTCGAGTGGTCGTGTCGCAGTAAAGACAACAAGCTTGAGGTTGTACAAGAACTACGTAATAATGAGTTGTTTTTCAATAGAGAGGACCGAAGAGGTAGAGGAATCACTCATCTCACGATTACATACCCAATTATCGCCATAAATGGAGCCTCTGAATCACCTGCTGCGAGTTCAAGATCATCACCCTCTTTTTTCGTGGCTGCCCTTCTTCTCTGCTTTTCTTCTGCAAATTTCTGTAGGCGCATAAGAAATTCTTGCTCCCTATCCAGGTCTCAAGATTAGAGCAGAAGGATTATCAACTACAATGGTTTTTTACGTACTCTACACGACCACATTGACCACATTGTGCTTCCCTGCTCGAAGAGAGTGCCAAACTCCACTCTACACGAGTGCAGAGTGTGTACTCTGCTCTACAACTTGGGCCTTTAGAGAAGGATCATAACCTGTACAATTCTGTTTTAGGTGTTACTGCTCAAACTCTACTCTACACGCATGCCTTCTACTTGTACAACTACAACTACAACAGAAAGCACTCGCTTCCATAAAATTCATATTCTTCATCGGCGTCGATGAATTCTTTCTGTGTGTCGACGTATTCCGGATGTTTGCGGAAGAACATGATCAAGTACACAACGCCTACAACGCTCACGGAAAATTCGTGTGGGGATTAGAGATGAAAATTTATTGTGTGCTAGGAAGGAAGGAATTTTAGTTTTGTAAATTTACGGGAAAAATTCACGGAAGGACAACAAGGTCATGCTCATGCGTCGGTAACTGGGTTTCTACTAAGTAAACTAGTAGGGTTATTTGAGTTAGGTCGGTGTCATAATATAGTAGAGGTAGAGCAGCTTTTGCTATTAAAAATGAGTCGGTAGTACCACGTACTGTGATATCATATAACCATCCTCCAGATCAGTCTATCAATCTTCAGCTCTCTTACTATCCAACATAATGTTGTCCCCGCCGTCCTCTAAGGAAGAAATTTTTATCCAGCATAATGTTGTCCCCGCCGTCCTCTAAGGAAGAAATTTTTCTACTATCCAGCATAATGTTGTCCCCGCCGTCCTCTAAGGAAGAAATTTTTCTTTTCCGCCAGGTTGCTCATGGCTGCCCAGGCACCAAACATTCGACCTTCCTCAGCGTCTGCTTCCATCTTCGAGTCAGCATATTTTTGGCCACTCTGTTTGTGTGGATTGGATGGCATACTTTTGGCCCCTCTGTTGGTGTGGATGGTGTGTAGACGACGGTGGTGTTTGGGATTGATCTGGGATCACGAAACTTACTAGTAAATGATGAGAATAAGAAATTCAACATTATTCACGTGAACAATAGAAAGAACTGAGATCGATTATAAACTGACAAACTGGGACTTCCTCTTCACAATTAAAAAAACGATGAAGATCATGACGTACCCTACTTCTTCTAGTGGAGAAGGAAAACAAGAACAACGACAAGCACAACAACTTCTTACCCGAATAATTTCGTCCTTCGTCATTGCCAGTCCTACGTGACTTGGCCAGCGGTCGAGGACGTCTAAGATTTCTTCTGCCGTTGATGCTCCTCGAAAAGAGCTTAAGAAACTCTGTGAGGATTAGAGGAATTTACGACATCACAACTGATTGAGCAAGTTGACGACAACGTCACGTTGAGCAGAAGTAGAATATGATATTAATATCTACTGAAGAATTTCTATCTTATAACATGATGTGTAGTGTATGTGTATCCCAGATACTACAGTACTGTTTCTAAGTACCCGTAGAGATAACAAGTTCTGCATCTCTATCATATTTTTCTTTCGTCATTGATTGAACACTCACTCTATCTCATTTTTTTTTCGTCATCCATAAGTACGGCTGTTAGATCCAAAGCGGTCTGCCTAGGAGGACTACCATCTTGACGAGGTCTAAAAATGATGATGATGATTGTACCTATTCTAGAGGTGTTGGGCTAGTTCTACTTTCTACTTCGTTTTGCACTTCCTGATGTGATTTCTGTAGATCTCAGCCCTTTTTTTCACACCTTAAGTGAATGGACTGCTTCGGTTCGATGTGACTAAGAGTTCATCGAGGAAGGCACAGGTAATAGCATACGACCCACTCCGCAATCGCATTCGCGATGCTATTAGAAGAGGCGCTACGAGGAGGTTCTAGATCGCTCCGCAATCGCATACGCGATGCGCATATAATTAATTGAATAACGTGTTAGAGACGCTATTAACCAATTCAGTTTTAGAACAGTGGCCTTTACTGAATAATGTGAGAGAGAGGTGGATAATTAGCGAGTTAGCTCCTGAATGTTGAGAACGCGATGCTATTAGAAGAGGTCGTACGCTAGGCCCGAAGAATAAAGTTAAAGAGCGATTCCGTCGAAGATGGTACTTCTAGAGCTTTTCTAGGTGTAGATGTATTCGAGAGACGTTGATGCCAAAGAGGTATCGATGTCACACGCACAAGAAGAAGAATAAGTAATTTTTAACTGATATTTCCAGCAGTGGAGCCCTGAATAGAAATTAGTTCTGTTTCTGGTCCTGGTGTAATTCATCTTGCCTTAATAGTAGCGATCGTGCTGCTGGCATACATTCTTCGCGGACGTAGCTCAAACGCCCTTCGGGATTGTCGCTTTGTGCTGTAGAGAGATTTGATGCTTCTTGAGCAGTGTCAGTGTACCTGTACAGTATTCTTCATCAGTGTCAGTGTACCTCTACCTGTACAACAACCATTACAACCTCTAAGCAGGGAATGAAATAGTAGGAGGTACTTTTCAGAACTTCGTAAAAAAAACACCAACTTTATAACCAATGAAAAAAAGGACCGCCACGTATTTGATTGATAGATTTGTGACAAATCTTGTACTGCAATTTTGTAAAAAATAGACAAACCTTGTTTGTGTTGGTCAAGATCATAATCCTGGAAATAGCACGAAGATCAGAAGGATAAAGATCAACGAAATGACCAAGATCGCCAGGCAAAAGGTTACCGGAGCACCATCCAAACGCCCGACGGGTTTACCGTCGCGCGGGTGTCTTCGGCTTCTCCTCTCTCTCTCGTTTGTGGCTCAAGCCTCCCAACACAGTCAAAGACAAAACAACACCGGAAAGGTCTCACATATAACTTACAGACCTAAACGCATATGGTTCCAAAATCAATGATCGACAGGCAGTGGACCTTTAACGTATGCAGATAGCGGAAATGGTGAATGTTCATAGCTGTAATCAGGTTCATAACGTCTTGCCAGTTCTGATCAGTTCAAAGCGCATAAAGAGCTGCCATGAAGGATGATCGTATGAATCAATGACGACAGAACGGGCGTTCTCATATGAAGCACGTGAAAGTCTCCCCATGCGTCATGATATCCCAACGAAGAAGCTGAGACTTCCTCCTTGCAACCCCCATGAATATCCACAGGGATCAAAGCAGCCCGGGGCCGTTAGTCTCAGGCTGTGAGGGCAGTCGTGCAATCTGTATCAAACTCAAGCGCTTCTCACCGAGAAACTAGACGCGGCTTAACAGTGTGTGTTCGAATGGTCCAACAGTTTGTAATAAACTGCAACTTTGGCAAATCTTTCTTGATAAATCTTAATCTTGTGAAATAAACAGTACCACTCCACCAATGAAAGCTTCCCTTGGCGGCAAATTTTTGGACGTAAGCAGGCTCTGCGCCATCAGTCCGTTGGCGCTTGGTCGCGGGCCCATCTGTTTCGTTCTGGACAAAGAGACTGTCTGGATCGTAAGAGGACATTCTTTTTTCAAAGATGAAGATCGGTATCGGGAATTGTATGTTAAATAATACTACTTCTTGCGCTCGTGGGAACAGTATCAGTTAAGAAAATGAAACAAAAATTGTGAAGGAGAAGTTCTCAGGAGTTAGTTTGTTTCCTTCTTTGCCAAACTACTTTTGGTTTTGGACCAGCAATCTGTTACAGTTACTAGAGTCCAATCTTCTGTGTTGCAGTTGCTAGTTGGTTACTACGTATAGGAAGCCTGGTGGTACTCCAACATCGTTAAAGAAGGCGCCTAGAAGAACGATTATCAATGTTAAATGTTTCTCGTGCTCGTCTCCATTTGGATAGGATCCTCTATTTGAGAGGGTTCTTCGTTGTAGCCTTTTACCTTACTTTAAAGTCAGAGAGTCGTGATAACTTGCCGTACTAGAAAGGAGATGATGATCAAAATTCTTTTATATTCATTCTCCATCTTGTCGATGTATTTATTCTAAAGCTGCAGAATTTTCATCTAAATCTAAGTAAGTCATCTTTTCATCTGGGTCTCTTTTCCATTCATCTTGCAATAGTAAATGCTTGTACAGCATTACTAACCCTGTTCTTCAAGTATTTGTACTAAAAGAAGGGCTCCTACGGCTGGACGGCGTCATCTTGGCATAATAGCAAACAAGCACGAAAAAGTGAGGAGCCACGTCTTGGTCTTGCAATATTAGGAAAGAGCACAAGAAATGACGACGAGGACCCAACTTTTACTCTTTTCGACCTCTCAACTCTCCTTGTTCTTTTAGATGTCAACTTGCGGAACGGGAACAAAACCTTGAGGACGACAAGCTTCAAGCTGGTCGTGTACCACCAGACCTTGTCACGTCAGGATGCCTCAATTGGTCGCCAGATCTGAGGACTTGTAGTTTTCTTCTTCACAAGCAAATAAAAAAGAATGCCACGACCCGAAAGAGTAAAAATATCAGCGAGTAAACTCATCGTCATCTCTTCATGTGGAAATTCCTGATGCTGTCATCTTCATGTAGGTTCCGCAGTTTTGCCTGCATTCTCAGGCGAACTTTCCTGATGTAGCGCCACATCTATCTCATGTGGAAATTCCCTGATTCTGAGCACTGCCTGCACGAGAAAGCCCAAGGAAGGAAATGCAAGCCCCCACCACTTCCCCCTTTGCAACTAAGTACGTCTTCCGACGCACTACCTCATGCTAGGTAAGTGAGTGAATGAGTTTCGTGATGACCAACTCAACATCGACATGATCCTCTCGGTAAGGCACAGTATGACTCTATGCTGTTACGTCGAAAAAGATCGAAGAGAAGAACGATGATAGGTGCGCTGCTAAGTGCCTCTTGCTTGATTGAAAACCTCCTAGCAATTTTCAAACAAACAAACCTCCTTTCAATTTGCTTTTAGAAGAAGTTACTTAGTTTTTTAACATTTTTTTTATGTTTACGATTTTTATGAATATTTATTGAATATTAGCCGTGGATGGAAAGATTCTCCTCTTTTAGTTGATACTATTTTTCTCAGCTGATGTAGATCATTTTTAATAGTTCATGTAGATCTTCTTGCCTACAGTCTTGCAGTTCGTTGATGACCTGCGCAAAGAATAACAGCACAACAAATGACTTTTCTTCTCGGGCAGTTGTAAGAGACGAGCGGCCACTTGGTTGTCGTGAGACGAGTGTCTGCTTAAACAACGCACATTATCTAATCCAGACGGCTCAGTAACATTATAGATTTAGACTTCGGGGTCTAGGGCCTAGGGCTCAGGGCTGGCAGAAGTTGTGATGTGGCTATGATTATATCTCTTCAAACTCCCCGGGCCCGGGTGCCCCGGGAGACGTTAAGGAAGGGAAAGGGATACTTTAGGGACGTGGGCAGGGGTGAATGGTTTCACAAGGTGAAACGGGCGCCCGAAGGGCGCGCACTCCCCTCCGCGCTGCGGCAAAGGGGAGCGGGAGCGCGCAGGCTTTAAATACAAGAGGAAGGTGGCAGCACTGCCACCGATTCCCCTTGAAAATGTGGCAGCATGCAAGGCCTTCAGTGTTTACCTGAAGGGCGTCTTAGGGGGTCTCTTAGTGTTTACATTAAAGGCGAGGGGCCCTCTAGTGTTTACATTGCAGGCGCCTTAGGGGTCCTCTGGTGTTCACATTAAAGGGGAAGGGAGTCCTTTAGCATTCCCATTAGTGGCATCTTAGGGGCCCTCTGGTGTTCACATTAGTGCTCGGGTTTTTTCGTAGTAAATAAAATGTCGCTGTTGTGGCTGTCGTTGCTGTTGTTGTTGTTTGTTGCTGTTTGCTGCTGTTTGTTGCTGGTGTTTTGCTTTTGCTGCTGCTGTTTTGTTGCTGCTGTTTTGTCGCTGTTGCTTTGCTGCTGCTGCTTTGTTGTTGTTGCTGCTGTTGTTTTGTTGCTGTCGTTGCTCTTGTTGTTGCTCTTGTTGTTGTTGTTGCTGCTGTTGTTGTTGTCCTTGCTGTCTCTGTTGTTCTTGCTGTTGTTCTTGCTGTTGTTCTTGCTGTTGTTCTTGCTGTTGTTGGTGTTCTTGCTCTTCCTCAAGGCCATCTGCTGCCCACATGGAAGGCCTTCGGTGTTTACTTTAAAGGCGTCTTAGGGGTCCTTTAGTGTTTCCATTAAGGGCGCCTTAGGGGTCCTTTAGTGTTTACATTAAAGGCGCCTTAAGGGTCCTTTAGTGTTCACACTAAAGGGGGGGGAGTCCTTTAGTGTTCACATTAAAGGCGTCTTAGGGGTCCTTTAGTGTTCACATTAAAGGCGAAGAGTGTTCGGGGATTTTTAATAGTATTTAAATAGAGTACTCAATGCACTAACTTCCGGAACAATGATTCTAGTTCTTTTGAAGATGTTGTCAGGTATTTTTACTCGTAAACTACTTCTTCATGTTCTATTACTAGTTGATGTCGTGCATCTGCGACCAATGCCGCAAGAACGAGTCGAATGTGGCGTCTGCTGCGAGGTCAGTGAGGACGAGAGCATGGCAGAATCCATTCCGGTCGTGTTTCATCTCACGCGACTGCTAGGATAGGATAGGAAGTGATTCGCCGTCCACAGTGTGACCTGCATCATCGAGCGAACATGTGCAGCCACAGAAGGACTACCACTGCTCTCCGGCACAGGTTGATACTTCTTCTATCTCTATCATTTATTAACACCCGTTTAGAAGTAGATCAAAGTCACTTCTAGCACCTAGATGAGCACGAAGCTTAGTCTTATCTATGACAAATCTATGGGGATGAAGGGGATGCATTTTTATGGTCCTCTGTTGGTCAAGGACAAATTCTTTCTAGTATGACGATGACGAGTTGCTGTGAATAAATTGTTAAACAGATTTGATGATGATGATGATGATTTATTACGTGCTGAAGATGATCACGACATGATGTATGTTTGTTTGTTATTTGTTTGTTTCGATCCCATCGGATTTCTTTGTATGTATTTAGTAGAAAATAGCGAACGAAGACTGACGACATAATAACGAAGAAATACTTTGATCATGATATTACGTTCTTGCTACGAGAGTCATTGCTTTAAATGTAGTAAATTCTGTGCAGAAAATGAAAAGACATGTCATGTTAAACAACGGATTGTAAGGAGAACCTTGTTTTATAAGCTAGATTGTTCTCTCCTTCACTCTTTGGGTCGTGGTATATGAATGCTGTTGGTGCTGTGAGGAGTATGAGAATGAGTCTTCAGAATAACAAACGATCACTGGTAAATAATAGTCAAGAACTACATATTACAGTATCACAACATATCAGTACTTTTACAGCATCCATGTCGAGATTGATGGAGACTTTCCTCCCCTACTGGTGCACCTTTTTCTTTACGATTTCATTCTACGTGAGCAGCTCGTCTTGAATTTGGTGTAGCACTAGAAGAACCACCTGAGTACAAATTCCCCAATTATGATGACAATCATCATGCTAGTGGTACCATGAAGATAGTACTAATACTACTACAGATGAAGTAGATGATAGGCAAGAATAGCACGGTGAGTGGAAGATACCTTCTCGCCCATCTTTAGCTGATTGATGTGTATGGCAAGTAGTAGTAGATACGCAGTTCTTAACTGGTATCATGGTTGCAGTGCATCCTTTTCCTTCCCGTTCCCATCTCATGGCTCCATAATTTCTGTCATAAGTAGCATCCCTCTCCCCTAAGTAACAACAGTAGTCTCACTTTTTGTTCTCCCCCTTTTTCCCCAATTTAGGTACTCACCTTCACGCTGCTCACGTTGACGAGCACTACAACCACCTCCCCTGATCAACTCCAGCACATACAGTCCCGTGGCAGAATGGTGGCACTGGTAAGTAGTGCGCGGTGCTGAAGAAATGAATCTAGTAGCTGTGATGGTGAACAACAGGAGCAAAAATTACCAAGAACATCGAGCAACATCAAGAAGAGGGATAATAAGTACATGAATAAGAAAAACTTGTTGTAGTAGTTACTTCTCCATGTTGTAGATAGTCCTGCTCGAGTGATGAACACCTCCTCGTCATCTATGCTAGTACAAATTAATAGCCAAAATACAACACCAGGACTTCTACTTCTAACTTAATACTACTTCGACATTGAGCCAATCAGCATCAAGGGAATCGAAAAAACAGGAAATTACGTTCGCCAGTAGAGAGACAACGCCGTTGCAAAAGAACAAACTAATAATAGTCACTCCATGCTCCTGGCTCTTGCTTTTGTATTTTTTTTGGAGGCTATTTCTAGACTTTTTTTGTATTTTTTCACCCCACCTCTTTTTCGAGCTCAGAGCACGTATGTGCCTCATTTATATTTTTTGCAAGGTAGCGTATCCTTCAGCATCGAACGCCTCTAACCACTAAGTGCGAGCTCTGCATCAACAAGAGGGTCTATCTCTATGTCGTGTATGATTCTTTTGGTAATCGGCGAACTGCTTTCGATCTCGAGGCGTCTCTTCTTGCACTTTCCCTTATGATCAAAACCAGGTTACCAAAAAATACCAATAGTACCATACAGAAGCAGAGAAACAATAACAAAGTGCTAATCGTAATAACAAGAAACGAACTGTAGTCAACTTGGTCTCCTTTTCTAACAGTCAAAAAATATATAGGTTTGCGATACTGCGTGTATAGATCTATACCTTTATCCTGGACGTCCCACCACACCCACAACTCTTCGTCCACCCCATATCCTCCCACCTCCCACCTCTTTTCCTCCTCCACCTCTTCTTCCTCTATCCCTTCCTCATCTTCCCCTTCTTCCTCTATCCCTTCCTCCTCCTCCTCCACTCCTTCCTCATCTTCTCCTTCGATTTCTTATTAGAGAGGATACAAGTCATCTTAATCGCAAGTCATCTTGCTTGGGTAGCATCTTCGCTACATTATTTGAGTAGAGATTGCGACACAACTAGCGCACTATTTTGCTACATGATGATCTGCTACTTACATCTACGTCATGGACGTCTTGCGACTTAGACTTCTCGTCGTCTCCCCCTAGTACTCGTACTTCTTGATATAGATATTTATAGTACTTCTAAAGGGTAATCACCTCTATCATATTCTACTCATGAAGATATTATACTTCTCAAGAGTACTAATCAGCTCTATCATATTCTACTCATGAAGATATTATACTTCTCAAGAGTACTAATCACCTCCATCTTATCCAGCTATTCTACTCATGAAAATTATGATTCTTGCAGTCTTTACATCTACTTCACTTAATCAAGGGGATGCCTCGGATTCCGCAGCCTTCACCACCACGTGTTTGGAGCCTCTGAGACGATAGACCGGCTGCTCCTGCTGTTGCTCCTGCTGATCCTGATTCTGATAATTTTTTAGAGACTTCTATCAATCTACTATTCTGAGGATTTAGAGATTATCAATCTATTGAAGTAAAATATTGGTTGGAGGATATCGGTCTATTAGTCAGATAGCCCCGCTAGTAATATTTTTATATGGGTAAGGGGACTATCTGAGAAACGACATAGATTATACTTTGAGGATTTCGAGAGCTGATTGAGAGGTTTTCAATCTACTCGTTTTCATCCTGTTCCTCTTCCTGACTCTGAGGATTTGAGAACAACTATCAATTCTGCGGATTCTATCAGAACGAGACGATAGGATATCAAAGATGCGTTGCGAGATGGAGATCAACCTGATCATAAAGAGTCCTCGCCGACAACGTCCTGCTCCAGAAAAGACGACCCCCCGCTATTAGAATTAGTCGTTCCTCTGCGGGTGAACATCCCTGTCCCAACACTCTTTAACTTGTTCTTGGCGCCATTGTATGGTGTTAGAGTAAAAATAAAGAGTCTCTTCTTGAGAAGGGAGTTGTGCCAAATGCAAGTGATTGACTGCCACTAACTTCTTGACTCCCGGCGTCACTGACTTGTTTCTTCAGTGTCATCACTATCCAAGTCGCCTACTAGTGCTAGTGGTGGCATTTTCTGTTAGTGTGTGTTAGTTTACGGCATTCCGCAAATCAAAAAAAAATGCGGAGTAGTTATAAGATCTTTCCGCCGTAACATCGATCCAATCTTGGCCTTGGCCGCTTCTTGCAGCCATTTCCTTTTATGGCTGCCCAGGTTGTCGACCTTATCGCTCAGGGCCGTGACCATCTCGCCCAGGGTCACGAGCCCATCCGCAAGAGCTTGCACATTAGCGGCGGCTGGTGTGGGTTCAGCGGCCAGAGGTTCGATGGCTTTTATATTGGTGTCTATCCATTTTTGTCGAGCAGCTGCTACTCTTTGTGCAGGAGTTTGCTGCCCCTCCCCGCCCTTCGCTGCTCCTCCAGCAGCACTACTACCATCTTCATCAGTATCATCAACAGCGAGGACCAGGATTTTGTTGTGCTGATAAAAGGCGCACAAAGCTGCGACGCGCATCACCGAAAAGCGAGGCATTTTGCTGACTATCAGTATTGAGTGTGTGTGTCTACGTGCCGTGACTCTACGAGTGACGTGTCTTGTTTCGTGTTGTTCGACAGACAATGATGCTAAATAGAAGTTCTCCTGCCGTTGTGGTCTCTTCTCTTTTTCTAAGGGGTTCGGGTGGTTCGTGTTCAAATCAGATTATCGTGGAGAAGTTATTCCTTTTCGTGTAGAAGCTATTCCTTTTATTTGTTCTTCGACTAGAAGAAGAAGATGAAGAGGAGTCTTTAACATTTCCTATTATTTTTGGATTTTGAATGATTTAGAATTTTATTGTAGTAAAGAAGATAGAAGATGGTGTCACGGTCGTCTTGGTATAGTCATCAAGCATAAAATGACGATCGAGTGAGTGAATGAATGAATGTACCCACTCCAGGGGGAGAAAAGATGCGCAGAGATGATGACTCATGTTACAACAATGTCGAGCAAAAACCTATACAACGATCTTCGACCAACGCCTGCTCTTTCTCCTCTTCAACTCAGACAGAATTTCCTCGCTCTACTTCTCAATAGACAGAACTTTACCATTCGGATTCTCTCACATCAGCCACTATAATCATAGGATAGATGACTGCTCACTCGTTTTGTAACGAATCCACTTCAGTGATTCACGATGCATGTTGAGGTATTCACTCGTTGTTAAATAAGAAGTTGCAATAAATAAAAGAGCATAATAGACTACTCTCGTTCTCTCCCTCCCGAACGGTGCAATGATTTGAAATGAACACATGACAATGACGACAGAGCAAGATTTTCCGGAACAACGCGGAAGGACTTTCCAGCAAGAATACCTACGAGGACACGAAATAAAAATGTGAAGATCTTCCTACCTCTTGGCGTGACAAGCAGCAAGAAATAAACCATTCTTGGACGCTGACCATCTTTTAAGAGTCTTCTTGTCGACGTCTGGAGGAAAGATGCTGATCATCCCCTAGTCTTGTCGACCACGTGGTCCGGAGAAAAATCTGAAAAATCCATTTGTCATGATGTGTTGGCAAGAATGTGAGATTTTGTCCTTTCCTTTGGATAAATCGCAGACCAAGGATGTGGATTGGATAAAGAATGTGGATTGGATAAAGAATATGGACTGGAGTTTTGAGAAAGCAACTCTTGAGAGTCCCATCATGATAGTCAACATATTACTTCTTCTAGCTGCCTGTAAGAAGAGAACCGTCCTCGTGTTTCACTGACTAGTAGCCCTTAAAAAAGCACGTCTTCGTCTTCCACTAACCGACGTAACCCTAGTACTACGGATACGATTACAGTACCAAGGATAATCAATATCCTTGCGGTTACAACAAAGAACCGTCGTGTTCAACTGACAACAAGTTATAGCCCTTAAAAAAGCATGTCCAAGTTGAACTCGTCCACTAGGTAGTACGTTGTGCAAGCAACTTTCTAAAAACTCTATTAATTCAGCACCATAAAAAAATATCCCACGACGACCTGGCATTCCAGTCCAATCTGCTTGCCATTCCTGTTCATCCGCTGAGCGTCAAATCTGCTTGCCACTCCTCTAGCCGTCAAATCCTTGCCATCCTGCTAATAGAAAGAGTGGGAAATAGGTCTTCTTCTCGATCTGGGAACACCAATTCCACGCGCTCGTTAGCCGGCCGTCAATACACGAACCGCCGTTGTCTTAGATTTTTGCGATCAAATTAATAAGGACCACAAGGACACTAGAGCTAGTAAGTTGTACAAGCGCTTTCTTTTTCCCACCTTTGCTTTCGTCCAGCACTAGAAATAATTCATTCAGTGATAGCCAAAACCACCTGGGAAGAAGCCTCTGAGGAAGTACTTCTACAACTGGGCGTGCTTCTACAACTTTATGTGCAACAGGTTAGGTTAGCACTAGCAGGCTAGGTTAGCAGGTTAGGTTAGCAGGTTAGGTTAGCAGGTTAGGTTAGCAGGTTAGGTTACTTACCTTCGGTTATGGATCCTGCACAGGAAAAACAAGAGCCATCAAGGATCATGGCTACATGATGTTAAAGACTACATTGCCCCGCCTCCACTAAGAACTAGTATATTGCAAGAAGGGATACTAGCATAAAGGTAGAAAGAGGAAAACATGCTGGCTGTCTAAGTCTATTAATTTAAGATTAAGTGCTTCCTTATTTATTATTATAGAACTGTAGTATAATTTATACTAACAACGAACTTTTGTAATTATGCCCCTTTATTTGTGATACAACTAGCCTTAATCGTCACCGGAGCCGTCGAATCCATGGCGAAAAAAGTCCCTCAATATCACCCTTTGCGCCTCCTCAGCACCACCGAATTGCTGGATGAATTCACGCAGTTTCTCAGACTCCTTTTCGAGACAGGGCAGCCGCTCGATTACCTTCACTATTGGGAACCTTAGAGAGTCATCTTCATAGAGGTTGGTGGAGGAGGTAAAAGAAAAGTTTTGCTGCACTAGACTACGTTCCCTCGAAGAAAAGGTGCGTAGTAGATGAAGAGGCTTGTACCTGCGAAGAGCTTCGAAGTAGGACAAGAGAATCTGAATTGTGGCTAGAAAAGATGGCCACTTGGTAGATGTCTAGAAAAAATAATAACATGTTTTTAGTAAGTAGACGAGGACTGTTCAGGATTGATTTAGGGGGTGCCCCCGCCTCCGCCCTGCACATTAAGCTCAACAGATACAGTGTGACTCCTTAAAGCCAATATCCTTGGGACTTGGGTATACTTGTCGATAAACACCAGTGCATTCGGAACATCTCGGTCACCTGTTGTTTGGCGGATAAGATTTTCAGGGTGGGTGGTTTATATTCAGATGAACTTCAAGTTAGTTCTTTTCAGTATGGGAATCAATGGGTCGTTGTCTTCAACAAGTTGAAGTAGTTGTACTCTAGACTTCGGAAGATGTTGAGTACTACTAGATCTTTCTAGACTAGGAAGATGTGTAATACTAGAATCTAGTAGACAATTACGCAACATCTAAGATGATATACAACGTCTGGAACAAACTAGATGAAAGAGAAATACCTAGATGCACCACGCTAAGACCGACCCACTGTTGCCCCTTTGCCGCGCATTCGCTTTGCGTTTGATGTAAGATCTTCTTCATGACCTTGCTCACCATGGGTGCGCCTTGCATGCGGTTGAGGCCGTGTCTTAGAGAAGGTACTAAATACGATTAATAAGACCCTGATTTCGAGAATAGTGATCGGATCAAGAGGTAACGACAACGAGCAGGCACAGACAAGAGGTAGATGAGCCCATCTAAGTAGATTACCCGTAACAACTGTCCTGTATATTATGCATCTGTAATCCTATACGACTTCTCATTGATATTAATACATCATTACAACAACCCTTAACGTTGATAGGATAGGATAGGAGTGGGCTCACTTATGACGCAGTGAGCGTATAAACCACTTTTCTATGTTCGCTTTTGGCATAGTGTTGCTGCTCCATACCCTTAACGTTGAAATCAAGAACAAGAAGAATATAATAAAACATCATTTTTATCCCTAACTGTCCGGTGTCTGTCAGCCTGTACCGCTCGTTGAGCATATCGTTCTCCGCCTCGTGCCATAGCACAATCATATCCCGCATGATGTTTTTCCACAGTGTTAAACTCTGCGACACAAATAAATAATGCTGGTTGTGACGAGGTTAGAGGAAAGAGACATTGAACAGATATTGGTTAGTACATGTACTTGAGTATCAAAATAAAACTGTACAACATGTAGATGTGCTTGTATTGTACAACATGTAGATGTACCTACATGTACTTGAGTATCAAAATAAAACTGCATAAAAGAGATGCAATTTTTCAGGCTGATGTTGTACAAGAACATGTTGTACTTCTTCTACTTGATAAATTTGAGTACAGCTGCATCTAGAAGAGTTTGAGTTTTTTCTTCCCACCACATGATGATCATGAAAGGACTAGACGCCGATTACTCAGAAGACTAATCGGCTATCGTCCCGGCTATTAATTCTATAAAGGAAAGTAAATATTCTTAATCTTCCCATCAGCATGAGCATCTTCATTCCGTTACAACTTAGGTTATAACTACTACAAGCAAGAACTGCATCATAATTATGCGTCAAACAACTGCCCGCTTGGCCACTACGGATGGACAAATCCTGTTCTAAATGTTTTGGTCCGGTCTTGCTGAAGCTAAAGAACTTCTCTAACAGCGCGATCATCTTCTCGACAGGGCGAACCGTTGAGGCTGTATGGGCGTAGTTGTCTTGCAACGATTTCAGGATCGTCTCCACTTCCACTCTTGCATTAGTAGTAGCAGTAGTAGTGTACCCAATCGTGGGGTATGTAAGGTTTTTAATTATGTTTGTTGCACTTCTTTTTAATATTTGTGGTGGAGCCGACCTAATTAGAAAACAGGATTATAACTACTCCTGCCCCCCGTGGGTTCTTACCAATCATGTAGAATCTATCTAGTAAAACTAAATCTAGCCAAGAAGATGTTGAAAGTTCTCACTTAAGCTTAACAGTTCTCACACTCACTATTGTAGGCTGTAAGACGTATTTTTACAACTAATTAAGCTATCATCTCGTCCAGCATAAGAGTCATCCTTTCTATTGTAACAAATGTAGTATTACAATTTTTACTAATCAACTCATCTACTCATCCATAACAGTCATCCTTTCTCTTGGCTGCGGAGGTCCGTCCTCCTTGCCCTCATCGGCAAACTCTTTCAGTAAATCTCCTACCGAAGGGCCTGACCCAGTAGGACAAGGACGGCGACCATACCTGTTGAGCAGGTCGTGTTATTGAAGAGAATCGAGGTGTAAACATTTCAGCACTTGCGAAATAATGTATTTCAGAGAAACGACTGGAAAACAATGAATTGATATCAAAAAAAAAACCCCCAGCTGCACTAGAATGATTAATCTTAAACGAAGACCACGAATTTAAGTCCAATACTTTCGTTTTATCTCAGCGACCACTAAATGATCTAAATGAATCACTAGATGATCTAAATGAATCCAAATGATCTTCCAGCATTTATAAGTACTCTATCATATAGTACTTTCGTTTTATTTCAGCCACTGCATCTTCTTTTCTTTTGACTAACGCTTGGATTTCCTCCCTCGTCTTCCCATCGCCGTCTATCTCCAATATCGCCGCCTCCAGGAGTGGCTCTTTCAGAAACGCTTCCGCGTCATCTCGGTGCTTGGAGATCAAGAATTCGTACACCTTTTTTTTTTTGAAAACAAAGTGAGAAGTAAGTATCAGTGCAACTCTAACTGTACAATTCAAGCTAGAAGAGGTTGCTCGGTGAATTTCGGAAAGAATCAAGTATATTCTGACTCAGCTGGTATCAGCGTCAGCGATATTGATATTCTGACTCAGCTGGCAGTGCAACGTCACAATTCCATTATTACCGTAAGAACTTTTCCACTCGCCGGATTGAAGCCTAGATTTTTCGCAATTTCTGGCCTATTATTAGAGCTATACGCTTACCTCAGTACGGGATCCGGTACTACCAGAGGACTCCCCTGTTTTCCCTTAGTTTTCCCCTGTCATGTGACACTCTCAGTGACCCCTGCTTTCCTTTCATCTCAGTAACGCCAGTCTAAGCGATTTGATTTCGAACTTCAGCTACTCTTCGTCGGTCTCTAGTAGTCTAGTTATAATTAGGTAGTCTAGTACTAACTTTAACGTGGAGAAGTACTTAGGGTTCTTTGTACTACAACTGCGTGCAGTAGTCTACGATCATTAGGCTATGCTAGTTTTATAGTAGGTTATATCAGGACGGTTTTTTTATTAGGTCGTTTTACTCGGTTTTATTACTTAGTAGTCTAGTTAGTAGAAGATATTTTCATTACGTTTTATCTTACTTAAGATAAAGCCTTAATGTTGGCGTCCATGAGCATCCACATCATTTTCCCGTAGGTACTGCGCATCATGTTAGGATTGATTATCTTCGCTCTTCTCCCCAGTTCGAAAACTCGTCGATAAACGTTTTCGTTTCGGTATGAAGAGGTAATCGTGGGGTAAGGGTTGTAGGGGGCCGATGTGAGGGAGGACTATTATGTTGTTCTTGCATTTAGGAACGGAGGTTGTTCGATATGAGGTACTATTATGTTGTTCTTGCATTTAGGAAAGGAGAATCAACAGGGTCATGAGAAGTAGAGACAGTGAGAAGTAGAGACAGGGAGGAGAGATAAAAGTATCAAGAACTGCTCTTGGTAGTGGGCGGGAGCTAGGAATAGTGGAGATAGAAATGGAAATCCGCTGTAGATAATGATAATACCGATGGACGCAGCAGCTCCAGATAATACCAATGACGATGATGATGATTGTACCTAACCTTGACGTGTTGTTATACTACTTCAGAGCCTTCCTTTGCACTTTTTCATGTGCGGAAGGGAACCAGTTATCCTAAGATACAAACTTAGTTGTATCCTCTTCATACTTGTATCAGGTTTTCGGAGGACATCAGTGTGCTTTTTGCCCTCTCGTAGCTGTGCGATACGATCATTCCTGCTATAATATTACACAACCGCAGGATTTCAGAGTGAATCATGTCTAGCTTACTCCTCGCCAAACCTAGCACGTCTATTTTGTCGGTATACCTGGTGCATTTTTGGAGGATCTAATCCAAATTACTCTTCTGGCCTTACTAGATGAACATGAATTACAATGAAAGGATACAACATAATTAATTGTGGTAAGCACCACGATGAAGACGAAGAGTAGAAGGAGTTGTAAATTTCGATAGTCGAAGATGCAGCCGGATGAGTAGTTCCTGTGCTACATTTTTTAGATAGTCAGTCGTGGTGATCGTAATCAACATGCCTCGAAATAAGTACTCCGACACTTGTAAGGCGCATTCGAGGATTTTCCATGTCTGTCGCTCTCCGTCGTTCATCCTCAAAGGAGCTTGCTTGCAGACGCCCACAAGCCGTCTCGCGAAGTCCGTTATTACATTGTCTTCTAACTGCTCAACTGAAAAAAAGTTCGATCATCCAGACATTGAAGGTCAGGCTATGGTAAATATTAGAAGGCTAGGCTATAGCCTATATACTCATAATTCATCACTTCTCAACAAGATAAACTGCAGAAAAAGTGTAAGTTTGTTGGAGTTGGGAATGACTCAAAAAGTTGAAGCAACTTCATTCTCCTCCTCAATTTTCTGATTCTGCCAATTAAAAAGTTCAAGTACCTTTATCCTCCTCAATTTTCTGATTTTGCCAATTCCTTTCCTTTTCTAAGACCATAGCCATATGGTGGCACTCCCTCGCCACTGCTTTCTGATCTGTGAGCTTTAGTAACACCTCCACTTTAGAGGAAGTGTCGTGAGCAGGGAGAGAAGCATGAGGGTACTATTAAGGGAAAATAAGCTGTGGTGAAAGGAATAATAAGCTGTGGTGAAGTAGTGGCAGGAGTAGTGAATACTCAACACGCCGCCCAGTTAGAACGATATTACTGGGTGACTTTGGTCTTCCTACCATTTAGATACCAACCTCTTTTAGATACAGGGAGGGAAGACTGCAGCAGTGCCATAACAATCAAATCTTGTCTTGTCACTCCTTCTTCTGTAAGGAGGTGATCTTCGTCTGCGTCTAAGACTTCATGCAGCGTCCGTGAGGACGACGCAGCAGATGTCGTGCCAACCTTCATGTTGTTTGTCGTGCAACTCTACTTGGTTCTGTTCCTCTTGAAACCTGTTGTTCTCTTGTTCCTCTTGTTCTTTTCTTGTGCGTATAGAAGCAGCTGAAAAATAAATGGACCGATGTTCAACTGCAAAATCAACAAGGACTACTTGGCGATTTGTCCGCGCCAAACGTGTGCTTCTTTGCACAGGGCGTTGTTTTCTTGTTTCAGTGGGAGGTCGATTCTAGTAGATTCTAGTAGTACACCAGGTCTTCTTCTAGTAGTGTAGCAGTAGAAGTCTAGTAGTACGGTAGAAGTAGCAGTTGTAGTAGCAGAAGAAGTCCTCTTCTAGTAGTGTAGCTCGCTGTAGAAGTCTAATAGTACGGTAGAAGTAGCACTAGCAGTTGTAGTAGCAGCAGAAGTCCTCTTCTAGTCGTGTCTTCTTCTCTTGTTACTACTTTGCTGTTCACGACCGAGTAGTGAGCGAGGTTGATTATGTCCACTCGTAGGACAACTAGAAGTTTCTTAGGGACTTGACGCTCTTCGCTATTGTTGTACTTCTAGTAGCTGGTGTAGCACGACTCGTACTGCTCGTTGCGTCTACTTAGGTGCACACCAAATGGGACAGGTTCTAACGGATCCGTCAAGCCCGAATCAACCGAACACGGATTGTTCACATGCACGTAGCAGCAGAAGGACTCGTCTTGGTCTTCGCAGACTACAACAAGGTCATTTTCATGTTCATCGTTAGTCTTACTAATGCATGGTTCAAAAAGGTATTAAGAAGTAGTCACAATCACAAGGACTGACAAGAACGAAAAAAAAAAAAGACGTGCGAAGAAAATGTTATAAACAGGAGACAAAAATTGAATGCACGACAATATCTTCTTCAACTAACAAACAGAGTCAGAGAAAAATATGCTATACCCTCTACCTGTCGTGATGTAGGTATTTCGAAGCCTTTTGAATTTGTTCTACGAAAATGCTGACTGCACGACACACTCGCACGCATGAAGAGGAGGACCAAAAACTAATGCTAACCATCTCCTCAATGTCAATCGCGCTTGCTCCATCTCATTCTTCTACTGTGCTCGTACCAGTAGAACCCATCATAGTAGATCCATAACCACGTTTGCTCATTCAGAAGATTCTTCGTGGAACATCCAACTCAAAAAAAATTTTAGACATCGTCATTAATCCAATTCGTCTGAAACCACGGAACTGGGGAAGACCTCTGTCGCGCCTCCTATAGCGATTGACGGGAAAAGCTTGTCTGAAGGTACTTAACGGTCAGAATGCCACCCATGGCCTGTAGTCGAAGAAGACAGTTGCGGGGTAGAAGAAGGGTGAGCGCCACGGAAGGGATTCCTCTTCTTTGCCTTCATTTATGTTGATTTTTTTTTTAGATTCTTTTTTGTTGTTTGGACTTTCTTTTGAATGTGTTCTGAATGCGTTCATTTCAGTCCTGTAGGATTTCCAATCCTAAGTGTATATGGCACCCAGCACTCACCATCTTGAGCAACTATGCGCTACTTTTATCTATATTCTAAGTAGAGGCCTTATCTACGCTACGCTTCTCCCCATTACCGGGCGCTCCAACGACTTCAGGTAGTCTAAAGTAAACATCTGAACGGCCCAAGGCTTACCTGGTGTCAGCGAGTGTTGTTGGAGAGATAGAGAAAGTAGGAAGTAGGTCATCTTGCCTGCGCGGCTTGATTTCATGTTAAACTTACCGCTTTGCTCCTGAAGCAACGATGATATAGCTCCGTTAAAATACATCGCAAGACCGATTCGTGGTCCTGTCCAAGAGTAGACGAAAAGAGGCTACTTACACACATCTAGTCTGCAGCCCCTTCTAGCAAGCACCCAGTTCACGCAGCTTGTCCATTCTCAATCTCACCACGCCACCTCCATCTATTTTATCTCTGTTTGTTCTTTTTTTACACCTATTTTTCAATTCCTCTCGCTAGCCAATGTTGGTGAAGCTCTTCCTTTCACGCACTCTGTTCGCATATTTCGTCACCTTCGTCTTGTTCTAATATCAACACACGCCTGAACTGGTTAGGATCGTGATACTTACAAGCTCAGGCTCAGGGCCTTGTAATTATTATAAAATGAGATTTATTGTTATGGTCCATTTCGGTAATGCCTCCCTCCATCCTAGGCCCATTGCCACGTTTTGATCTTAAAGAAAAAACTCATCAACTGTACCTAAGAATATGAGGACTATGACATCGACTAGCCGAGTTGTGTAGCTCATTTTTCGTCTCCTTCAACCGCCACAACGTGCAACTGGTCAGCCCCGAAAACATCTTTCCAAAAGTCAAGATAAGAATCTCCTACTTCATCACGTTCAACATCGTCTTTATTTTCTTCTTGCTTTTCTTGTGGCCCGTCCGACCATTCAGGCCAGTATTTCTCGCTGCACAGCAACCTTGCCCAATGTCCGTCCGCGTCGGGCTTCGCAATCTTCAAAGCCCGGTTCTCGACTTTTGTGCGAATGATCTCCACTTCCTTCCCCGTTTTGCGGTCCACCACTGTCCGTCGGACGCGCATCTTCTTCGCGTGCACGCCGTGCCGCAACCAGAGAGGAATCATGGAAGTGTCCGTCCAGTCGATGCCGAATTTTTCGAGCAGCAGCCGCTTCATCTCGGGGCCACGCTTGTTAACGATCGCCGAAGGGCCGAGCGCCCACCGCGCGTACGAGGAAAGCGCGTTGCGCTCGGAGTCCATCGTGCTGCGCCACAGCTGGTGGTTCACCATCTCCATGATCGCAAAGGAATACACCTCTTCCGCCGTTAATAGAGGACTTCTCGAGGATACAACACGATCGCTCGGATCGAATTTCTTCGACGTAATCTCCACCTGGCCACGACTTTCATCATCTTCAAGCAGTTGTTCTAGGTCTTCTTCAGCCTTGGCCTTCGCCAGAATGTCGGGATGGAAAACGAGGACGCGCGCATCGAAGTGCGCATGGCCACCCTCAATTTTCGCGAGTATTTGCTCTTTGTACTGTTCGCTACGTCCAGGATCCTCTCGGAGCAGTCTGGAGAAATGGAAGTTGAACCGTGTAGAGCAAAAGCCGGCCATCAACGTGCACATCTTCATGGCCCTGCCATTGAAAGGGTGCGGTCCACGGCGAACTTCACTCTCATGCTCATCATCTTTACTCTCATCATGATCTACTGGAGGAACTGTACTAGTAGAGGCAGAAGTGGCAGCACCCTGGTCATCTTTCTCTGCGTCCTCCACTTGGTCTTCCTCCTCTCCTCCAGCCTGCTTCATCTTCCTCTCCAGAGGCAATTCCCGTTGGCGATCGAAGATCAGAGTGATTTCGTCACTGTGAGTGTAACCCGACGCAGCTTTAAACTCAGTCACCAAGTCGTTCATGACCAGCACCATCACCTTCACGAAAGCAAGGTCGAACGGGCCGAGCGCGTATCTCCTGGTGCCGTTTTTGTTCTCTTTGCAGCTGCTCTCACCATCGCGACAAGATGAAGAAGATGAAGAGTCCGCCAGGAGCTGCGTAAGAGCACGTCTTCTATTTTTTAGTACTTCTTTTTCGCCTTGCTGCACATCAAGCAAGTGCTGCTCTTGTCCAACAGCCGTCGGCTTCGGCTCCTGCAGCAGGCCCCGGCAGAATTTCGAGAACGAGTGGCCATCCAGTCGCACAATGAAGGGCGTGTGGCATGACACTTGCCGCGGCCATTCCCGTTCGTAAAGTTTCATACGTTGCTCAAGCGACATTTTCGAAGAGCTTTTGGTCAGCAACTCAGCTGCCAAGTGGTTGCGCAATCTCCTCTGGCTCTCGTCCTCTGCGTCATGGCCCCGGACGCTAGAAAATGCAGAAGAGGTGGAGGCAGCCATTTTGCTGTTGATCATTCTATACAATACAATACAATCAATCTCGCTTTTTTTTTTTTTTTGTAGTGCGAGCGAGTTCCGACACATCAAAACTTACCTGCATGTTTTGCGAGCGAGTTCCGATAAATCAAATCCTACCTGCGTATTTTCCGCGTAGCTACCGGCGTAGGGGGGAGTTCTTAATCTCCTTAACAACTACGCTACTGCCCCTACGATTCCAAAATGGTCAAGCCTAGGAGCAAAGGCAGGGATAATTACACACCTAGTACCTGCCACCCGGGGCGTTGCCCGTCTCACCTTCACGCGCCTATGTTGAATGCTACGTTTGGGCGGCGGAGCGCTGTCCGCTTAATCAAATCAAATATTTACACAATGGCCCTAGGTGGAGCTGCGCGGCAACTGGTTGCTGATGCGAACTAGAGGAATGTTTTTCACTAAGTAAGAACATGCGCGTTGATTAGATTGGTGAAGGAACTCTACGCGCTACTAGTGGCTTAAGATTTTCCTTCATCTTCATGCGTCATTTTCTTCTTGTGGCCGGCTCCTCCCGCTATGCAGCCAATGAGAGAAAAAAACAAAAAGCAAAAAATTGGAGGGCTGACTCCGACCAAAGGGGCTACCTTATGCCTGATAGCCACAACCGGGCGGGAGATAAAAAAATCGGTGAGGGAGAGCGATGGGACGCTCTCCCCCTTTCAATTACTCGAAAATAAGCTCACTCAGTAATAGAAGAACGCTCACACATTTTGAGCGAATGAGAAATGCAGTCAACACTCGACAGACAAAGGGAACCACTCGCGCGAGCCTTAGACGATGATAGCCTTTGCATAACTGAGATGCGGCGTACACCAGTCGAAGGTCACTCAAACTCTCAACAGAATTTTTTTTTCAGTATCGCACAAAGTTCAGTGCAGACTACCTTAAGTTTATTTTATTAGTGGGTTGGCTGTTTGTGGTGTGTTATTTATCGCGAGACCGGCGGACGGTACGACGATAAAAAAGTTCAGTGCAGACTGCTACTTAGATACTAATTATCCTAAAACAAACGATCATGGACTAGCTAGCAGAACAACGAACGGGATTCTGCTAATTTTTACAGAATAAAATCGATATCCAAAATGTGTCAAAGGTGATATGGCTACTTTTCAAACTTCAACGATACGCTTCACAAATCTGCGATGGATAATTGTCGTGATGAACATGGCCACCATTACATTTTTCCGATGATCGACATGATAGATAAAAACAGAAATCAACAACTAACAAAAGAACGAATAAATCACAAATTTAGCAAAAAAACTAAGTCTTCTCATCAAAAGTGCATTTTTCCAAGATCCTATAGCTTGAGGAACGTGAACCCTGTGGATCGGAACATATTTGAGAACCAAACTCTTGTTGAGTCATTAATCTTTTTCATTATCACTGGCACAAATGAAAATGTAGAAGTAGTCTTTTTCCATGATCAGAATTAGCACCTCTTGTTCGTCGATCCTTCTCTATGTTGAGTATGATGTTGCTGATGCTGATGTTGAACATACTATCAAATATTATATCGTTCGTGGAATAATTTGCTTGAAGGGATACATCTACGAGATGGAGGGAAAACTAACCGGTTGCTTTACTTATGCGCTTTGCGCGTCGCTGGACCTAAACCCTAAGCTAACCTCATAAAGAGGACAGAGCCAACTTAGATTTGCAGCACACCTCTGAGAAAAGGGGAAAAGACTTAGCAGTATCCTGATATGGGAAGTAGAGGTTACTTATTTATTGCCAGATGGAGTTTTTTGGTTATAGTTGCTTAATACAGTTAAGCCACTTACAAAACTCATGGACTGCCCCTCCTACATTTGGAAAGTTGACTCTTACCTCGTCAGAATTTGCAGGACAGAAGCAGATTTTCTACTTATCACTCAAGCCAAAGCTAGGCACCTCAACAAGGAAAACGCGCAGGCACAAGCAACACAGAGACTCGACACGGACAGAGACAGAGCACAAGAAAGGAAGCATGGGATTCCACATCGAGTGCAGCGTTCGCTAGATGATCACCCAAGGTTTTATGCCTTTCCGTCATGTTTCCTGATTTTCGAAATCAGATTTTCTTGTTCTTGGAATAATAAATTGTAGTTCTCTATTTTCTCATCAATTCTTTTATTAATCCGATACTAGTTTTCTCAACATCAATGCTTATTGCCAATCACTTCTCGTAATCTTCCATCTTCAACAGCACTTGTTGAAGTTAGAAAACTACTTACGTGATCCACCTCGGAAGTGATGTTACCAAAGCCAATACCTCTATGATAATCAGTTGTTATATGTGCCGATCTAATATTTCTGCATTCTCCTTTCCGCATATCCAATAAAAACATAGAAGAATCATTAACTTCTAGTACGTCAAGTTGTCGATACTTACACTACCTTATTTTTTCAATTTCACGATGAATCTCCATCCCGTTCAAGAATCAGATTCTTCGCGCTCAGCATTATCAAATATTAAAAATATCCGGTTGCTTTCTTCCTGTTCATCCACCTTTGAATTTATCAGGCTTTAGTATAGGGAAGAACAAGAAGAGGAAGAGTGTGATTGTTCATTTATGAATAGTTTTTCTTGGTTGTAGCACACTGCGATGATGACCATCTTCTCTGTCTATGCGCATGTGATGATGTCTGATGCCAACCACATCAGCTTATGTCCAAGAACAAGGATGATGTTGAGGATAATCTTCTATTAACTACAACTACAACAACTACGACTACAATGTCAACTACACAAATAAATGTCACAGTAACTACAGCAACCAAAATCATCTATATTGCTTCACTAATTAATCTGGTCGAGGACAACTCTGCAGAAGTCCCTAACATGGTATTGATATTCTTCAAACACGTACTCCTGCACCCAACGAGTCCAATTATTTCCACTGGTGCAGCAAAGACAAATTTTGAACGACGATAGGTTGATGTTGTATCTCTATACATAGCGACAACAGGAACCTTCCAGCGTATCTCTCCAACACTGCTTTTTCTTCCACTTACATAGCCATCATCTTGGCGACGTAAGGGACCGGGAAGTACAGGAAATCCGTGGCATAGCCGAGAGCGCGACCATGTTGCGGCGCATCTCCATGGACCGGCAAACCGAAGGACGGCATAGAGATCGATGGCATCGACGGCATGGTGATCATCGGAGCAGCGGGTGCAGTCGGTAACTCAGGCATAGCAGGCATCTCAACCGGAATCTTGTCGATGTACCTGTCATTTGCGATGTAACAAGGTATCCATCGACTAGAATGTATCAATGATGTCTGTGGGTGTTACGAAATAGGACGAGTGAGGTACTATCCATCCTCGACTAGAATGTATCAATGATGTCGAAATATAATAGCATGCTCACCTTGAGGTAACGATGGAACTACTCTAAGTAAGACAAGCGAACTATGTCCAAATAGTACCCAGACACCGCTTCTGGTCCCATCAAGAAGGCTACACCAGCGAGAGTGAAGAGGAGAATGGCGAACATAAAAGCGGTATCAGCGAAGGAGTCACGCGCAATGTAACTGCCTCGGCTGTTGGTGCTGCTGCGAGTATCCGCGTAATCACCGAAGAAGAGACGACGTGCGAATTAGAGATGTTGCCATTGGGATTGGCATTGGGAGGTGGATTTTTGGGATTGGGAGGTGGATTTTTGGGATTATGAGAATCTTGATTCATCCTCCACCCAATCATATCATTACAAGATCAACGCTATGTACTGCAACTGTTCCACTTAGCACAAGAAGAGTAAACTGCGCAGTTGGCTTAGTGGTTTAGGCGTTGACCTGGTGTACACTTGTTATCAACAATTACAAAACTTCAACATAAAAGAAACCTCCCGGACGCTTCCACATGGGTCCGTGTTCGATTTCGATCTCCTCATTCTTCTTTAAATGCTCGTAGTAGTCTACGTTCTCACCGACGTTACCTGCGAGTGTTGATGTTGATGAGACGAGGAACTTCAAAATTTGATTTGATCATGGGAACTTCAAAAACCCCGTAATTACGAGAAGTAACGAGTATCGCTATCACACTAACAAATATGTTGATGAACCGAGGAAGACCAAAGACAGGATATTTCATTAAACAGAGGAACTCGCAGAGCCTGATCTTCATCTTGAAACACAGGAGACTAACAAATTGATATAAAGATCCTATACCTCCAATACTGCCAGCGCGAACTGTGGCCGGGCCCTTGTTGAAGGCGCCGCTTTCGAACAGCTTTGCACGATCCTGAACGCCCGACATCTTGTTCGTGTTTTTGTAGGTTTACGTTTAGACTACCTCGTTTGAAAGAAGTTAGAATTTTTAGTGTTTTTGATGGACTGAGACTGTAGGTTAGAAAAAATGAACCGTCGTTCGTATTTGTAATTTGCGTTGCGATTTTGCGAAAAAGCGACTGAAGAGGAGGTCGTGTAGGGACGAGGTCGTGAAAAAGAACTCGAATGAGCAGGTTCTCGCTATAACTGTAGATTTCTTCTATTTGGAGGTGATGATGCACCAGTTGTGAGTCGGTGATGATGCTGCAGCTGTGAGTCTTATAATCTACTTGGTTCAAGATCATGAAGGACGAGAACCTTATTTTTTCTAACAAGACTTTCTAGAATCAGAGAAACTGCCTCGTCTAAGTCGATTATGTCAGCAGCTCCACTCTTCAAGACAGAATTTTTTTTCTCATTCTCACAACAGAAAATATTCAACACATGTTGATCTTCTTTGCGCTCCCCACTATAGGCACAGACACATCACAATCGCTCTAGACAGAGGTTCTAAACCCGTTCTCAAACAGAGCATCTTCGTTCACCCACTCGTCGGTAGGGCCCCTTAGGGCAGAGAACAATGAGTTTTTTTAAGATACTCTCGTACACTCGTAGTCACACACTCGTAGCTACACAGTCAGAGTTTACAATTTACAATTTACAAGTTTTTCGATGGAAGTTCGACGCACCAGTGAAACAGACAGGACGTCCATCTTGAGGGTCTGTTCACAAAACTGTTGACCTCGTCCACTACAGACAAGTACAGTAGGTGAACAACCGGTGCAACTTGTAGTACTACACCGAGCATACGCATTATACTCTCGTCAACTCCAGATTTCAGATTTACGCATGACTCGCGATAATTCTTCTCGTGACAGTCACAGCACTTTTTTACTGCAGGAATTATGGTCAAGGTCATGGATAGCGATAGGAATTCTTCATCTTGTTAATCTTGAGGGTCTGACACGGTCTCAATGGATAGGATAGAACAATCTCGATTTTGTCGTAGCTGCCAAGGATATGAATAGATTGCATATTATGCATGATTATTGAGCGAGAATATTACGTAGTACAAGTAGTACAAGTAGTACCTGCAAGGTATCTGTAGTCATGATCATCTCGTGCATATCTGTGTCTCGATGAGTTCTAGGAAGTGAGCCTTCTGGGTTTCGCATGATAATCATCAAATATGGATTACCCATACTATTGGGCATGCAGAGGACAAAAATCTATACAGTAACTACAGTTGTCAGGTTTAGTTCAATGTCTTTTAGTTAAAATAGTCTCAAGATGTTGGAGCACTTCTTCCTCGCCCGTACTACATTTTTACGTAGAAGTACACGTGATCAGAATGCAGGTACTTACTTGTTATACAGATCATAGATATAGATACTGCTTGATCATGATAGATGTTGATATAAGCAAGCGATACAACTTAATTTTCACATTACGTGTCTCGTTCTGTGGAGCCGTTTCCGTCGTGCTCATGTTTCTCTTAGATTAAATTATACAGTTAAATGCTATGTATAATGTCGAAATAAATCTGTCGAAATTCAATGCAAGTCCTTGTTAATCTTAAGCTCAGTCAGGCGTCAAAACAAATACAAATTTAGGTAGATAAACATGAATGCAACTTCTAGTACTTTTCATCTACTAGTACGCGGCTAACCGTACTAGAAGATTCTATGTTGGTATTCATAGAACTACTAATATTTGTTGTTATAATTGTTCACTCCGCGGCGGTCCCACGCTCATCCGCAGGCGCTGCATCTGGTGACGCATCACCTGGTGCATCACCTGCTCTACCGTACTTGTCGCTTTATGAAAGGGTGGTGGGGTAAAGGTAATGCAGATGATCTCTTGCTAAAGATCACTCAGATAATTAAGGACTAGCAGATTTCAGGATCTAGCCACTGACCAGCAGCATGTCCCTACATCTAAACCTATTTTTCAAAGGTAGAAGTGAGTGGGAGCCCAATTCTCCTATAGCTTGATTGGAGGGACTAGCCTAGGAAAAAAATCGATGAGGGAAAATTATATTTTCTTCTGTACTATAGTATACTAGGAGGGAAAATATAAATGTAAGGATAGGATAGGTCTTTCTTCTGTACTATGTAAGGATAGGATAGGCATAGGAGGGAAAAATCCACGACCTCGACGTAATATGATGATGATGACAGGGCTAAATCATTACAGGCCTTGTCCCGATCGTATGGTTATGACAATGACTACAGTTTAGACACATGTTCATAATAATTGGTTCTTGGCCAGGTCGATGCCGCCTTCCGCCAGGTCCTTTGCGCCTTCGTAGGCCTCCACTGCTGCGATGCGAGCCTCTAAGAACCAGTCCGACTCATCACCAACTTTACGACAGCGCAGCACTGCACAACTACCTCCCGAGAGAATTAGCGCAAGGCTAGATAAAGGAAGAATGAATGAGCTCGTTCTGCATGTCTTCTTCATGTCATGGTGGTGCTTCTTTTATAGCATTGCACTTCTTCTATTTGGATGGATAGAAAAGCGGAATATGAATGTTGAGATGCACTACAGATCCATCTTCTGGGAGGATAGATCGCTTTAAGACGCCTGGGGTAGATAGACGATATTATGGGTACTAGATCATAGGTACAACATAGGAAAAATAGCCTGCTGCACAACTACATGCAGCTGTCGTGGTCGACAATACTAGTTTGACGGAGCAGGCACCGAAATACACGGATTGAAAATCGAGCATAGCGTGCTGAATAATGAAACTTTTAGCTAAGCTATCATGTGGATGGACCATGCAGGAGAAATTGAAAACGTAAGAAAAATTTGGTTTCAAATTAAGAGAAAATTTCATCTCCTGAACATCAATTCTACGAATTCTCGACAATAGCACACCTTTAGGAGTGCTATATCCACCAAATTCACCATAATACCAAATACTTAGATAAATGGACATATTTCCAGATTTCATTTTGATGCTTCGTGAAGATTGTCAATGCTCTTGTCAGGAAATGAATTCGAATTAATTTGGAATAAAATCAAAATTTCTCTGTTTTGACTTGAAATGCAGTTTCAAATTGGAGTTTGAAATTCAAAATAATGTTTGGGCTAGCTCTTCCCAATAATTGAATTTGAAGAAATTTGGAATAAACTCAAAATTTTTCATTTTCAACTTCAAACCAAAACTCGAATTTGATTTACAAGTTCAAGATAATACTTGAAGCATCCAATTCAGAGAGACAGATGAATGTTCACGTCCAGAACACAAAACGGTGATGTAGTCGCTATACTAACTTTCACTACAGCAGCAAAATATGAAAGAAACTGAAGACTGAAGTAGATCTTGAAATTTACTGCAGCTCGTCTGATACTTGTTTATTCTTCAAATCCAAACTAGCCCAACTGCAGCGAGATCGCCGACGAGGTCGAAGATGTCTGAAATCCAATTCCCACAGCAAAATAACGCTTCCCCTTCCACATTACTACCACGACTCTATTCCTGTTCATGTAGTTCATCGATAATCGCTTGTAAGTACATCTCGCCATAAGTCTCTATCCTTCGTTGAAGGTTTGTATTCCTCTACCTGGCACCGTCCATCTGGAGCCGGTGTGGACACGAGCCATCCCCTTTCTGCGTCTATTCTTAGATGAGGACGTCCTCGTTCATGGGGATGGGGTCGTTGGGGGTATCAATCATACGCTTACGCACTGGCACTTCCTTATCAATTTGGGTACACCTAGTTGGAGCTGGTTTTTTGCATAGAAATGCTTGCTAGGGTGATGTTTGATCTTGCCAGAGGTCCATCTTGGTCAATCATCGCCCTGCCGCCCGTGCCTCAAATACTTTCTTCCTCTCTGCTACCTCTTCTTCTTCCTCCCTCTCTCATATAGGACGATAGGGTAGCGGATAAAATAAGCTGCCTCTGCTTCCTCCCTCTTATTCATCACTATCGACTACCTACTAAAGGGGCCTACTAAAGGGGCTCCCCACGTCTCCCGAACCGCTTCCGGTGCTGCGTGTACTAACTTGCTTATTAAAACAGAAAATAAGTCTTCCTCTTCGTAAGCATGACTCTCCTGGGTTCTTCCAAAAATATCGCGTTGTGACGGATTCCACCGATCGAAATGAGGTCCTATCAAGGTAGTCTGCATATATTCCCAGCAATAAAACGCCGAAAAATGCGATCTTCGTGAAGAACTTAGAAGGTGAAGAATGCGATTTTTGTGAAAAATGAACTAATGGAATGTGATGGTCATAGTGCTATGATCTTCTACTTCGTTATGATTAGGAAATTACTTAAGAGCAGAAGTGTGAAAGAAATAACTAGAGGACCGCAGCTATCATCTACGTTAGTTGTACTTAAGAAAGAAATACTAGCAAGATGATGAATCCATAAGATAAGGGCCGATCTTCGGAAGGCACCACAAAAAGCCTGCAAGTCCACTGGCCATCAGCGCAAGACCGAGAAGGATTCCCTGATGAAATTTGGTGAACAACGAGCATCGTTAGAAGAAGTACCTCCACGATCTCGATGGCTGCTGGTACTTAGTTGTAGAAGTTCGCGTTACGTTCATCTGACTAATATGCTCACAATGATTCTTCGAGAATTTACCAGTTTTTCTTTTTGGTCACGACCATGACCAAAGACAACTACAGGATATAATTATACACTACAAGACCAACGACAACGAGCAGGACAACTACAACAGGATATTATAAATATAGATACATCGACTAGTTTTCCCGCTAATTATATTCTTAATTGGTCTATCTTCCCTTCATGCATCATACAAGAATGAGAAGTACCGGCTTCAGATATCGGAAGAAAATGTTCGACCAGCATCGTGGAAAAGAGAACGTCTTATTCTTCTCGTTCACGTACTGGTGCTTCGCTTTGAGGTTCTGACGGTTGTTATGGTGGTTTCTTTTAGGGGGTGGTTTCTTTTAGGGGGTGGTTTCTTTTAGGGGGTGGACATATTTGGTGGACGTTGATTTGTGTTTTATTGGTGTGGACGAGAGGGAAACAGAAGTAGACGAGTCGCAAGGGAGCCAGGAGTAGAGTCGCAATCTGTGTGTATCTCCCACCTTTTCATCAACATCACAAGAACTATAACTATAATTTTCTCATTCGCACACCGTCGTAGCTGGTGGTCGTACTGAGAAATACCCAAACAAAGAATAAGCAGAAAGAGCAGTGCGAAAGTCCCTGCTTTACATCTACATCTACTTATCAGTACCCCAACAAGTTTGACACATGCCGAGTCATGTGCGAGCTTGGCGAAGTCGGAGGTGAACATAGTTTCCTTGGCACTGACGGATTTGGCATCCGACTCTAATTTATCCACGACGTATCCTATTAGAGGTACCGAGTTCGCATCTCCATTTCCTTCCTTGAGTACTAGAGTTATAATTATCTTAGAAGGACGAGGCGCTTCTTTTTCAAGTAGCAAAATAAGCGTCGTGGTTGCCTTAATTCCGTTTGGTCCGTCTTCTCTTTCTTCGATCCATTCTGGTCCTTGCGCAGATTAGAGACCAGATGATGAGTTTTCTGAAGTAGAAGAGTAGGGAAGAACAGTAGAAGATGGAAGATGGTGATGAAGTATGGAGGATGTGCAAATGTTTTTAACAACGAGATGAACTAGGACAACAACCCTATCAGTATAAAAATTAGGACCCATTCGTTCCCCTTCTCTCAAAAAAACTCTCAAAAACTATGACGAGCTGCCATAACTTCTGTTTTTCCCTCAGGATAGGAGAGAGTCCACAATCCGCGATGCCACTGATCGAAAAAAGCGCGTCGATGGCTGATTTTCACTGGCGGCTTTTTGGTGCCGTTTGCACCACATAAAGGAAGACCGTTCTTATCCTGCTTAGAGAAGGATAGGATAGGATAGGATAGGATAGGATAGGATAGGATAGGATAGGATAGGATAGGATAGGATAAGAATTTGCTCGCCTCGGGGAGGTGAGATTCACGAGAAGGAAGTTCTTTTGGGTTGTCGTGATACATTGAGGTTTTCTTTCTTTAGGTGTAGGAAGAGGTAGAGGCAAAGGAAGTTACGAGGGAAGAAAATTATTGTGGATCGTGATACGCTGGAGTTTTTCTCCACGTACTATAGGAAGAGGAGGTCGTTCTTGAGCTTGAGCTTTAGGAGGTAGAGGAGGAAATCCTCAATTCTTGTTGAACGCAAGAACGAACGTATGTTTAAGTGGCTATAACAAGAGTGAGTCATGAGGAAATAAGGTGCTGGAAACCTTGGTTTCGTTTTTTGTTGAGAAAATGGATGTAGAATGGAGGAGACCTTCTTAGTCTTACTTCCCGCTTACCAAAAAGCTGCCCATAATCACTCCATCAAAGAAGGCTCCCTTGTTCGTGGACGAGGTATCCCACATTAGAGTAGTAGTTTCACTTCAGTGAGGAGCACGAAAAAGCATGTGATAATGATCAACTGACAAAACAGAAGAAACGTATCCAATATCAAAGTTATAATCATCGTCATAGTACTTTAGCAACAAGAAGATTGAATCGAAGTAAGCTTTGAACAAGCGGAGAGAATAAAACAAAGTGCACTACAACTGACAAAAAAGCATAAGCCTTGAACAAGCGGAGAGAACAAGATCTAGATTCTTTCATTATATGTGGCCTATCAAAAGCCTACAACAACAAGTCTAGCCTACAAGCCTTAAGCCTTCTGTAGTTGGTCCGGATCCATCGTCGAGTTTCTTCTTCATACCATTGACCATGCTAGCCGTTTCGTAAGCCTTCTTCGCATCTGGTGGTTGGTGGTGGTTATAACGAACATTAGAGGTATCTATTGGGAATTCATCCCAGGGATCATCTGGGTCCCCTTTCCTACTTGTTTCGTTCTACCAGATGACTTTGGCGACAATGTTAGAAATAGAGTTGATGTTGATGTTTCTAAGCCACCATCTTGTAGTCTAGCTGCTTACTAGTACTAGAGTATCTAGAATCAATAGTCTTTGTCTTTTCTAGCTTCTTGATTGGGTGACTGACTGATTGACGTGCCTAGCAAGAGGTCGTTGAAGATCTAAGCTATTGCAGTTGATGGGAGCTTCTAGTCTAAAATACCATCAGAGGAAAGATCTTCGAGTCCCTCTGGTGGCTCTGGCTGCTGTTCCTGCTCCATCCATGAGGATCCACGCATATTGTATATCGGTTCTTTAACGCCTACAACCACTTGCAGCTGCTGGACGACCAGAAGAAGTGCCGCGGCTAGTGGCGCAGTTTTTCTTAGAAAAGGTATCTACAAATGTATCTATATTGTAAATGACGTAAAAATATGCAGCTATAGAAGAGGAGGCATGGAAATGGGTATGGAATTCATCATAGATGAACCTGAAGAGGTATCAATTCAACATGAATAGGTACCTAGTTCTAGTTAGCATATTAGAAGAGGTGGCTAGTGTAGTGGCAGAGGAGCAACGTGCTGTTCATGTAGTTGTAACTACTTCTGTAGACGAACTACTAGGATAAGTCTTGTACAAGAACTTGTTCTAGGACAAGTAGTAACTCCTTGAGCCAGTGATTACAATTGTATTAAGTAGTGATCTAGAGGTAGCGCTAGAAAAATCTTCAACATCAATAAAACCAATCTTAAACTCTGCAGCATCCGTGGCTTCGCGATTTTGAACGACATTTTTCCTGGTCCTTTGTTCTAAACGTACCAGATTGGATGGAGTAGGTGGATTGCAAGGAATCGGCGAAGGATTGAATTTGAATTCATAACTACTTGGAAGACAATCGATCTGTTCATTCATTCATTCATTTACCTAGCATGAGGTGTAAGTTAAGGACTTAATTAGGATGCATAGAAAAGTAGGCAAGAACATCGTCATATTACACTCTGAATGAAGAAGTACAAGTATCATTGCTAGAAGGACGAGCGGAAAGCGTTGGAGCAGGGAGAAGTCAATAGGAGGGTGTACTTGAACTTGTACAAGAACAAGTTGTACTTCATTGTGATAAAAACGTCAGGTTAGGAAGCAGGGAGAGTGTCAACGTTGGAGCCGATTGAGATTTCAGCGCATGGCGTCGACCGATTGGAGTCTTGATGTTTACGCTGACGACGGATTGCTGATGTAGATTTTCGAAAATCCGGAAACCGATATTGTCGAAAATGCTGCATATTAGCGATCAAATTTTCCAATAAGGAACACTTCAATCACATCGGACTTCATCGGCACTTGTTTTGCTTTTCGGAAAAAATCCCAACTTTTTGAGAGGGATTCGAATTTCATTTTCCACGTGCGTCCTAGAAGTTTTGGATAATCGGAGATTGATTGCGCTGTCCCTGTTTACAAATTCTTACTCTCCCATAGAAAGTAGCCTCATGAAGTAGTAGACCACATCAGAGGGCCACGACCTCGTCCTCAAGGAAGAAGTTAGTAGGCATCCATGATAAAACTTATAATGTAATTAATTTTCTTCATCGCGTCGTTTTAATAGCAAACAATAGTGTTCCTTCCCTGCAATGAGTTCCTGCACGACTCTAGTGACGCGTTAAGATAGGATGTTGCGTTAAGATCAAGAAATCAGGGGGCGCTGATCTTGGATAGCAAAAAAAACCTGCTTATTGATGGCGAACTGCAACTCCTTGTAATCTTCAGAAATCAGACGGCTGAGTAGATATTCTTGGTCTTGGTTGGTATTGGTTTTGACAACTTGTTGGTGCGTAGAATTTAGTAGGAATTGCGTTTATTGTAGTATGACTTCAGTACCCGTACTCATCTTCCAGATCCAATGAGAGTACTTCATCGATCAAGAATCACATACACTTCTAAACAGGCATTTTTTTGTACTTCCAGCTGTACCTCCAGTACGGTTTATTCGCTTAAGAATCTGAATAAAGACATCATTGTTTTGCTAATATCATTTTAATATCATACTTCCACCTCCTTTTATTTTTACACCTTTATCTGTTTGTTGACCTTCTTCATCTTCATGGAAGTCTTGGTTTTGTTTCATGGGAACCAATACCACGAATATAATTACTACGTGTTCTATTAGAGCTGCAGCTCTAAAACGTCTGCATGTTCCAAAACATCAAAACGACAAAATGTCAAGCATGATATTGATGTCTCTCCTCCTCAAACCCTTAGCGAATGTTCCCGACACTTTAAGTAGGACTACAAATAAAAACTAGCAACCATGTTGATTCGGACCAACCAATGGCAACTTTGTAAGAATGGTTGGTTAATGCTTTTACATGTTCGTGTTCTTTCAGAAAAATAAAAAATGGGACGACATTCTCATTCTGTGTTCAGCCGTCTGGTCATATTTTCTTTTTTCGACTGCTTTTGCTAGAAGAAATAAAGCGTACATCACGATTCGCAAATGATTTTTTTCGTTGTTGACATTGTTTGACCTGATAAATAAAAACCGAGATAAGAGGACACATCTTTAGGGCGAACGAATATTAAGTGCGTTCTCATGATAGAAAAAGTAAAAGAGACTTCTGGTCGCGTCATTACTAGTTATTTCGTTGATTTTGATTATTGTTTCATGTTGGAAAGAATTGGTAAGCTATCTTGCTCGCGGGAACGCCAGGGTTACTGTGTTCTGCCACGACACAAGAGCCACCATGGTCGTAAAGGTAAACAAAGGAAAACAAAGGTCGGATGAACGTGTCGAAGACCACGCGAGTTTTCATTTAAGCTAGTTCTTATTTGTCTACGTACCAGGAGGAGACATGTTGAGACGTACAAAACTAGCGCCTTCTCGTGACTGGTGCCGAGCCGCGAAGTTTTTTCGAACCTGTTTTCTTCACACACTCACAACATGTTCAGCTTTCCCCAGAAAACATTTTCTCAAGGTGGAGGTTGAAGACCTCTTGATTCGGCCAGAGGGTTCACTAGAATCTTCTTCTAGCAGGCTCACTGCTCCACCTAGGCGAGGGCGGTGAAAGATTTGAATAAGACTAACGAGCTACTACGATAATTACTTGCAAATAAGCAAGAAGTTGCTTGGGGAAGAAAAAATATAAGTAATTGCAATCATTATTGCACAACAACCCCACTAGGAAGTCCGCCCGGTCGCTGCTCCAGATCCTCTGACCTCAATTGGATAGGCGGCAAAGGTGCATCCGGACTCGGAAAGTCGAGTTCGACACCGTTGCGGAAAATCAATGGCCTATATTGCTTGATCGGGATACCGTTCACAGGTGAGTTACCTGAGAATTGGTTTGTGTTTTCGTGTTTGTCGTGGTAGAGCTAGAGTTGTGAGGGATGATGCATAAGAATAGTTGATTATTCATTCACTCATTCACGCAGAATGATGAATAAGAATTATAGTTGATTATAGAGCAGAGAATTGGACGAGGACGAGGCGTGTTATTGAAGTAGAAGACAAGGTCAGAGAACGAGTTCAAGTTGGCTCAGTGACAGTGAGAAAGTTCTTTATGAGCAGTAGTACTACATCCATTATATCTAACTTTTGATGCTTCTACATTGCCTTCCAATTCACTTTCACAAACTGCAATTTGTTCTCGTATAATCAAAAGTAGTACGATAAACTTCGATATTCGCTTGCAGTCCTTGGACTCTGGCGTAATTGACTTCGCAAACCTTCGGACTATTGTACGCTTTCAGCTTGAACTTGTGGAAGATCTGAGAGTGATGATGGGACGAGAAGAGTGAAATGAGAAACAAGATGAATTGAAGTACAACTTACTACTGTACTAGTAACCCTGTACTTGAGAGAGAAGAACAGCATGTGGTTTACTAGTGTGAGATGAAAAAGAAAAATGAGAGAAGATCTGAAGGAGAAAAGGATCGAACTTCATCTCATTTTCTTGAGAGAGTGAATATCATGAATAAGTAAGTACCGACAAAAAGTTTTTCGCATCATCTGGCGAGGTGAAGTTGATGAAGGCATAGCCCACATTACACCGGTTTCGGAAGTCAATTGGCAGGTAGAAGAAGTCGAATTTCCCCTGAAATCCTTGCTCATCCAACGTGTTCAATAGCATTGGTTGCGTATACTTGTTGGGTATGTTACCTGAAGTGAGGTTGTGAAAGTAAAAATATCTTGTTTTGAGGGAAGACGAAGAACAAGAAAGTGATGACATGTTCTAAAAGACAAAAAGCATAAGGCACAAAAAGTAAGTACGTAGCATCATTGTCGTTTCTTGATGACATGTTCTAAAAGACATGAAGCATATTAAGGCATAAAAAGTACGTAGCATCATTGTCGTTCTGTTGTCTTTCTCCTGATAGCTGGAATTCTTGCCTCCTCCCTTCTGGTGTCCAGAGCCTCCTCCACTCAATTCTGAGTAAAAGCCTGCTCCTCTAGCCCCACTACCTCCATGATAGGACCTATTGTTCTCTCCTCCTCTCGGATTGGGATGATAGCCATTCGACGATCCACTTTGATTATAGGGTTGTCCCTGTGCAAGTGGTCCACCCGGCGCTTGTTTGCTATTGCTCTTGCTCAAGCTTCCGTTGGAAGAAGTGCTCTTGTGCAGACTCGTTGCGCCACCTTGATGGATGTTCATTTGGTAAGGGTTCGACGGATTCACATGTCCTCCTGGTCCAGCACCTCCGGAAGATGACGTCAACAACATCGCACCATGTCCCGCGTGGTCCACTTTACTACTTGTTTTCGCTGTCACTGGTGCTCCGCTATTTGCGGAGCAAATGTGACCGCCCATTGCAGCAGCTCCAGCTGCATCCCGCAAACTCGTACTCCTGTGCATGGTTCCCATCATGTTTAGGTCACCGCCATAAGCCGCTGAAACGTCTTCCAAAGTGTTAACCCGGACAATCGTGTTCGCATCACCTTCCAAGTCCTCTGGTAAGTGTAGCTTCATAAACTTCTGCGGCATCTGCTTCTGCATGTTTCGACACTGTTTCAGAAATTGCCTGTACTCGGACACAGTGATCAGCCTCACGTGGTCTTCTGGCGTTTTCACGTCAGCTGGTCTCACTAGCGGGACATGAAAGCCACCGGATGTGTGCATTAACCCAGCTGATAACACTATCTTCTTGTTATTCATCTGCTGGTTTGGTTCTTGTTGGACAACATTCAGGCTTGTACCAGCTGTAGTACTTGTTCCAGCATTCAGGCTAGTTGAAGTAGAGGATGGTCCCGCATGTGGACTGGGATGAGGGGATAATGCCCGTCCTAGATTCTGCAGATTCTGGATGTCCGAAGAAGGGTGGACCTGAAGATGGTGTCGAGAATATGAAATTCATCCTAGCTGTAATTCATTGTGGATGTGGTCCCAGCTTCAGCTTCATCATAGGATGAATTACTCTAGCTGGAGGTGGACCAGTATCAAGGAAGGTCGTGTGTCTCGACTTTTTATTTTCTACTGTAGGGGCTTCTACTGCTTGGCGGCTGTTTGAAAAAAATCTAGATTTTCCTGACCAAATAAAGGAAGAAAATGTGTTGATTATAGCAGGATATAAGTACGTTGATCGTCGGTAGCGGAGAAAGCTGTGGCGGCAATCCCACTGGCGACATAATCATCGTGTTGTTTTGCAGGGCTTGATTATGCTGTTGAAGCAACGCTTCCATTAAGTTTGTGTTGTCTTGTTGTTGTCCTGCACTCGCCGATGTGCCAATCTTCTGAGCCGCCAAAGCCGCAATGTGTCCCCCGACGGGTACTGGCACTTGATTTAACCCGGAAGGCATGTTGATGGTTCCATACCCTATAATGTTGTTACTCCCACCTCCAGATGTTCCACTATTTCCACCTCCATTAGCTCCTCCATTCCCCACGACCGCACCAGATAATCCTCCCTGGTGACCACCCTGATTGTTGTTCACGGAGGTGTTTCCTACGCCTTGCGGCCCCCCAAGTCCTGGCGCAGCCGGCGCAGCCCCCAGTGCTCCTGGAGGCAAAACTGTTGGCCCGCTAACTGGACTCATACTTCCTGGTGACATCACCTCAATGGGACTAAGCAACCCCTGCGCACCATTTGGCGTCATCGCCATCCTGCCGGCTCCGCCTGCGATGTTCAGTGTGCCTGAGGAGAGTTCCTGTAGCATCTGGAGTTGAGAATTTGCTGCTGCATTGCCACCTTGATGTGGAGGTACACCCAAAGTTCCATTTCCTGCTCCGTTGTTCAGCACGGTCGACGACCTTGGCGAAAAAGCCCCTACAGGGGACATCGCGGCTGCGGCGGGAGAAACTATTCCACCGGCTGCAGCGTACATACTCTGAGGCATCCCACCCAATGCACCGGCGGCTGACAAATACTGCTGGGTCACTGGAGACGCGTGGTTAAACTTAGACCTTGCTGCATATGTTCATCTTCAAGTGCATCTTTGCCGAGTGTTCTCCTTTCGTCCTTAAGCAAATAAAGGGGAACAAAGAAGAAAGATGCCTCTTAAGATAATAATAATAATAATTTACCCAGTCGTGGGGTACATGCAGTTATGGGAAGGGGTTGTCTGGTTGCAGGGAGAAAGAATGAAGATGCCTCTTAAGATAGATAGATAGATAGATAGATAGATGTACCCACTCGTGGGGTGTAAGATGAATTGTTGTGTTGATGAGCCTTAATAAACGGATTCGGTGAATGAATCACGCTGCCCTGAATGCTACTGGGAATATTGGAACCGAATACGGGAACATTAGCATTCGGTGGTTGTAACAGATTCTTCTGTTGCTCTTGCTGCACGTTAAACATCGCCGTTTCTATTAGCGCTATCCATTTAATGCATCTCCCCGCTGGTGCATCCTTGAAAAATAATATGGCAGAGCATTGTTCCCTGCTTAAGATACAACTCCGCCATATTACGTTTCAAGAAGGATGAAGTCAAGAAAAGTGCATTAGTAGCTAGAGCCATAATTCTAGCAATTTCATGTTCTGCTCTGCCAATCTGCGATTTTGCTCTGCGATCAGACTGGCGATGGAGCGAACTTTGTCGCTACCCGCTCCACTCCCGTTGCTCTGGTTGCTTTGCACGTCTATCCCTCCTACTATGTTGTCTGCCTGCAGCCCACTTGTTCCCGGGGGCAAGAATACAGGTGATGTCGCGCCACTTCTAGATGGATTCATCATATTGTTGTCCAATGCTTGATTATACTCAAGAACAGGTTGATTATCATTGTGATTTCCTCCTAGTAGTTGTGCATTCTGATGTGGGGCAATGGTCGCGGTAATATTCGTCTGTTGAGGGCTCCCACTCCCACTTGTTCCCCTCGTTGTCGTCGTAGTTGCAGTATTGGAACCCTGTGGATGAGCATTGGCGTCTCCACCACTTACGAGCTGTTCCACTCCGCTTCCCGGAGCAGGTGCGCTGCCGCTACTGAGTATCTTCTGGCCTCCACCTCCGCCGCTTCGGTTCATGTCGTCTAGACCGGAAAGAGTAAACTCCGCCGACTCATTCTTCGGGCTGCCGGCTAAAACGTGCGGCAAAGACGACATCGTTTCTTCTTAGACTTAAGTAGTTACGCTCCTCCTCTTTAAGGACAATATTAAGGTACTAGGACTTAAATACGCTCGTCCTCTTTAAGGAAGATAACGATTTAAGGTAGTTGGTCTTGGTAAAGGTAATGCTTGCTGTTTAAGAGGGTGCTGTTTAAGAGGATTCAACTTTTTCGAGAATTATGTATGACATTGACAATCCAGGCTGATATAGATATCTAGCTTGTTTAGGTGCAAGTAGCTAGTACTTAAGCCACGAGCCACTCTTCCCACAACAAGGCGGGCTTTAGTATTAGTTTAGTTGATAACGACCACCGGAACAACTACAACAGGAGTCTTACTACTTGTTCATCAAATATGTTGCATAATTATATAGTGCTGGAGTCCTTATCCTACTTGTTCGTCGTGGAAATAGGGTTAAGGACTCCAGAGGCAGAGACACTTCAGCTACTATTTGGAATTGTGGGAGACAAGATAATCTTCTTGTTTCAATCAAGTACACGTCAGAAAAATCCGATTTCAGAAGATCAAGATATTCGATTTCAGAAGATCAAGATATTAGATGCTCGTCAGTAAGTCAAGATGTCAGAAGGAAGTCAAGATGTCAACGAGTCGTACAAATGCGAGAAAAAAATGCTAGGTCACTATTTGAAAAAGTTTTTTGTGCGCGACGAGAGCAATTTTTAGTTGTAAGCCTACTTCCTGCTGTTATAATGTTATAATGTTACTTTGAAAGGGAATTGGGATTGAGATGAAAATGATTGGCGATCTTCATATTGTTCTCTCAATGCATTTGCAGAGATCTTTATGGAAGCACGCAGATTTTTATCATGATGATCGATCTTTCATCGAGGGATCCTCATTTCTTCAATTTTTTTTATCGTTCAAAACTAAAATTTTTCATGGATCTTTTTGCTGGCCTCTCAGTACAGAAAAAATGGGCTCACCCTTTTGCTCGTCTCACAGTGACGATCTTGCTGCATATCTATAATACTTGATCTTCGATATCGATGAAGTTGAATTTGCCATGAAGAATTTTCTGGGACGAAAATTTTTCTTGCAGCAGCATCGACATCGTTTTCATTGAACAGTGGAACAAAAGACAGCACAAAAGACAGTAATCTCTATAACGTTCTCGTTTGTCACGAACACACGCCAACAGGCCTTCCACATCCAAGAGCATTTTCTGTAGAAGTCTCTCGCTCTCCGTTTAACAATTAATATGTGGTCGACGACGTCGAGTAAATTGAAAATCTACAACATCAACTCACTCGTTCTATTTGCGCTATGAAAAGTGTGTGAAAGAATCATCACGATCATGATGTCGTAATTTTTGGGGTAGATCATCAGGAGTTCATTATTCTGATGAAGACATCTTGGGTGCAGATAATTCTTCATCCGTACAATCATGTGCTTCTATATTCTCAAATGAAAAGGACTCAGTGCTGCGTAAAGCGTGGTCTTGAATGCAAATAAGTTTTCCATAATATTGATGAATGATAGTAAGTTCTTAATGCGTTTCGAACATCTACTTGACGAGGAAGTGGAAAAATACAAGAACAACCTCCTCACAGTCACATTATAATGATTTATTACTCATACCTGCTGTGAAACAACGACCACCTCGATTTTTTTACAACATGAATTGGTAGTACAAAAGGAGTTGTAAGTTATCCACCACTGCGGCCCATCACTTCTTACGCTGCTTCCAAGAAAACAGCACTTGGCTTTGCCGGCTGTGCCAGGTTGATCTTGTCCGAGGTATCTTGCTCGTGCTTTCCCTCAGTCGCGAGACGGAAGAAAACGTTCTCAATGCCCAATTGCTTCTTGATCAAGCCCACTCGCTCCTCCAACATTTCTCTCTCATTGAAGGGCAAGGTCAGCTCCAAAGCGCTGGGTCCGCGAATGCTCATCTCGTCTTTCATCATAAAACTCGCGAAAGGCATCGCCTTCTTCTGCTCTTCGGGGATTAGAGGAAGGAAGTTACTTAGCACATCTGATCCTGATTATGAACTCCTTGTACCAGTTGCTTGATGTTGTGAACTCGAACTGCTCTAAAAAGTGATCCGTATTTTGAAGGATGTGGAGATGCAGCTCTTGAGTCTTGAAGACTACTTTTTGACTTAGTATTTCCACCAATATGTTGTTGATTTCATTTTCATTCTTGAAATCTATTTAATATAATCTCCCACCAGTCCACGACCATAACTTCGAAAAGTTCGCCCAGGTGTCAGCACTTCTCAAACCGGTGATCCAGTTCTTTGGGTCGGCTGGTGCTGTCTGATCAGCATTCAACGGCACCGTCTGGCAGTAACTAAGAATCGCCTTCTGCCACTCCTTGTATTCGACTGCAACGTAGACAACAGCTGACTTGACCACTTCTTCGAAGACAAAAGCCTTGTTTCTCCAGATTAGAACTGTACTGAGAAAAGGGTGAGGTTACTTCTACTTATATATAAGAAAAGGGTAAGCGTAACTGCTACTGCTTAAGTATAATCAAATAAAGGGTAACTGGTGAGAAGATAGGAAAGAGAAATAAAGGGTAACTACTTATAATTGTGGTGGAGCCGACCTAACTAGAAAAAAGACAAACCAGAGGAAGATATAAAAAGAGAACAGACCAGAGGTAACTACTTATAATCAAATCAAAAATGATGTTCCCCTTCCTCTGCCATAACTTCTTTTTTTCGTTGACAAAGTTCACCTTCGCCATTCGGAGATCTCGGAGATCTTTCTCCAGGACCTCGAATTTCCGATGCAACACCTTGTCAAAGGCGACCTTTGGCGTTGGCCACTTCTGCTTCCACAGCGGCTCACGCTGGTTCAACACCTCGCGCCACAACTGCTCACAAAAGTGGGGACAGATGGGACTGAGGGTCAAGGCTTGAACTTCCAGGAAACGGAGGATGGCTGTTTTGAGATTGGACAAGTTGGTTGACATCAAAGGGATGGTCTGACTGATGGGATTTCTTGGAGTTTTGACTTCGTCTGTTTGATGCGATAAAATGGAAGTTGTTAGCGTACTCCTAGTTGTAACACATCAAACAAGTTTTAGATCTATAATTTCGAGAAAAACAAACTACACAAAAAAAAGTACATTCCGGATGCCAGTCATCTGTTCCCACTCTGTCGCAGTACGTCTTTCTCAAGTTTTCCATCTCGTACCAGCACCACTTAAGGGCATCCTTATACTGGCATGTCTCGTACGCCTTGAAAGTCTTGTTGATCAAGTCGATCAACTCGTTCTCGAAAACAAGATCCATGAACTCCTTGGGTCGGGCGTTGCCCGTACCGCCCTGCTTTGCGATCTTCGCGGTTACGTCGTTGGCCTGTGGATGGGGAATGAAAACGCAATTTGGAGATTTCAGAAAAAATTCCTTTTTTTTTTGTATCCTGGGGCTACTATTTTAAATCTAGTAAGTATTAACTACTCAAACAGTAAGTAAAAACAAGGAAGGGAAAGTGCTGAACTCAAATATCTTAACTAGTAACCTAGTTCTGGTAGTAACTGACAACTAAACGACAAGGAAAGTAGTTGATGTCGAGAAGCTCCTTGAAGAAGAGTTCACGTCGTTGGCCTGTGGATGGAGAATGAAAACGCAAATTTCAAAACTTTGGGGAGAGTTCACGTCGTTGGCCTGTGGATGGAGAATAAAAACGCAAATTTCAAAACTAGGGGAGAGTTCACGTCGTTGGCCTGTGGATGGAGAATAAAAACGCAAATTTCAAAACTAGACTGTCTGACAATCAATGCGAAGAAATTACCCAAGACAGCAGCGACGTCATTCGCAGAATGCTCTGATTGCTGATCTCTGTCGAATAATTCGCGTCCTCCAGAGTGTCCCCAGCATCCGCGCAGGCTAGACGCACCACATCCGCACTGTACGTTTCGCAGGCTTCTTGCATAGTCATAAAATTGCCCTTATTCTTCGACATCTTCTCGTTGTCCACTAGGATATGTCCGTTGGCATAGAAACTCTTCGGCCAGTATTGGGGCTTGTCTGAAGGATGAGGATGTTGGGTCCCAATAGAAGGGTGTTGGGTAAGGGCTCCTGTAGGGGAATTGTCTACAGAAGGGGAAGGCTCTGGATGCCCATCGCGATGTACTTGCCATAAAATCAAAAATCAAGAGTTTTCAAATACGTTTCTAAATAGCGGAAAACGCATTCTTGGATCGATTTGGAACCTACCATACATAGCTGAACTACAAACAGAAAAACAAAGTACTTTTCCAAATAGCCGCATGATTGAAGAGGGACATCGTCAAGTGGTTCTGGATCAAGTCCTTGCCGCTACATCTGATGTCCACCGGGTACCAGAATTGGAATTCGTTCCGCAACTCGGTCAACACTGCCTGCGAAAGAGTGCAGTCTGCGGGAATGTCGTCACTGCGGTCGAAGACGTAGGCAGATTAGACAGGCAATGTTCAAGAATGCCATTGCTTAGGTCAACCAACGAGATCCGTTTTCTAATACATAGAGATGAATATGAGTAAAAGGCTTCTCGCACAAAACGATGCTTCTGCTTGTGCTTCTCCTGCTGAAGATGCTGAAAGATAAATCTTCAGAAAATATATATTTGTAAGAAGATAAATCTTTATCTATATGAATCTCGATAAGTTCTAATAAAACTAAGCTACCCGTACTAGCTATAGCTGCTACTGCCTTAATCAAAAACTCCATCAGTCAGCTGCTCTGGACGAATACGCAATGGGCCTGGAGGAATGAAGTCGTCAGTTCCAGGAGCACCACCATGGTTCGGCTTGATGCCGTTCAACAGACCACCTTGCAGCAAGTGAGAGATGCTGTAGTAAGCCATGTAGATTGTCGAGTCGGACAAGGACTCGATGAGCCACTTCGGATCCCAAGGCAACTTCGTGCCCAGACCGAAGGTTCTGGAGCAAGCCCACTCTTTCATCCAGTCGATAGTACGCAACAAACCGTTACGAGTACCCTCACCGTAGGCTATGAAGATTTAGATAGAGAAGTACTTCTTTTTCTATTATTTTTCTCTTTGTAAGACAAGGAGGAGGTCGTGGATCGTTGTCGTATTGGGTGGAAAAATCAAGATCAAGATGGTTTCGAGAGGACGAATTGCGACATGTTGAATATTATGGGTCATCTATAAGTAACTATTACTCTACACCAAAATTAGTCACAACAAGACTCGAAGAGCAAAAACTACATCTACAGTAGAAGTAGAAGTACATTCAAACTCTCCTTCGTTTCCGACGTATTCGCGTACGGATTTCGTCCATTCCTCATTGGCGTAGTCGATGTACCATTGATCACAGAACGCTACGATACATTCTACGCCGGTTCGTGCCATCACCTCCTTCTCAGGCTCATAGTACTTCAAGGCCTCATTCTGAGAAATCAGCATTTCTGCGGTTTTCTTCTTCGCATCTGCAACAGGCACGCCGACGAAGGGTCCAGCGATCATTTTTCCGCTGTAGAAACCCTTTTTGTACGCCTCTTCCTTGCACAGCTTCAATTTGTCCTTGTCCTTTTGTGACTCCACCTTGTACTGTGCGCAAAGCACTGGCGCGCAGGCATCGCCATATTCCGGAGTGTTGATCACGTTCACAACCTTGAACTCGAATGTTAGAAGAGCAAGACGAGGGGACGTATTTTTCATTTTCAGGTTGGGAGAGGGAGTGTTCCTTCTGATGTGGAGATACACATATTCTTTGATTTTTCGAGTACCTAGGTCCGTCATCTCACGCTAAATTTAGTACTAGAAGATGATTTAGGTGGTTTAAAAGGGATGCGGATGGTAATAATCTACTTATCTTGACATTGTGACGTTCAATATCAGATGAGCGAGGTGATCGACGATGTAGCTCTACATGATCTCCATCAACGAAGTGACGAAAATAATCCTTATCATGCTTATCCCTATCGATCCTTGTGCTTGTCCCTTGATTGATTGATTGATTGATTGATTGATTGATGTGCCTGGCAAGAGGTTGTTGTTGGAAGATATCTATTTCTTCTTTCCTTTCATTTTCATAACTTAACCCATTCCTCTTGGATTCCCCACTGGTCCCGGAGTTTCGGCTTTGTTTGCCAGTCGTTCAATGCCGCGAAGTCATCCGGCGCATCAGCTGGCACAGAAGTGACAACGCCCGTCCCCTTGTTCATCAAAATGCTGAACAGAGGCAGAACATGCACATATGGGTACGGGGTCAGCGGAGCTTTCACTTTCAGCCCGAACATGGACTTGCCCAAAACCTTGGTGTACGTCAAAGGCTTCTGCTTGTAGAGAGACAGCGACTCGTCTGCGTGGATGGATTCGATCAAGGCTTTGGCTTTCGGGTTGGAAGAAGGCGATCCCATGGCGGTCTTGACAAACGCGGAGTCAAAAGCGGCTACTTCTGCGGTTTCTTGGTACACCATGTTTCGCGCCGCGCGCTCGCCGCAGACGAAAACCTCATTATTCTTCGCCTGGATCAGAGAGTATTCGCCCTCTGGAAGCACGAAGCAATTGGTCTGCCCACACATCGTTTCGGCACGGAGAGGATTAGAAAAAGTTATGCCTTAAGGGTATTTGTACTTCACTAATAGTTCTGGGAGAGACGATATTCTTGATGATCTTGTGCCGAAGCTTGCAGCGAGTTGTAGTCCTCGTTTGCAGCTAACAAAAGAAAGATGAGACTACCTTTGTTCTGAATAGTGCGACAACAAGAGACCGAGACGTATCTATGTATTCGATTTCTAATATGTATTTTCTGTAATTGTTCTACTTCTACTACAAGATGAAGTAAAAACTAAAGCTGCTCTATTTCTACTTCTTCAACTACTTACTTCTAGTGTTTGCTGCCTTAAGAGTCGCTGCCACGAGGTAGAACTTGAGCTTGCTTTTCACCTCCGCATTCGATACAACACTGTCTACGGCATTGGTCCATGCTGCCGGAACGTCCAACACTTGCATTTTGATCAACACGTACTCCTGTGGCCCCACGCCTTCTCCCGAGGCTCGATCGTGGTCCGCACAGGGTTGGTCTGACACCGGATCAAAGATGGAAGCTCTCGTGCCGAACTGAATATAGTTCTCCTTCTTGAGGATAAGGATTAGAGCAAGAGGGGCTGGGAGGGGCTGAGACGAGGGGGAGACGGACTGGTGAGATAGAGAGGGAGAGAGAGGGAGATCATAGATGTTGATAGTGAAATGAGTAAAGAAAACGTCGTTCTTATGAGTTGTGCAGAAAGAGTACTATCAATGTGGCTCTGTTGCGACGGTGTGCGATCACCATCGAAGCAGGGAGGCGCGCAAGAAGAGCTTTGGAGAACAACTAGCTAATTATGCAAACATCCCCAAAAAAGTACTTCTACTTCCAGCGTTATCAAACAGAATTAAGTACTCGAAAAACTGAAATAAGCAAGTAACTGATCTGAATAACCGAGATACTGACGAGAAGGAAGGGTAGCCTTGATGTTAAGCTGCCTCCCTTATTTCAGTTAGTAACTCGGTTATTTTGAGTTTTCGAATAACTCGTCTTAGTTCTACGACGACTACATTATTTCAATCATCTTTGCAACTCTCTTTTTCCCATAAGTTGAACTGCCATCGGATGAACGCGTCGTAGTAGGGATTGGCATCGGTTGTGATAAAGGATCGACGCCAATCAGTCGTGAGACCGAATTGCTGCAGGTCGCTAATACCAAAAGGAGGAAAATACTCCAACCAGTACTTGGGATCTGAAGTTGATAGTTATGGTGGTCTTGCTTTTTGGAAATTTTCGAAAGTATTCGAGGACATTGACGTGCCCTACTAGGCGCTGGGCGTGACTTACTAGGCGTTCAGCGTTCAGGTCGTGAAGCAAACTAGTAGCTGAAGCAGTAGTACTCGTCTGATATTGACTCTAACTCTGACTAACTCTAACTGTTACACTAAAACTAATACTAACTCTAACACTAACACTACTAGAAAATCTAACAGTAACTCTAAAAATTCTGTAAAAATTATTCGATAACATCAATTTATAACAAGTCTGTAGTAGTAAGTACCAATAAAGTTCGGAATCAACGCATCTGCTACACCGCACGCTTTAAGGATTTCAGCTACTGGCTTGCCACCGCCCTTAGCGACTGCCTTGGACTTTTGGGTCTTGAAATTACCTGCCGCAGCCCGATCCGCTGCTGACGTCTCCTCTTAGACTGTTCAACATTCTACAGTTCACTTCTTCGGTTCTTGGTTCATTTCTCCTACTTCTTCAGTTCTTGGTTCATTTCTCCTGAACGATTGTAAATTTTTTCGAGACTTGTGTTACGTTCTTCTTCTCCTATCATCTTGCATTATCCTCGATTGTAAGAACAAGAAGTCTTGCTTTATCCTTCGAGACCAAGAAGAAGCAAAAGTCCCAAGAAGAAGTGAATTGTATCAAGGCATAATCTTCACCGGCTGCTGCCGTCGCGGGTACCTCTTCCTCTTCGTCATCCTCACGAGCTGCCTCCGCAAGTTGCTGACAATTGTTGGATATTGGAGAAGTACTATTATAAACCAGAAAACCAAAACTACAGAAGACTTCTACAACACGCCCAACAAATACTTCTACGAGAAGTACATACTACACTAAAAAAACCTCTAGTACATCTTCGGCCAAGTACATCTTCGACTACTACTTCTACACTAACATTTTAAATAGAAATCAGCATAAGTACGTACTACACCCCTATAGAAATAGTACCTTCTCAAGTTTATGCGCCGCGGCGCAGATTGGCATGCCAGTGCAGTGAAAGCCAAACGGGAAGAGAACTCTGCGTCCCTCCAGCATGCGAAATCTCGCGGAAAATTCAGCTTTCGTCAGAGAAAAACCATGCCCAAGATGCAGACGACCAGAGATTAGAGAAAGAAGGGTGGATGACGAGAGGAGGCTGGTGGAGTAGAGGAAGAAGGGTGGAGGACGAGAGGAGGCTGGTGGAATAGAGGCGGCTTGTTCTCGATTTTTACATCATGTGTAAAAATATTGATCTAAACATCAACATCAAGGCCCTGCTCGTGGCATAAATTCATGTATGGGTATGGGAAGGTATCCGAGTCAAGATATGTGGCATAAATTCATGTATGGGTATGGGAAGGTGACGAGCCACTTGTTCTTTTGGCGGCTGTTCTTCACTTGACCTTCAGCGGACACAGCTCCTTGTCTTGGCGCATCGATCTCGAAGGCAGCATCCTCTAGCCATTGTTGGGTTGTTAGAATGTTCCAAAGTGGCGGAGAAACAGAAAGAGAGAAGCAGAACAAATTATATACTTCATCTACTACTTCTAACTGGAAGATTCGACTAGAATCATGTTGAGCGGCTATTTTTCTTTGATCTTCAATCGAACTACTTTCAGTTCGTAGTTGTACCTACAAGTACAACCAAATGATGATGAAAGTAGTGATCATGATAGTCTACTGTTTGTTACAGGGAGGACCATGTAGTAGTTGTACTTCGTCATATGATGAAAATAAATATACAACTGAGTGGTCTTAACTGCGCTTTTTTCTGCAAGTTGACCAGCAGGTCTCGACGGGCTGAGCCTTTTTTCGCACCATCCTGTTGTGCTACGTCTTGATGTGCATGTGCGTCTTGATGTGCTCCGTCGAGCGACGTCGACACCTCCATGGCTTTGCCTGAAGCTGGCATGATCTTTCTTCTCTTCGTTGTAGAGGTGCTCGAAAAGTTGCTCACCTTGGTCTTGGTGTGGTTCTTCTGCGCGGAGGGGCAGATTGCGGAACAACAAATATCGAAAAATGCACCACGTTGGGGCGAGAGAATTTTATGTTGGTGAAAAATCTTGAGAACTATAATTGTCAAGAAAGTCGTGAATGAGTAGGAAGTAGGAACAATAAAACAAATTTGGTACTACTGTAGTAGGCAAAAAGAACAAATCTCAATAGAGGAGGACTGTCGTGTTCGTGAGGTGGATAAAAAAATTGTTATTTCCGGATAAGAAGAGCGGATAATTTGATGTTGTGTTCAACATTGCTTGCGTGACCTAGGTGTTTAAGATGAGGACCCTATAGAAGTACTTAGTTCATTTTTACTTTGTCGTATCATTGGCAGATGAGGAGCCGAGATCGAGTTTTGACATTGCTTGACTGATCGAGTGACAGATTGTCATTTTTGACTCATTGCGGTTGATGTGATTACAGATTCTTGTCATTCACTGATTGTGATGGATAAATGAATCCCTGAATGTACCCAGTGACCTCCGTTGCATGATATTTACTTATCATCTGTTCGGACGATCTTATTTGTATTCATGATCCACGATCATACTTACGGAGAAGACAAGGGAAACCATGATCTTGACCCCATAGTAGCCATGATCTCCATGGCTCCAGACAGTCTGGGCGTGGGAGACAATGCATTTCGCAGGCCAAACTGAACTTTCAGGCTGGAGCGATCGAGGAAGAACACCTTCAGATCCTACTTTGCGAGGCAAGCAACTTCTAGGATGACTACTAGCAAGCACAATATCTCTACTAGTATCGGACGTGCTTAGACACTGGCTTCTTCAGCATGGGCGTCCACAGAGGACCCTAAGCTGAGTTGTAGGAGTTTTCGGGTCGTCCACGACCCAGTATGACACAGACACAGATAGAGATAATACAAAGATATTCCTATTGATTCGTAAAAATCCTATGAGCCTACTATTGAATTCAAATTCTTAGAATAAATCCTGAACCACTTAGAAATCTACTCAAACAATCCTTACTTGCTTCGTGTTCTTCTTAAAAGAGCGAGGTATATTGAGTGTGAGACAAGTGCCACGGGGTTATAGATGAAAGATGAATCTATCACTTCGTGTAATTCTAATGAAAATTCCCAATGTGAGGTTAGGTCAGGTGTGTGGGTCTACCAGGTTCACGACTCGCAGAGGCAGACATGATTGGCTACTCTATCACTTCTTCGTGTACAAGAAGTTAGATGAATGAGTCTACCACTCTAGCTAGATGAGTGAATCTTTGTGTATTATTATTATTAGGAGGAATCTTGGTGCAGTTCTAACAAAAATGCATCACTTGTATACGAAGTTAGATGAATGAATCTGGTACCACTCTAGTAGTTAGATAAATCTTTCACTTCGTGTAGTTCTAACGAAAACGTGTCACTTCGTGAAGTTATTTCATCTTCTTATTGAAGATACTGCTCGGTCTTTGTTCCATTTGTTTGAACAGACATGTAGCATCCGGCTCTCTTTCTCTGGTTTTCTTTCGGCATAAGCCTGCGAAGCCTTTGCTTCATCTTGGTATTTGTTTATTGATGAACAGAGTGAGAGACAAGAAATCAAGGGATATGATATGAACATACATGAGATTCCACATGTACAAAAGTGATAACGAGCCTTTCGGCTCAAGATTAAAAACAATACTTTGCAGGATCGAAATGCGAAGTGGGACACCAGTGTTCAAGTAGACTTATAACGCATATTGTGTGAGATATCTAATCCGAAGTGTAGTTGTTTAAGTGTGAGATATATCCACAAAGCGACCTCGACGACCATGCTAATGGAAATCGGTACAAACACCGAATAAACATATCGTCCACGTTTTCGGTCGCATGGGATGCCCATACTGCGCGTCCGCATGACACACGAGTTGCTGGGCGACGTACCGAAGCTCTCAGTTTAGAGAAGGTGAACTACGAGAAGTCGTGCAGAAGAAGCGGGGGAAGACCTGAAGAGAAAAGATGCGCCAGCTAGTAGTATCAGAACAAGGTCAACAACAAGACATAAAACTGGGGTCAGGTAAATATGAAATAATTCAACCCTTAAAGAAGCGGGGGAAGACCTGATCCTGAAGAAGTAGAGAAAGAAGTCATATTTAAGTACATGGGCGTGTTGTATTTAAGTGGTAGATCGAAGAGGTAAAAAGTCTGTAATTGATTCGAGTTGTTCGTTCACTTCTTGACTCGTCAATGATTTACAAGTGAAGTCTGTCTCTTCTTGGGTACATACTTTTAACAAGAATTAACTATCGCCATAAAAACGCGCAGAGCAAAATCAGGGGTGAGTTCCAAAGCCACTTTCTTGATAATATGCAGAACACGGCGAATGTTAGAGGCATGCCGCTTGTTCGGGATTGTGCTTCAGAAGATTAATTACTTACCTAGACTGTATGAAGTCTGCTCTGATGTTTCCGAAGATGGATCACAATAGGCTTGTTGTACTATTAGGATGTACTGTGTTGACGTCTCTGAAGACCAAAGTAGAAGATTAATTAGCTAGGATGACGTCTCTTAAAATCAAGATCATGATCAAGATGGATCCATCATTTAAATTAGGGTAATAATGATCATATTGGGGTAATAACAGTAAGCCTTAATAGAGCCAAGACCGCTAGGCCGTTGTCGAGAGCATAAATCGCAATGAAACTGGGTACCACTTCCAAGACGAGTGACATCATGTCCGCTTCGCTTCTCTCTGAAGATGGAGTACCTTGTTTGCCAAGTGTGCCATTGTTGTCTTCCTTCTTCCTCAGGTTCAGGATGGATAACATGATGCCACGCAAAGTCAGTACGCCGATCTTTAGAAGATGAAGGACGTCAGGAGTTCTGTATAAGTACTATCATCCATACTGCACGCCATCCATCATCTTCCGTGGTCTTAACAAATGCTCTAGTATAGTCCGTGGTCTTCATTCATTCATTCATTTACCTAGCAAGAGGTCTTAATAACAAATGCTCTAGTAAATAGTAGTAGACTGTACTTCTGAGGCTGACTCTAGTCTTGTCATTAAGCTTCGGATTTGAGGAGAAAAGAAGAAGATTGGCCATTCGACACAATCGCAATCCAAGATGACGCATGTAGTGTGGATGAGGCACTACAATCGATGAGATGAGTGCGCAACTCGTCGTAACCTTAGCAAGAAATCAATCTCAATGCATGAAACAAATATCAAAGATGAAAGAAAGCAATTCAGCTATTGGAAGGCGCCTTAACAAGATAATCGCCTGAAAGATCCCGCGAGGATTCTGCACATACAAACTGAGTCCCCAGGGCCACGGGTGTGGTCCCATCCTCACGCAGGGTCCATACTCCCAGCCTAACCACTCTTCAGGACGTTGCGGTAAGGAAGTTTAGAGGAGGCAGAAAAGCATCCTGTTCCTGTTGCTCTCTAGAGAGGACCTACTTATAAATAAAGATAAGCATGATCCTGTTCCTCTCTATAGTATGGCGCGCGTAAGTATATTTGTCCAAAGTATATAAAAAAATTTCATGCGAAAGAAATTGCTTCGAAAGTGCAGAAGGGAAGACAGCGGCGCACTGCTGGATGGTCTGAAGACAGCGGACACTGGACAAACTGCGAGCGCACTATGCGACACAGGTGACACCGCGGCGGCAACTGCAATAGGGGCGGACACCTGAGGCCACCGGGAGGCAGCGTCGACGCACAAGAAGGGCGCCGTTGGCGGTGGGCGAGGCCTGAGCCTTATTGTCAGGCACACATTCGACCATATGGAAGGACCCGCCAACGCCGTTGGCCTGTGGGCTTTCGGCTCTTGGCCCTCTCGAGAACTGGCTGCGATTTCTGTGCTGCAGGCCTTGCTACGCCATGCCGCGGACTCCGTTGAGCAGGGGCGCCTAGCGGGATTGGGGGTCCACAAAATGAGGGGTAGGATGAGGGGGTTTGTGGGGGGGGGTGTTCTGAGGAGCGTGGGCCAGCGTGCCGGGCAGGGTAAGAAGACAAGGAATTATTTTGCGAAACTATATAGGGGGGGCCAAGAGGGGGGGTCTGAGAAGTCCAGTCCAGAGGCCCTTGAGGGTTGTCTCCAAGAGTGCGCGCGACCTCTTGGGCCCGATTTCCCTTGAGTTCCTGGTCCTGAGGTTGCCCGCGGGCCAAACAGCTCCCTCACGGAGCCGGGAAGCGTCGACTGGTGCTGGTCTTCGCGTCTAAGACACAGGCACGCAGATGCGACCGATCCCGGCTGCTGCCAGCGTATCAGCGGAACAGGGTTCGCCTGTGGGTTCCTCTGTGCACTGCCGTGCGCCCTTTTCGTTGCATGTCAATTGTGACGCAACGCCGCCCAGCCTCTCACCGGATCAGAAGCAGGGGCCTCCAGAGGTGAGAGCGTCGCTGACGTGGATGCACCTTGCGAGTTGCCCGACGTTAGTGTTTTAGGTGAACATTTTTTATATAGTTTGAAAATATATACTTACGCGCGCCATATATAGAGATAAGCATGTACTAGAGGTAGACCTTAGAATTTCAAGGAATACCCATTCTTTAGGTAAGTTCAACAAGAGCAGGAGAGGGAGGGGGGCAGGGTCATTTTTCAACATCCTGAGGCGTATTGCATGCTTTAACCTCTCTTCAGGATGCTATGAGGTAAGGAAATTTTGGGGATGGAGGAAAGCACACTACTCGTCCGTAGGATATAATCAATGCTGTGCTGCCACGTGGCAGGGACATTTAGTGCTGGAAGGAGCCATTTCAATTTCTTTTTATCATCTGAAGTTTCTAGTATCGTAATTAACTCGTATCCCGAGTTCGCCAAATACATCGCTTCGCAGAGGGAGCAAGGAGGACAGAGGAAATGTGAAGTCACTGTGGGTGTCGCCAATTCGCTCGTACCATGCATCCTTTTTTAGAGCTGCCACGTTTGCATCCCTGACGCCATCCGCGGCTTCGTTTTCAAGTAGGAAAAGAAGAACCAAGGATCATGGTGTTCAGCACATGCATCAGCGGTGGCCTTAACTTCTCCATCATCTCCGAAGTTGGGTGATCGTGGTCTTCTGCTTTCTTACTTGATGAAGTGAATCTGTTGTTTTTAGTCGCAGTCAACAATTCTTTGTCGAGATCCCAATAATTGCGTGTCTTCATTACCGTTTTTTAGAAGTAAGGTTGAAGTCAAATAGCCGTAGACGAGAAACCAAACACTTCCAATTGATTCGCCCTGAACTACAAAGTGCTGCTGCGAAAGGAAGTTGGAGTCCAATTCAAAGATTCTTTTTCCCTGTATTGGCAATTACATACAGTGTTGCTAGTCTAAAGGCTAAATGCTGCTAGGGCTAGCGCTAGCCGCCACTACCAAATATTTCTCATATGGGTATGGCAAATGAAGAGTCTCAATCTTTTCTCGTATGAAAATAATTCTTGCCATAGTTCTCGCTGACCGACTCCGTCACCTGCCAATCGCGTTTTTCCTCTACTGGACCGTAGGCAAACATGTCGACCATGACTCCCCAGTCTCTGTGTGTGAAGCGTCCCGCGATTCGCTTCGAGTCGCCGACGCAATCGACCTTACAACTTTAGAGTCTCGCAATAATTCACCTCACTAGGCATTGGTCGTTGACCTTGATGAAGCGGCCCCACCATGATCTTTTCCGCCATAGATAGCGCCTTACTTATTATAGAGTTAAAAATTTAGAGTGCTAACAAACAGTAGAATCACAATCAAGCAACAGGAGAATTGATGAAGAAAGTGAAAGATTGCTCATTAATGAAGAGAATACTGAAGCTCTTTCTAGTTTGCTACAAGTACAGGGTACTACTACAGGAATACCTACTATGATGAAGCTCCATTGTCACCACATACTTCGCTCACATAGTTCATTCAAATACACATAGTCCATTCACATACTTCTTGTTCTCCTCACAACGGCAAGCAAAATGCACTACTTCCACGGCACTGCGCCGCCCCAACTTAGAGCTCACCGTTATCCATGCTGAGATGTATCTTGGTGCTTCTTTCTCCTGTTAAGGAAAAGCTTTCCCAAGATGCACTTCTATCTGAAGATGGACCATTAGCTATCTGATTCATTGATTGATTGATTGATGTGCCTGGCAAGAGGTCGATGTTGAATGATTGTACCTATACTAGAGGTGTTAGATGTTTAGGATGTTTCTATGGTTGGACCATTTTTAGGGGAAGACGTAACTAACTCTCTCTGAATCGCTGGTAGCCACGCGGAAGAATTCTTCCTAGAGGTTGTAAGGAGATTTTGTTCAGCTTTTCGACAGTCTCCCAAGAGAAATCCTAGATCTCCATCCTTAGAGCTGCTTGGAGAAATCCATCTTGATTGTGGAGCATCCACATCTTACTGGTGTCCGTTTTGGTTTTCCTTTAAGAATGAAACTGGCCTCAGAATCAGACGCTGCCTAAGATGGATTTCTTGAAGACGCCTTAACATCCGTATCCCAAGGCACCATTTTTTTCTGATGCCGTACGTGCCCTATCAAGTTGGCTGATTACTTTAGAGTGGTCGTCGGTTTCACGACTGGCGCAGGAGGACTATTATTGTTGCATGGGATAAGCCTAAGAGTGTGGAGGTGAAAGCTAACCGGTTGTTTTACTTAGTGCTTTGAGCGTCGCAGGACCTAAACCTTCACCTAAAAGGTGAAAGCCAAAGCCAATCAAGACTCTAGTATTATTCTCTTATTTATTCTCTTTAGAAGTAGCTTTAGCTAGTTACTGTAGTTCTTACTGTAGTTCTTCTCGTTGTGCTCTCAAAAGTAACAGGTGATTACTTGTTGGAAGCTTGTAAGCATAATTCCAAAAACGTTGGCAGACCCAAATTCCCAAGGGCCTGCGACGCGTCTCGCAGTACCTCCTCAACGGCGCGGAGGCGATCGTGCTGTATCCCTTTCTTCGTTAGATGATAATGATGATTACCCAAACAAGCTGAGAATCTATAGATGTTTTAAGTACATCCAAAAAGTCAATGGTCGTGCACACCCACAAGCATTGCGCACATACATCAAGCATTCCGTCTCCTGGTCACTTTTCATCACTAGAGCCTTAAACTGGGGTCGAAGTATTTTTCATGCACATGCTCCTCCACGTTGAAAAAAGGGTGATCCAAAGGCGCTTCTTTGACCGCTTCTTCGGAATACAAAAACTTAGAATTTTCTAAAGTAACAGTCCTTATCTGTTGTAAAATAACAGTCCTTAGAGTCTGTTCTAAAATAACAGTCCTTATCTGTTCTAAAATAACAGTCCTGAACCTTATCTACTTCAAAATACGAGACAGAGTCCTTATGATCTTGAAGAGAGCCATAAGAATGACACCTTGGAACAACTGAGCGACTCCAAGGAGAAACCCTACCTGGAGCGCCGAAGCGAGTTCAGCAAGAGACAACATTTTTTTACTCTCTAGCTCTTGTTGATGTTAATGTTGTCCTCCTCCTCAGGGAAATTTGTCTAAGACGACTGATCATCTTGCTTGTGTTCGCTTTTTGCTTTGTTCTAGTTCTACTGTATTAAAGACAAGATAGACAACATACTTGTTACAGCTCTGAAAGTTCTTGATCCTCTTCCTCTTGTATGTATGTTGGGATCCCTGATGACACTGTTAGTAGTGCCCGTAGAGAGTAGTCCTGATAGCGATCATGACCGAAGTCAAGACGGTAACTGCACCTCTTGTAGGTCTACTGCTTACTTCCCTCAACTTGTTGCGGAGAGAGAACCACATCATCAATGTGCGTCCTCTACGTCAACAGGAACAGCGTCTTATAATATTCAACAGCTGCGTTTGGATTTTTTCGAAGCAAAGCTCTGCACTTTCTTTATCATGATCTGCACACTTACCAGAGCAAGTTGTTATCAAGGAAATAATAGCGAGCAAGTTGTTATCAAGGAAATAATAGCCAGATCGATGAAGATCATGATGTTTTTACAACGAAACCAGAAACCCAGCACCTTACTTGACCGCCAGGAGCGCCAAACCCGAGGCAGATGACCCCCGCTGGTGGAGCGAAGGAAAAGTACAAGTTTCAGTCAGGCTCTGACTCATAGCGATAGCGATAGCAGTCATTGATTGAACTACTAGATGGATAATATTACTTCAAGAACGTATTGCACTCGTCAAATTCGAACTACTCATATTGAAGATTATTGTATCTTCGTTCCTTACACTACAACTAGGACTACTACTCTAGGAAATGATAAGATTCTCTAGCTAGTTGAACAAAGTAAGGGAAATCCTCCAAGTAGGAAGGTATTACGAAAACTCCGTCATAGATCTTCATGTTGTGTAAAACCTTTGGGCCTGTTCGTGCTCCCAGAGCTATACAACCGATGGTGCAACAAACTGATTAAAAAATTCAAATTTCACTGTATACAACGTTATACAAATAAATAAGTAAATACGAAACTACGGTCATAATTTTTCTCTTCAAGTATAATGAAGACGCTTCCGCCGTTCTTCAAGTATAATGAAAGATTACTTTTCTCTTCAAGCACAATCCTGATATGCCAGCACCAAAGAATCCTGATATGCGCATGAACTCGACTCGTGTGGAAAGCACCATTTAGTATGCACTCCATCTTCATCACGTTCACGCAAAGAACTCATTTCTTTAGAAGTGGTCAGGACAAACATTATCATCTTCAGCAAGGGAAACGGAAAATCAAAAGTGCTTTCTTATAGCCTGTAAGAATATTATGCATCCTCAAGATCACGAAAGGCCATAAATTGTCGCAATCATGGGTATGTGATCGCTGATATCCAAGTCCCAAAACCCATCCAAGGCTTCTGCGTGCACGACTCGCGAATGGCCTACTACGAAGATGGATTAGAGATGAATGCCCTACTAAGAAGAAGGGTTAGAGGAGGACAAGATAGGTCGTGTACCATCTTAATCTTCATATAGCATTGACAAGCCGCGTTGTAAGCGTTCAGCGTCTTCGTATCGTGAAGTAGCAGCATGCTCTACTTGAGGTAACGATATAGTATCTCTACTTCTAACACCTTAACCTAAAACTAAATCATCTCTAAATATTTAAGAAAGCATTCTCGTCTTCTCACCTAATAAATCATCTCTAAATATTTATATATAAGAAAGCATTCTTCTCTGCCATAAATGTGATCGATATCCAGCTTCGAGCTCCCGCTTGCTCCGCTTACTATCCTCGTACTCGGGAACATGTCTCTGTAGCCTTCCTCTCCGCCAGGATGAGGGTTGCTGCTATTAGAAAATCTTTGCACCTAAATAGATAATAATAAGATAACAGAATAATTTATAAGGTTTGGCAGCATGGATCGCATGGAGTGCATGGATCTGCATATATTAGAGAGATGGCCTAGTTCTTGTCCCGCCGGATTCTAAAATATTACAGCTCCTGGTGTCAAGAAACTTACCTACTCCCTTTCTTCAAGGACATAATTAAGTTGTCCTCTGGGATCGTGTATCTCGTTGGGTTCAGCACGTGCACCATTCCCGGAAAATCTGTGGTGAACACTTGTTCCAGCTCGTATGAGTACCAATTAAGGTCTCCCATTACCACCGCTGCATTGATTTCATTAGTGGCCATTTTTGCCCGTATCTCGTCCCTCAAAGTTGGCCAATACTTTTCTCGCTCAAAAATATTGCCGTGGCAATTGTAGACCTGCAAGAAGTCGTGGTGACTGAAATTGTAGTAGTAGGAGTAGTAGTAGTAGTAGTAGTAAACCCTGGAGGACCTGGTGCAACAAGAAGGGGCAACTGATTGCGCGAATGGCTCCGGTATTTGGTCAGCTGAATTCGATCACAAGAATTCCCCTCTTGTTTTCCCTTATGAATATGATCAAAATCAGGTTACCGAATACCAGAACAATACATTGTAATCACGAGGACTGGGTAAGTGAGAGAGCAGTGCCAGAACGTAGTAGACCTGTTGTAGTAATTGACTGAGTAAGGGATTCAGATTTGCGTATGTATAAACAATACCTGAATAATCTTTCCCACAAGGGATATTTGCACCGTTGCGTACCCAAACGTCGGAAATGGAAAATTCGACGGCCAGTCGTGCATGGTCATCTCGTCTACGTCTAGACCTGGAGCCACTATAATAGGTTGCCCACCGAAGGCTTAGAAACAAGATTCAGGACATAGTCCACCAGAAAGATGATGAAAAAGCCACGTAGGATTACTAGTATCGAGACGTGTACTACTAGTATTACAGAACAGTTTATAAGGCTGCCGGGGGCCGGTTGGCATGGCACGAACTTAAAGTAAGGTATTACAATATTAATGACAGACTTTGGACATCTTCAGTAAAAGGAAACCCAGGAGCCATAAAAAGAGTTGGAGCGTACTCGGTTTCCGTAGAACCATTTACATTTGACCTGTGAGCCTTCCTTCGGCAACTGCACGTATCGAGACCAGGTTCCGTATTCTTAGAGGGGTGGTAGTGATACTGGTAGAGCACGTCGTGGAGTAGTAGCTACTTGGCGTGCTAGAGGTCGTAGCAGAGTTACTCAGCGTGGCGGAGATCGTACATCAAGTTCTTGAGTTGGTAGACATTTTTTACACCTTAAAATCTGCTGGAGCACATCCCGACTTCATGCTCCCGAAACGACCTTGCTCCAGTGCTATTCGTCGATGATAATTAGAGTTAGCGCGTTGGAGTCGGCCCCCTTTCCACCCTTGTTGTATCAATAATGGGAATATTACAACAGGGCAAAATAAAAGTACCAAGATGCTGAGAAGTAGGATGGATAAAATTAAGGGAGGTATGCTAAAGGTGCTTTCGTTACCGTTTGTTATGGCTCTCCTAAGGGGGACAGCCATAACAAGCGGGATAGACGAACACCACGAACACCATCAAAAACCTACCTCTAATAAAAGCTGACCTTAGGTGCTCACCTGTCGTGACCCATGGGAACGGTCTGGCTCAGATAAAAGCTGACCATAAGATAAGGTGCTCACCTGTGACCCATGGGAACGGTCTACCTCCTGAGCCATGAATATGCCAAAATCGCGAGCCCCCAGACCTGGGTGTTGGGCTTCGGCTTCTTGCAGACCTACTACATCGGGTAAAACCGGAAAGAAGTACTTTGCATCAGAGTTCTGATCCTTGTCGACTGCACGATATAGGGAGATGAATGATGCCACTGATTGAGATCTCAATGAGAAGATATGATGATCGTGTCCATTTTTTACTTTTTTGGGGACGACATCAACATTCACATTCTCTTGCTTCAATAATTCGCTTGTAGTTCTTGCTCTCAATCAGATGAACATGAAGCGCCTTCAGTACAACTAGTACCATAAACCTTCTCAATCAGATGAACTACAACTAGTACCATAAAGGAGAGTTTTTCGTACACCTCGGCAAAATTTTGCCGTGTCCAGTGGTCTGTTCCAGGATGGCCTCTCTGGATATTCCAAGTGAGAAAAGTCAAATTGAATGGCGTCGTAAAAATCCGTTGCATCGCGGTTGGTAATCTGGCGAAATGAGGATCGCTCAGTGAGACGTCAGCAGTTAGAACCTGTGAAGGAATCTTCAGGAGGATATGCGTCCTGATGAGCTGTGCCACCTGTACTCCATTCTATTAGGTAGTGTCCGTGGTGGAGTCCGTTTCCCCTGGTCCAGTTTCCCTTCTTGAAGGAATCCTCAGGAGGATATGCATCCTGAAGATTAGCTCCACGTAGGGTAGTTGACAATCTTCAGGAGGATATGCGTCCTCAAGATTAGCTCCACGTAGGGTAGTTCACATAGAATCGATAGTTTACTTCATCTACTACATCACAAGGAGGCAATGATCACGTGTGCGTTCCGTGTTGCGATCCCTACTCGATCACCTAAGGAACTGTATTACATACAAGTTCTAGAGAACCAGCTCCTAAGTAACTTATAGTCAGGCGCTCAGCTAGTGGCAAACCCCATTAGTTCACATAGAATCGATAGTTTACTTCTACACGAGGTAACTTCTCACGAGGAGGTCTAATGATCTACAACTAGCCGTAACTCAGGTATTCGAAGAGGTGTTGCTACGCCGTCACGGACCATCACGTTGGAGTCGGGGGATATATCTGCGCGAGTAACAAATCCATAGGGTGCGAGGGAGTCACAATTGACTCCGAGACTTAGAGCTACTCGACCTAGTCGTGGTCTTCACAATTCAATCTATCGTTGACTTCTCTTCAGTGTGTCATACCCTCCATTATACCCTAAGATGCTGCATCAAGTCAGAGCACTGTTCCCGAGTTGTAGTCCTTGATCTTGAACTTGATGATATTCCATAAGAGATGACAAATTTCTGCTTTTCCGTAGCCTAGCCAAACCGGGATCCAGAAGAGGATTGCCAGAATGAAGAAGACCTGCTGCCTCAAGATGATACATTCTTCCAGGTAAATCACAAGTCTCCGATCTTCTTGCTCCTCCTTTGAGGGACAAGGATTAGAAATGTTGATCATAATAATAATAATAATCTACCCAGTCATGGGGTACGTACAGTTGTGGGAAAAGGGGGATTGCTTACCTTTTTTGCCGCCTTCTAGGTAGAGGTAGAGGAAGTGAAAAGAGGTAGAGGAAGTGAGAAGACGTAGAGGAAGTGAGAAGAGGTAGAGCCGGAAGTGAGAATCACGATTATCAATATTTATACTCCTAGGGACGCGCCATAATGATCAAAGCTTTGTTTGCACCTGGCGTCCGGTCTGAAGGTCCGGTCTCCTCTGATGGAGGAGTCGTCACGAAGTACAAATCTGTAGCCCATAGTTTTGGAGTTGCAGTGGTCGCGGTGTCTTCACCGTCAGGGTCTTTTAGAAGTTTCCTTATGCTGGATAACGGAGGAACTAAAACAGACCCAGGGCCACCTCTGGACTTCTGTGCAAGCACGCCTGTGTTCCCGCTGACCTAGAGAAATGAAAATCGCTAATAAGATACTCATGATTTTTTGAGTTGTCCTAGATGTTCCGGTTAGATGTCCTCGGGCCTGTTGGCCAGCAAGTCAGCTTTAAAAGCCTTGAGCCAAATTGAGAAATAAAAATAAATCGATCAACCGCTAGAGAAATGAAAATCCCCTTGCGTTTTTGTACTTCTAGAGAAATGAAAATCGTTTTGCGTCTTTGTAGTGCAACTTCTCCATCTCCTCATCCTTAACTCCTTGCCACGAGCTGCAAGCCTTTGCTTCACCACTCTTTCGTCCGTTAGTAGCAAGACTCCCGCAAGTATGAGCCGCAGAGAGAACGTCGGAAATCGGACTAGGGGGATCACCAATACGGCGGGCACGAAGACTAGACCAGATTGAATCGATAGCATGGGCAAATTCCACAAGAAGCCTACTGTCCAGATGAGATATTGCGCTATAAAAAGCGCAATCAGATGATGCTTGAGCAACACAAAAGCAAAGGGGATCTTGCTTGTAGAAGTACTGTTCTTGGTAGTTGTACTAGTACCCGACCGGGTCTCAACAAAGCACTTCCTGGCAGCCAACAATTGTCTGATCCACGCGCTGATTTCTGCTGTGAAAAAACTAACAATTGCAATCCACAACATCAAGAGTATGGCGGCATCTGACTTGTCTTAGAAGAAAAGTCAAAGTGAAAACGCAGAAGACTATGTTAACGAAATTATCTAGGTTGGAGGGCTGATTCATCTTCTTGTGATAGGCAAGTCGATTTAGTTGGAAATGAAGGACTAGATGACTGGATGCGGATGAATCTGGAAGGAGTATAAGAACTGTTCTGTTTGTAAATGAAAATCTGTTATACTAGAAACACAGACCCTCCTGTTCATCCTGTCGTAACATAGAGACGCACCTGCCTCTTCTTCGAATATGTTGTTGACGCTTCGTCCAAGCTCATCTTCCACAATGATGTAGGCCACGAAAGCCGCAAAAACTAAGCCCACTGTCTTCCACCTTTGCCAATTGGTTGCTACAGCATAGAGGGCCTGCTCGAATCGGAGCTGCTCCAGTCTCACTGCATTGGTCGCGGAAAAAGTCTTTTGGGTATTTAGAGATGCAAGTTTTAATCATGCGACCTACCTAGGACTTTATTTCAGAGTCAGTATATCTATGGTTTAAAAATGTAGAGAGAACTTCCGTCAAGTCTCCGTATTTAATCCGCTTAGAAGCGTAGGTTGTGGATCTTAAGACCGTGAGTGGCTTTCCTCGATGATCTTGATATCGCCCTTGCTAGTTTTTTCGTGAAGATTATTTTTGATATCATTCATTCATTCATTTTCGAACCACGTGACAACTCAAGAAAGCTGCCTGATATCATCAAAGAGATTGATACAACCAGGAATATTATGATTGCGCAGCCAAAGCCTTAACTGCACAGAAGAGACGTTTTCCTGTGCTGGTGACGTGCTGGTGCTACTCGGGGGAAGACTGCTTGTCCCGGTAGAAGGCCACGACAGCTCAAAAGCTACTACAAGCAAACGATTACTGCAGATACACGCTATTAGAGTGTGCCCATTCCTATTCACCTCCGCTACCTCACTCATCTTGGTACCCTTGTTGCATCTCATCTTAGTAGCTTTACCCCTCAAGACCTTGGTGCCAACGCTTACCCTTTCATCATAACGTTACGAGGAAGAAGACGACCAAAAATTCTATTTTCAGGCCGAACCAACTCAAATTCGCAGTCGGTAAGCGCGTCACAAAAAATACATTCCCAAGCAGGAAAATCACAGCCATCAAACTCGTCACAATGGTCGCTAGCAGCAACGAAACCAGGTACCCATAGATATCAATGGCCATGACGTTCACTTCATCTCCTTCTTGGCTTTCTTTATTCGGATTCGCGCTGTTTACTTCCTCTCCTTGGCCTTGGCTTTCTTTATTCGCATTCGCCCCCTCACTATTACTTCTACTACCACCGCAGCAAGTCCTCCTACAACAGCGGAGCACACTCCTTGGACAACTATAGCGTTCTTGTGATGTTGACTGTGATGGAGCCGTGGTCGCCGAAGCTTCTCCTGTTGAGCAGTTCTCGGTCATCTGGTCAGAAGAGTCCTCTCTTCCTGGAAGCACTTGTAGTTGTGTCCAAGGTAGAAAAGCGTCTTTTTCGGCTATCCACCTTGAAAGCCAAGTGGATGACCCCCTAGTGGTTCCATTACTCAACGGACTGCTTTTACCGGCTTCTTGTAACTTAGAAGAGGCCAACGCACTCGGACTGCTTTTACCGGCTTGTTGTAACTTAGAAGAGGCTCCTGGCGTAGTTGTGTGGATGTGGTGTATTAAGTAGACTATATTAAGTATCTTTTTATTCACAAGAACCACATCATTTCTATAGGTCCTCATAGATATTGACTAGAAAGCCTTCCAAAGGAGCAAAAACCGGCAATTAGACAAGAACTGCATTAGCAAGAGGGTAAAACCCGAGCTAGCCATCACTATCTTCCTGTTCTTACCTTCAATTCCTCCGTCTCCGACATCTTCATCTTCTTCAGAAACTCTATTTTTGTGCCTCCTGCTTGAAGACGTGCTCCTTGTCGTTGTCCTTCCTTGTTCTACAATCACTGTGGTGGGCTGTAGCTGCTCTGCCATAGATTAGCGGCAGGGTTTTGGTGTTCGCTTACCCCGTTCGCTATGCCTTTCCCCCTTGAGCAAGGCAAAGCAAAGGGCAACAGGAACACCTGTAGCCTACCCTTAAGGAGATGATGATGGAGGAGATGATGATGGACTCGCGATCTGCCTATTACTTGATCTTTGTGCTATCTTCAGGTGCCACTTCGCAGCCAGACTGCTCAGATAAGCCTCCAACAAGTACACCAAGATCGTCACCGAAAAGCAAAGCACGACAAAAACGTGACTCGAATGCAGTATCCCGTGTAAGCTTCCCGTTCCCGCTTTGAGCGCATAGACAGTTGAGGTGAATGTTAGAGCAGCTTCTGTTGCATCCATGCCTGAGGGCATGATCCCTGGACGGCCTGATACAACTAGTCTTATATTCATACTTAATTCCCTTGAAAAAATAAAGTAAATGCCACCAGGGTGGGACATCCCAGGGCTTGGGCTTGATTTTTTTCATCTTGAAAAAAAATATGATAATGCTAAGGATCGATCTCGATGATGCGGAACGAAGATGCCATAATTAATGCTTTAATAGCTTTATAGTTAGTGGGAGCCTTAAAAATACTGGCGCCATCGCTAGCCAGAGAGTGACGTCCACACTAGTCGTTCGCTGCAGAAAGAGTGATCGATGATTAGCACCAAGCAGCTGCATCCTCGGATGCTCCCTGCGATACTGGTTTTCGCTGTAGGCGTTGTGGAAGGTCCAATAGAGCAGCAAGAAATCCATCCAAATCAGAAGGACAGAAAATGGTCGGAACTGGAACAAGTTCAGAAAATTAGAGCATGTTGAGCATACAAGCATGTTGAGTTACAACAAGATTCATTTTATACAGACAAGACATGAAGAAGATCCATTCTGAGTGAAGTAAACAAGAACAGGATGAAGATCCTCCATTATAGACTAGTACATGATGATGCAGTTCTATTTTGAGTAGAGCTTCAGGTGGGACCAAGACCATCTGCTTGGAAACCTCAGCCTTGCATTATCCATTCATGTATGATGCAGGCATCTACTCAACGATATGCGATGTGAAGCCGTAATAAGAACCAGCGAAAACGGCAGAAAGTAATCCACGAAGTCTGCAGCACCCCTATTCTTTGGTCTTTGCGATTTGTGTTGTTCCAAAGCGTGGTCTGGGTCGACTTTCGACAACAACTGTTCTATCCAAAAAGCGGGTCTCCAGCACCAACATTCAAGACTACACACGCAACGTCGGATGCAACAACAGGTTGTAGTGGACGTATTTTCATTATCTTGTTGATGTAGATGTTCTTGTTGAAACCCAGTTCGACTTCGGTGATCGTGATTCGCATTCTCCCCTGTTTCTTCAGAGGAGCTTGGAGGTGAGGCGGTGGAAACTGGTGCGTGGACAACACTTGACTTGTCACCTCGTCTACAGGCGAAGCACCAACAGCAGCAAAGATCCCACGTCACTTGTCCGCAACCTGTACCGTGCCAAAGTACGAAGAAAAGGCTGTAGAGGAAACAGAGAATTAACGCCAGTTTCTCACACACTATCTATGCCTGGTTGAGTGCTGAGTGTGAGTTCCCCTCTTTTCCCCACTATCTAATAATTTTCCCCTTCAAAAAATAATCCAGGGGGACTCGTCCACTCTCTCAGCACGGTCCAGCACGCCCTTTAAATAATCCAGGGGGGCTCGTCCACTCTCTCAGCATTGTCCGGCACAGACACTCTATGTATACGGGACACACAGTGAAAAACTAGCTGCTCTACTAGCCTTCTAGTTCTACCTAGCCTTAAGAAAAGGTGAAACATCATCGCTGGCAAATGGTAGAGAAGATGGTCTCTGGGATTCTTTCCGCCTGTCGCACCCCAACTCCAATAGAATGCCTCGAACCAAGCAAAGGCACCCTGGAACAGCCAGAACCAACGTAAAAAATCCGCGCCAACACTGCTGCCGTGGAGTAAGGGCTTGAAATTAGGATAGAAGACCTCTTACTTTAGATGTACTAGGTAGTACAGCCTTAATCATACTCTTTGCAGTTCAAGTCCATCTCTTCTCTCTTTTGTACCCTTGTGTGTCTTTCTTGAAGAGTTGTATCTGTAACACAGATCAGAGGAAATTCATACTGTCTCATTAAACATAGATACTTTTCAGGAAGATGAAGAATCACAATCTCGTACAGCGTGGCCAAAGAAGAACTACTCATCAAATCTGCAGCCTTAATGATATGTCGAAGACGTTTTCGTAGGAGGACCGACTTGGGATCGTCATCTTCGAGACGGAGGGAATCACCTGACCCTTGAAGGCCCGAGTCGGGATGGTCATCTTCGAGACGGAGGGAATCTCCTGACCCTCGAAGGCCCCCTGAAGATGGCCCTTGAGGATTAGATGCCTTCTCACAGCGATCTCTGTGGACCAAATCCCTGCTCAAGCATACGCTTTAGATTCGTGATCTCCTTCTCTCGTTTTTGGGTCGATACGCTTCTTGAGGGATGCCTGTAGCAGAGATGAATTGATTACGGGTACTAGCCTTAAGAGATGAGCCTGCTCTACTCGATCCCTGACGCTGCTGAGGCTGACCCGTAGTCGTAGCAGTAGTCTCCTTGATGTCTAATCCAAACGTGACAACACGCGTAGACGCCCCTGAAGTCGTCCTGTCGATAGTATCTGGCCTATCTGCTCTATCATCAACAAGTTGTGGAGCCACGTCAGAGGCATTTTTGTTCGACAAAGACGTTTTTCTTTCCTCTACTCCTACTTCTCCAGTTTCTGAGCCGCTCTCCGCACCAGACCCATTTTCATTAGGGAAGGTAGAAGGTCTCGTCCGTTTGACTTTGTCTTTGACCTACACCTACGAACGATGATCGCGACTACACCTACGAACGATGATCGCGATCTCCTAAAGAAATGTCGTAACTGTCTGTAAAAGTAAATTATCTATCGAGAATGTCGTAACTGTAAAAGTAAATTATCTATCGAGAATGTCGTAACTGTAAAAGTAAATTATCTGTGAAGAATCAAGATTAGGGACTTTAGTTACAACATCCTTTATGATATTAAGATACTGTACCAACATCCAAAGCTTAATGTCGGGAGTGACGGCAATCGGTGTAGCAAAAATGTGCGAAGTGCTTCGCTCCAATTCGTGGGGAAGCGTGTCCATCATGCGCAGATGAGATGACGTCGCTAATCCTAATGCGCCAACACTCACACGACGTGCCTGTAGTTCATCTTTTCAGCTTCTTGTTGTGACGACTTGTTGCGGGAAGCCGAAGTGCGACATGCGTTTGCACTGTTCCTGATGATAGTGACGATGTCATGGTTGTAAAAAAACAGAGCAGAAGCAGGAACGCACTACACGACAGCCGTCGTTTCCATATTTTTCATTTTGGTCTTTGCACATTAAACGAAGAAGATCATAACCAACACTGAAATGAATCTGGACAACTACAACTACAACAACACTCATTCATCCTTTACTCGCAAAAAATCTGCGTTGACTCCAATACTGATTTTTTACAAGTACGGCTAGTGCTAGTGGCACACTATTTACTTGGTAACCAGCCGTCTTCTGCTTTTCTCCAATCTGTTCGCTACAACTCGTACCCCACTCGGACTCTCACCCTCTCGCGTACTAAGAACTGCAACAACGGCGCTTATGATCAACAAGGAAGAACAGCACTCCAGCTTTTCGAATCAATGAAGCTGCTACTCCAGCTCCATGTACGAGGACCTGATGTCCTCAGCACGCAGGTATTTTTACACACATGACAATCATAAACTTCGTTCATTCATTCATTCTTGCACGCAAAAGATCTGCGTAGACTCCAACAAGTGGGCTACGTTTTTGGAAAGTGTTGTAGTTGAATGAATTTGCATGTTATTGAATTTGAAATTGAATGTCAGAAGAATGATGGTCAGTATTTTAATGAGTTTTACAAACATCAGAGTTGTCTTTGTCAACTGGATTGATAAGAAGATGTTCTGTTCAAGTTCATTTCTCACTACTTACTATTAACATGTTCTGTCAAGTTGTTCATTTCTTACGTCTTACAATTCATCTTCATTCATTCGGTACTCGCAAAAACTCCGCGTTGACTCCACCAAGTAGCTACTCAACAACATCAAGAACAAGGTAAGGCAATTACAATTTTCTTGTCAACATATTCTTCGCTGTCATCAAGTTCAAGGCCAGTAGCCTCGATCGAGTCAGAGTGCCAGGCGCACCGACGTCGCGAGATTTACAGCGTAGATCTGTTCGGCGTCACAATCCACTTCGAAAAGCGCAGCTAGGTAGAGGGCCCACTGATTACTCTCCCCTTGAGCCTTTACGTCCGGCGCTAATCTTCTTCTTCGCTTTCATCAAATACAACAGCATACAAGAAGTAGTAGCTGTAAAGCTACTCTGTATTAGCACCATAAGGACCTTGTATGTTGAGATTGATTGAATTTATGACTCAAATTCTACCATGTTGAGGCGAAGAATATTCCAAAAAAAAAGATGCAAACAGGAGTCGGGTTATAATAATTGACTAAGTCAGGTTACCCTCCCCGTTAGCTAATTCGGGTTACCCTCCCCATTGCTCAGGTTAATACCGTTCCAACTCGTAGTTAGGCTTACCCTACCCGTTAGCTACTTCTTACTTAGTGTCCCGCTAACGGTCTCGTTAGGCTCCCCGCTAGTTAGAATTGCGATTACCCTCCCCCGTTAGCTAGTTAGGCTTACCCTGCTCCCCATTAGTCAAGTTGCCCTCCCAAATAGTTAGGACGATTGCGTAGTTACATTACAAGACGAAGGTGTTTGGAAACAAAGAAAGGTGAAAAGTCTTTGTTACGCAGGAGACCTCGTCTAGTACAACTGGGTCGTCTAGTACTACTACTACTGGGTAGAAGGTAAGAACTCTAGTACAAGTGAATAGTAGATGATCATGTATTACTGACTCTGAGAAGATGCCATGATCGCTTCAACGTTTCGAGGCTGATGCATCAGAGACGTCGGCTGGCAATGACGCACCTTTTTCTCATCTTATCAGAGTTCCACCGACCAGATGAAAAGAACAACAGGGGTCGCGTGGATGTTGGAGAGTTGCTTTCTCTTCTTTAGGACGACCAGCTAGTAAACTACTTGTACTAGAATTCGAATACGTGTGTTGAGCAGAGTACTGGAGAGAATGGAGCATGCAAATCAATGTTGTGGAGAGTGCTGTTTAGACTTCAACGATGCAACTGTTGGAGACTGCTGTTTAGACGAACTGTTTTGCTGTGGAGCTGGTGGATGGCGATGTAGCACTTTCATGGAATTGATTTTCTTTCTACTCATTCAGTTACAATTACAAATTTTTCGAATCGTTCGACGCGCCAGAGTCTGTGCATCGAAGCACGGGCCTACCAGCGCACTACTTTTCTGATGCTGATCTGAGCGATGTTCGTAGGGCCAGCTGTTCTTGCATCTTCTTCAAGTAGGCCGCCTGGTACAGGTGGATATCTTTGAAAAACTTGGACTGATGTCCATTGAGTAGTATTAAATATATTGGTCATATGAAAAAGGATCGATCTTTTCCTTTCGATTCGCTTTCTTGCATGTAGTCAGTCATGACGTTAGAGCTACCGCGTTCGCATCCCTGAGACCATCCCTGAGCCTTCTCCATCTCACCTCGAAAAAAAGGCCGAGGATGATGCTGAGGATGCATCTACCACGGTAGCCTTAGATCATGGTGATTAGTCATGTTCAAGTTCAAGCTCAAGTCCAAGATAATTGATTATGACCATGGTGGTTAGTCAGTCATGTTAGTCCTGTTCAGACTATAAAAACCTGTACAATTATTAGTTCAGACATTTTTCTCTATCGATGACAAATAATGCTACTACTTCTACGGCAATCTTAATCATGAGTAGAATGCCCATGGTGGTTAGTCATGTTAGTCCTCCTCCTGTTCATCAGACTATAAAAACCTGTACAATTTTTACTAAGTAAGCTTTACGTTCACACCTAAACGCGTGCGCAAACAAATCCACAATGAATGACTCAGCAGAGCGCCCATTATATGTGCATGTGGTCAGCTCAACAATAATCGAATTTTTCGTATTTCTTCATCAAAATTTTAAGCGGGAACGGTAATCCTTGTCAAACCTTTTTTGCAATCGATGAGCAGATTGATGCTCTTTGTTTAATACTGTTCAAGTACGCGTAAAACTGTTGTAATGCTTTTTGTTGCAAATGAAAACTTTTCTTACTGAGTGATAGCTTGCTTTTGATTTTGAAAACCATTGGACTGCGTGTATCTGAATGTTGAGAAAGTCACTGAAAACATTTCGCAATCTTATATATCTGGTGTTGTTCTTGAGTTCTTGACGAGTGTTTGAAATTGAATATTAAATATTAAATGGTTGGGCTATTTATTAAGTCGCAGCTTCTTCACCTCCTTCTGAGACCCACAATTAGGGGAGATGAATGTACTAGTACTATTGCACTATCTTGTTCGTAACAATCCGGATCCTCAGACACTTCTCTCTCCTTAGTATTTGTGTAGTTGGTTACTTTCTTACTTTGAGTAAATGGTCTTGATGCCCATCATGGCGGAGGCGGAAGGTCCTACTTCCTTCGGAATACGACTCTCCCTAACAAGCTGTTGAAGCGAGAGAAACAGTGCTAAAACTTTAATACGAATCATGCCCCATAAGATCAGATGTGCACCCACGTCGACAAGGGCACCCAGTCGATAAATAATGAGTCGAGATATCAATCTGAGTTCTGAACCAAAGTCTTAGAGACATCATCAGAAAGGCAGCTTTCTGCATCAGATGACTTTGCACGTATTTCTAATACAACCAGAGGAAACAGAAGTAGAGTTGATTTACTGATTATTTCCTTCTATGACAACCCCCCCTTCCTTTGACAACTCTCCAAGACCCATAGTCTTGCAAAAACCAAAGGAAAGAAACCCCCGTGATAGTGATTAGCTCTACGCCCATGGCCATCTCTATTATCTCCCATTCTACAACCCACGACCAGCTTCCCAAAGTGCTCATGTCATGACCTGCCTCCCCCAGGTCTTATTACGACCTGCCTCCCCAGGTCGTACTAGTAGTCCTCGTCCTCTTTAGACAGACACTGCGTCGAGGACTGCTGCTTCAAGGAAACTGGAGGCTGCTCGTGCTGGCTGTCCTGGTAGTCGTCCTAGGGCCCGATGCTGGGCTCCTGCCGCTTCAACACTATGCACGAAGCCCAGCCAAAAGGGTCCCCGGGAGGGCCTGCCTACACCTTCGGCTTTTCTGCCTAAGTCTTAAACTTAAGCAGAAAAGCCCAAACTTTGGGCACAAAAATCCAGAATTTACGCAGAAAGATCCAAAGTTTAGGCAGCAGAAGCCAAAGCTTAGGCAGCGAAACGGCCCGAATTTAGTCCACCACCCCGGGGCCACCGGGTGGTTCCGGTGGCTAAAGTGAGCCGCTAAGCAGTGGCCCGGTGAAGTTTTAGGCAACCGACTCCGCCGCTGCGGCACACTGCTAAAGCTGCCTAAACAAAGGCAAAATCTGGATAAATTTAAAATTTAGGCAGGAAACTCGAAGGCTTAGGCAGACCGCGAAAAGGGCCTTTTGGTACCGTCTTCGTTCATAGTCGGCAAGCCTCTGCGCCTCTAAGTCACTCTGCTGCTGCTGCTGCTGCTGCTGCTGCGCTTGCGAACGTGTCTGCTCCGCCTCGAATTCTGCGGGTGTCGGGAACGGGAGGTCGTTTGCGGGTCTCAACGGAGAGCCAGACGTAGCTACCCCCGTAGCCGTATGCTGTTAGAAGAGCTTGGCCTAAGACGAATGATAAGTATTGCGGGAATTGATTTGGTACGTATGGGTGATTGCTTCTTGAGGGATTGGCCACTCTTTGACTTATTGATGTGGCCAAGAGGGCGAGCTGTATTAAACTTCATTTGCATGTAAATTTTTTAGGTGGTATGATACTATCAACATACTGCTACTGTGGATCAGGCAGAGACCGGTAGAGACATAACCCATTTTCATATACAATCGATTTCGAACTACTTTCTTACAATATCTACTAGTCAGACCAACAAGATAGTAAATACAGCGTGACTCAGTTTGTTTAACTTGAGGGGGATCTTCGTCATACATCTTCTGCGATTCTTGTGAATGGTCTTGGCCTATTCGTCCTCATGTTGGAATTGTAGAGGTTATTGTGTGATCCGTAGAGAAGTCAGACATCAGAAGTCTTGAATGGTGTATTTCCAGAAAAAGGAACTATGATGAACAAGATTATTTCTAGTTCTAACGATTGACCACTGCATAACCAGCCTCCTCGCCAGCAGCAGCAGCAGATTGTTCAATCATTGCGGGCGCAGGCTGCCGAGGAACACGAACAGCAGCAGCAGCAGCAGGAGGAGCACCATCACCACCACCTCCAATTACGGGAGAAGGAATGAGCTGAGAACCACTACCACCACCTCCACCAGCTCCAGTTGCGGAAACAGCAGTCGGCGTGACTCCTCCACCAGTGGATTCAGTCGACGCGCGTTTATCAGGAGGAGTACCGCAAAAACCAATCAGGTTGCACAAGGCATTACCAGGCTGGCCCTTGTCGGATTCCAGGAAGGTCTCTCCAGGTACCACAGAAGATGAGGTCTTAGAAGTTGGAGTATCTACTGAAAAGTTGTATGATCCTCTTTGTCTTGTCATAGGAGAAGGGTTCGTCAACTTGCAGTAAGTATTAAAGCGTTGTTAGTTGTATCAGAATAAGAGCTCCAATGTTACAGTTCTGATGCAGAACTCTCTCTGTATCATAAGTCTTCGCGTCAACATACTAGTCTTAGAAGAGGAGTCGTACTTGAAGTAACATAAAAGCAATACAGAACAAGAGCTCAAAATGTTAGTGTTGTGCACGTAGTACTTACTTAATCGAGACTCGTGTTGACTTGTATTACTCTCCTCATTATTTCTCCTTTTACTTTCAGAGTAGCTAGCCCATGCATTCATTGACATGGAGCACAATCTTGCTCCGATAAAAATTCTAAAAAAAGCCCACAAAAACAAAGTTGTAGAAGTACTATAACTATATTTCCGAATTCCATAATAGCTGAGGCCCCAATCGAAGCTGCAGTGAGGAGATAGTCGATAGACCCACTCACAACGGAACCGCCGGTGCCGATGTCAACCAAACAAAAGAGCAGGTGAAATTAGAGTAGAAGCATCTAAGTATCTATATGTTGTAGATGAAACATCAAGTAAGTCTACTTAGCTGAGTGTGCACGTTGCGTACAAACTATACCGTAGTTGCTTAGGAATAGGATACTTCCGAAAGGAGTGGTCTCCTCTACAAAGAGAGAAGCGCTCGGGGCTATAGTGGAGACGGAAAACAAGTCGCGCTTGTTAAGAAAGTAAGAGTCCTCGTCTTTGTCAAGGTTCCAGATCAAGTCGTTTTTGTTAACAGGAACTACAAAGCCAAGCCTTAAAACGGAAGCAGCATGCAGCAAAGCGTAAGCGTACGCCACCCCCAAAACGAGGGACCAGCCTCAACTCCTGGATTTTTGTTGGTAGTAATAGAAAGCTCCATCGACGCCATCCTGTTGTATATTATTCCTCTTCCTGTATAAGAAGAAGTCCAACTTTTCTTGTCTTTAATGAATTGCTCTTGATCGTCTGGAGTTGTCGATCTTGATAGTTTTTAAATAGAACGAAACGGCTATCCTGCAAATATCTCTACGAAAACGTCTCTGCGACAATCGGATTCGTCTTTCTTCTAACCTAGAAAATAATTGGGATTGGTTGGAGGCCTTCTGTAGCTGGAGTCAGTGTTAGAAGATTGTTGGTTTGGGTGCATTCGGATTGATGGATCAGATGGGGTAAATTGATTAAGTAATGAGGTGGAATAATGGAGGTGGGGTAAATTTTGGAATGATCGAGATAGATTGATGGATTGCCTTACTAAGTAAGTAACTGCTTGTTCATCGAAATGGAATGATCGATCACTGATGTGGTTATACCTAAAAAACAAGAAGACACAGATAAGAGGGAATAGATATTACGGCTGAATGATGATGATGAAAATGGTCGCACAGGAAGCAGGACTACGAGCAGTAAAAAAACGAGTGAAGATTGATACAATCATAGGGGTGGGCGATGATAGTCATGGCAGCGATAGCTTTCTTTTTTTCTTCACGACAGCGATGCCGATAGTTCTCTTTTTGTCATTTTCCAACGAAATCCAACCATGTTCACCGCACTCGAATCCTCGTGAGTGACGACTCTATTGACGGAGGGCACGATAGCGATTCTGTTCAACTTCTTTGAGGCATCTCTCGTCACTCTAAGACTAACTCTTTCTCGCGCGTTCTTCTCCTTTTAGCGTAACCAATCTGGGGGTAAGTGGAGCAAGAGGGGCGTTCAGTTTTGGAGAATGGACTAGGTAGTCACAGAGCAGCACGTCGAAAGTCATTGTTGTACACGGCGAGAAACATTAACGCCTTCTCCTGGCTCAACAGTCTACCTAGGGGAGCCGAAATTTCTGGCCAAGTTCTTGAAGCTGAAGCAGCCTAACCGTTTTCCTGGAGCTATTCTGGAGAGATTGAAGAAAGAGGTGCTGGAGGGATTGGATTATGCATTCGTGTCACTGAGAGTGGAAAGTGTGGTCTGGTTCTTATTCGTGGTAAACAAAAACATTTATTCAGTCAATGGAATAGTTCTTGAGTCAAATGGGTAAGAGGCTCCATCCATCCTTCCGATCATGTTCATGTTTGTACTGTCATGAGTGGACTTCGGGACGCCCCTCTTTCTCCTCCCCCGGAATCGTCACTTCACGCGACGAAATATGGCTCCCCTTCTTAGACTTCAACGAACTGTACAGGTAGCGTGGGCCCCTGGCTAATAGTGCGTTTTTCTTTGTCGATTCATTCGGTAGTTGTACTAACTACTTAGCAATAACAATTGATTTTGGATTGTTGATGAAGATAATAAGTAGTTGCAAGTGATGACCTGAGAAGATACTTGACATTTTGCTGTGCAACGATTTCGAATTGGATGGTGATGTATGTGTATCTCTTTCATGGAATTGATTTTCTTTCTACTCATTCAGTCTGTGCATCGAAAAACGACCCTACCAGCGCACTACTTTCCTGATGCTGATCTCAGCGATGTTTGATGTAGGGCCGGCTGTCCTTGCATCTTCTCCTTCAAGCAGGCCCTGGCGCAGATGGATATTTTTGAAAAATCTGGACTGATGTTCATTGATTAGTACTATTGGTAATATGAAAATGGATTAGTCTTTTTCTTTCGATTCGCTTTCTTGCATGTAGTTAGTCATGACGAGAGAGCTACCGCCGTCGCATCCCTGAGGCCACCCCTGAGCCCTTTTCATCTCCCGCCCTTGAAAAGAAGCCGAGGACGATGCCGAGGATGCATCTGTGGTAGCCTTAGATAATTATGATCATGGTGGTTAGTCATGTTAGTCCTGTTTAGACATAGACTATAAAAACCTGTACAATTATTAGTTCAGACATTTGCCGCCATCGGTGACAAATAATGCGGCAATCTTAATCAGAATGCACATGGTTAGTCATGTTAGTCCTCCTCCTGTTCATCAGACTATAAAAACCTGTACAATTTTTACTAAGTAAGCTTTACGTTCACACCTAAACGCGTGCGCAAACAAATCCACAATGAATGACTCAGCAGAGCGCCCATTATATGTGCATGTGGTCAGCTCAACATACAATAATCAAATGTTTCGTACTTCGTCGAAATTTCAAACGGGAACAATTACTCTTGTCAAACTTTCTTATTCTCAATCAATGAGTAGATTTAGACTGATGTAATGCTTTTTGTTGCAAATGAAAACTTTTCTTAATGATAGCTTGATTTTGAAAGCCATTGGACTGTCTGTATCTGAATGTTGAGAAAGTCACTGAAAATATTTCGCAATCTTATCTGGTGTTGTTCTTGAGTTCTTGGGTGTTTGAAATTCGATAAACGGTTGTTCTGAGCAAAGAAAGGTAAATCTAAATGATAAGAAATTTTGATAACAATGTTTAAGTCACAGCTTGTGTAAGAAATTCGGTCAATGGAGTAGTGGTCCACATATTGCAACTCTTCTGCTATTACTCGAGACACATGATCTGATTGTCATAATGAAAGTAGAAGAGCAACTGAAGCAGAAAGACAACCGAGACACTGAAAGTAGAAAAGCAGCGTGAGCGTAGACAGTGACTGCGTGCTCCTTCATTTCAGTTCGCTACTCGCTTATTTCGATTTTTCGGTAGACAGAAAGCATCAGCAATTCACACGCGTCTCTGATATTAGTCCATCGTTGTAGTGAATTGTCAGCGCGACGAGCACGATCATCATGCTGATGCATGATTTTCATTGCTCCACCGTATAGAAGTGTTCTGCTTATTGCATAATGCTATGACTTCCGAGACTCACAATTTGGGAAGATGACCTGTCTCCCCCAGGCCTTATTCTGACCTGCCTTCTCCAGGCCTTATTCTGACCTGCCTCCCCCAGGTCGACCTGCATCCCCCAGGCTTCTTTATTACGACCTGCCCCCCGCAGGTCATACTAGTTGTAGTCCTCTTGTTTAGACAGACACTTCTGAGACCCACAATTTGGGAAGATGCTATACTTCTCAGTTCTTAGTATTTGCAATGGTATTCATGTCCATCCCGATGGCGGAATCAATGATTGTACTTACTTACTTCGGAACCCTGCATGTAGTCAGCCGCGTCGAGGGAAACAAAAATGCCAAAATAAATAGTACGAATCAGGTCTGCACACCCGTGAGATCAGAAGCACACCCGACACCCCGCCCACCTGGTGCTACTTCTCAGAATCAGATGGTCAACATGGTGGGCTTTCCGCTTTTTCTTTCTAAGAAGTCCAGGTTGACCCTCTGATTCTGAGTATTTCCTCAACCCCGTGGCCATTCTTAAGTCAAGGGCAAATCAAGTTTTTTCGTCGCGTAGTTCTAGTTGCTAGACCGATGATCATGATGNAGCGTAGATCTGTTCGGCGTCACAATCCACTTCGAAAAGCGCAGCTAGGTAGAGGGCCCACTGATTACTCTCCCCTTGAGCCTTTACGTCCGGCGCTAATCTTCTTCTTCGCTTTCATCAAATACAACAGCATACAAGAAGTAGTAGCTGTAAAGCTACTCTGTATTAGCACCATAAGGACCTTGTATGTTGAGATTGATTGAATTTATGACTCAAATTCTACCATGTTGAGGCGAAGAATATTCCAAAAAAAAAGATGCAAACAGGAGTCGGGTTATAATAATTGACTAAGTCAGGTTACCCTCCCCGTTAGCTAATTCGGGTTACCCTCCCCATTGCTCAGGTTAATACCGTTCCAACTCGTAGTTAGGCTTACCCTACCCGTTAGCTACTTCTTACTTAGTGTCCCGCTAACGGTCTCGTTAGGCTCCCCGCTAGTTAGAATTGCGATTACCCTCCCCCGTTAGCTAGTTAGGCTTACCCTGCTCCCCATTAGTCAAGTTGCCCTCCCAAATAGTTAGGACGATTGCGTAGTTACATTACAAGACGAAGGTGTTTGGAAACAAAGAAAGGTGAAAAGTCTTTGTTACGCAGGAGACCTCGTCTAGTACAACTGGGTCGTCTAGTACTACTACTACTGGGTAGAAGGTAAGAACTCTAGTACAAGTGAATAGTAGATGATCATGTATTACTGACTCTGAGAAGATGCCATGATCGCTTCAACGTTTCGAGGCTGATGCATCAGAGACGTCGGCTGGCAATGACGCACCTTTTTCTCATCTTATCAGAGTTCCACCGACCAGATGAAAAGAACAACAGGGGTCGCGTGGATGTTGGAGAGTTGCTTTCTCTTCTTTAGGACGACCAGCTAGTAAACTACTTGTACTAGAATTCGAATACGTGTGTTGAGCAGAGTACTGGAGAGAATGGAGCATGCAAATCAATGTTGTGGAGAGTGCTGTTTAGACTTCAACGATGCAACTGTTGGAGACTGCTGTTTAGACGAACTGTTTTGCTGTGGAGCTGGTGGATGGCGATGTAGCACTTTCATGGAATTGATTTTCTTTCTACTCATTCAGTTACAATTACAAATTTTTCGAATCGTTCGACGCGCCAGAGTCTGTGCATCGAAGCACGGGCCTACCAGCGCACTACTTTTCTGATGCTGATCTGAGCGATGTTCGTAGGGCCAGCTGTTCTTGCATCTTCTTCAAGTAGGCCGCCTGGTACAGGTGGATATCTTTGAAAAACTTGGACTGATGTCCATTGAGTAGTATTAAATATATTGGTCATATGAAAAAGGATCGATCTTTTCCTTTCGATTCGCTTTCTTGCATGTAGTCAGTCATGACGTTAGAGCTACCGCGTTCGCATCCCTGAGACCATCCCTGAGCCTTCTCCATCTCACCTCGAAAAAAAGGCCGAGGATGATGCTGAGGATGCATCTACCACGGTAGCCTTAGATCATGGTGATTAGTCATGTTCAAGTTCAAGCTCAAGTCCAAGATAATTGATTATGACCATGGTGGTTAGTCAGTCATGTTAGTCCTGTTCAGACTATAAAAACCTGTACAATTATTAGTTCAGACATTTTTCTCTATCGATGACAAATAATGCTACTACTTCTACGGCAATCTTAATCATGAGTAGAATGCCCATGGTGGTTAGTCATGTTAGTCCTCCTCCTGTTCATCAGACTATAAAAACCTGTACAATTTTTACTAAGTAAGCTTTACGTTCACACCTAAACGCGTGCGCAAACAAATCCACAATGAATGACTCAGCAGAGCGCCCATTATATGTGCATGTGGTCAGCTCAACATACAATAATCAAATGTTTCGTACTTCGTCGAAATTTCAAACGGGAACAATTACTCTTGTCAAACTTTCTTATTCTCAATCAATGAGTAGATTTAGACTGATGTAATGCTTTTTGTTGCAAATGAAAACTTTTCTTAATGATAGCTTGATTTTGAAAGCCATTGGACTGTCTGTATCTGAATGTTGAGAAAGTCACTGAAAATATTTCGCAATCTTATCTGGTGTTGTTCTTGAGTTCTTGGGTGTTTGAAATTCGATAAACGGTTGTTCTGAGCAAAGAAAGGTAAATCTAAATGATAAGAAATTTTGATAACAATGTTTAAGTCACAGCTTGTGTAAGAAATTCGGTCAATGGAGTAGTGGTCCACATATTGCAACTCTTCTACTATTGCTCGAGACACATGATCTGACTGTCATAATGAAAGTAGAAGAGCAACGGAAGCAGAAAGATAACCGAGACACTGAAAGTAGAAAAGCAGCGTGAGCGTAGACAGTGACTGCATGCTCCTTCATTTCAGTTCGCTACTCGCTTATTTCGATTTCGAATTTTCGGTAGATGACAGAAAGCATCAGCAATTTACTCGCGTCTCTGATATTAGTCCATCGTTGTAGTGAATTGTCAGCGCGACGAGCACGATCATCATGTTGATGCATGATTTTCATTGCTCCACCGCAGAGAAGTGTTCTGCTTATTGCGTATAATGCTATGGCACTCAGATCCGACGACCGTTATTTTCACCTCCGTCTGAGACCCACAATTTGGGAAGATGAGCGTACTACTTCAGTGGCCTGTTCCTATCAATCCGGATCCGGTTACTCAACAAACTGAACTAACCCGCGGAATAGCCTAGAAAGAGAATAACGTCCTCAGATACTTCTCTCTCATTAGTATTTGTGTAGAAGTTGGTTACTCTCTTACTCCGAGTAAATGGTACTGATGCCCATCATGGCGGAAGCGGAAGGTCCTACTTCCTTCAGAATACGAGTCACCCTAGCAAGCTGCTGAAGCGAGAGAAACAGTGCTAAAACTTTAATACGAATCATGCCCAATAAGATCAGATGTGCACCCACGTCGACAAGGGCACCCGGTCGATAAATAATGAGTCGAGATATCAATCTGAATTCCGAAGCAGAGTCTTAGAGACATCATCAGAAAGGTAGCTTTCTGCATCAGATCACTTTGCAAGTATTTCTAATACATATACAACCAGAGGAAACAGAAGTAGAGTCGATTTACTTATCACTTCCTTCTATGACAACCCCCCGTTCCTTTGACAATTCTCCAAGGCCCATAGCCTTGCAAAAACCTAAGAAAAGAAACTACCGTGATAATGATTATCTCTACGCCCATGACCATCTCTATTATCTCCCATTCTACAACCCACGACCAGCAACCCAAAGTGCTCGTGTGATGACCTGCGCCTGCCTCCCCCGGATCATGTGATGAACTGCCTCCCCCGGATCATATGATGACCTGCTTTCCCCCAAGTCTTATTGCGACCTGCCTTCCCCAGGTCTTATTACGCCTGCCTTCCCCAGGTCTTATTACGACCTACCTCCCCCGGATCTTATGATGACCTGCCTCCCCCAGGTCTTACTGCGACCTGCCTCCCCAAGGTCGTACTAGTAGTCCTCGTCCTCTTTAGACAGACACTGCGTCGAGGACTGCTGCTTCGAGGAAGCTGGTGGAGCTTGCTGCCTCTCTCTCTGCTTGGGCTGCTGCTTCCTCTCTATATCCCTGCACAAAGCGTTCCAGGTGTGCTTCCTTCGCTCTCTGTTCTTCTTCTGTTTCTCCCAAGATGGGTGATAAATATTAGGAGAATTGATTGCGTATGGGTGATTGCTCCTTGAGTGATTGGCCACTCTTTGACTTATTGATGTGGCCAAGAGGACAAGCTGTATCAAAACTACATTTGCATCCTAATTTTGCTTTTGCAGGTGGTATGATAGTATTAACATATTATTGCTATTGCGGATCAGGCAGAGACCGGCTCGAATTTAGTCCACCACCCCGCCCCCGAGCCACCTGGTGGCTCCGGGGCGCAGAAGTGAGCCGTCAAGCAGTGGCCCGGTGAATTTTGGGGCGCACCGCTAAAGCTGCCGAAACAGAAGGAGCGCCTGCCTATCTAAGTTGTGGCGGAGCCGACCTAACTAGAAAAAAGAAAGACCAGAGGAAGATAGAAAAGAGAAAAGGGTAACCTATTATTAAGCTATACTTTTTCATCTTTTTAAGGTGTGAAAACTGTAACGCGCGCGCGCGCGTTACGCGCGCGGGTTACGCGCGCGCGCCATAACGCGCCACGCGCGCGCGCGTTACGCGCGAAATAAGGCGCGCGCGGGGGAGGGGGGGTGCGCTCGCGACCGGGCTCGCGGCGCGGCTCAGGCTCGCGCGGGCCGGCTCGGGCTCGCCTGGGCCGGCTCGGGCTCGCCAAGGCGGGGCCGGTTCGGGCTCGCCGGGGCGGGGCCGGCGCGGGCGGGGCCGGCTCGGGCTCGCGGCGGGGCCGGCTCGGGCTCGCGGCGGGGCCGGCTCAGGCTCGCCGGCGCGGGGCCGGCTCAGGCTCGCCAGAACGGGGCCAGCCCTGGCTCGCCGAGGCGGGGCCAGCACGGGCTCGCCGGGGCGGGGCCGGATCGGGCTCGCCGGCGCGGGGCCGGTTCAGGCTCGCCGGGGCGGGGCCGTAAGGTGGACCGAACGCCGTAGAGCTGTCCACATTAGTCCCACCGCGTAACCCCCCTACAATAAGGGTGATCCTCTTGCTCTCCCTTGACGCGTGACGCATGACCCATGACGCGGCACGCGCGGCCCGCGGATCGTTCAGTCGCTCGCAGATCGATCCGCAATCCGTGGATTGCTCAGCGATCCGTGGGTTGGTCAGTGATCCGCGGATTGGTCAGCGATCCGGGGATTGATCAGTGATCCGGGGATTGCTCAGTGAGCCGCGGATTGATCAGTGATCCGCGGATTGGTCAGCGATCCGCGGATTGCTCAGTGATCCGGGGATTGATCAGCGATCCGGGGATTGGTCAGTGATCCGGGGATTGCTCAGTGATCCGCGGACTGATCAGTGACCTATAAACGGATCACCAAAGGAACCCCAGACCCATCAAGAGCCCGCGGATGGGTCAAGGATCCGCGGATCGATCAAAGACCCACGGATCGGCCAAGGGTCCACGAATCGGCGAAGTTTTCCCGTATCGTTCAAAGATGGATCCACAGACCAGCCAAGACCGACCACGGGGCCGGGGGTCGATCAAGGTCCCGCGGATCGATCAAAGACCCAGGGATCGACCAAAAGTCCGCGGATCGATCAAAGGCCCGCGGACCGATCAAAGAACCAACCCCGGATCGCTCAAAGATCCACGGACCACGCGCCAGCCGCCGCGTGACGCGTGAAGCACATCGCGCGAATTACTTAGTTGCGCGCTGCGTCACGCTTGAAATTAGGCCCAGGCGTCTCGTCTTCCCCCCGGGGCTCTCGGCGTCACGCGTCACGAACAGCTCTGCGGCGTTCCGACCGTAAGTCCCACAAGGCGGGGCCGGCCCTCGCTGGCGCGGGGCCGGTTCGGGCTCGCCGGGGCGGGGCCGGCTCAGCCAGGCGAACGCGCGCGCGCGTAACGCGCGCGGGGGGGNGCTCGCGGCCAAGCTCGCGGCGCCGGGTGGGCTCACGGGCCCAGCCCGGGCTCGCGTGAGAGGTTCGGGCTCGCCAAGACCAGGTCGGGCTCGCCGGGGCCGGGTCGGGTTCGCCGGGGCCGGGTCGGGCTCGCCGGTGCGGGGCCGGCGCTCGCCGGGGCGGGACCGGCTCGGGCTCGGCGGGACCGTCCGCGCGCGCGCGTTACGCGCGCGGAGGGTGTGCGCTCGCGGCCAGGCTCGCGGGGTCGGCTCGGGCGCCCCGGCGAGCGCATGGGCCGGCCTGGGCTCGCCGGGGCGGGGCCGGTTCGGGCTCACCAAAGCGGGGCCGGTTCGGGCTCGCCAAGGCCGGTTCGGACTCACCGAGGCCGGCTCGGGATCGCCGGGACCATGCGCGCGCGGGGAGGGTGCGCTCGCGGCCGGGCTCAGTCGCTGGGGCCAGCTCAGGCTCGCGGGGGCCGGCTCAGGCTCGCCGGGGCCGGCTCAGGCTCGCCGGGGCCGGCTCAGGCTCGCCGGAGCCACGCGCGCGCGGGCGCGTTACGCGCGCGGGAGGGGGGGGGTGCGCTCGCGGCCGGGCTCGCGGGGCCGCCCAGGCTCGCGGGATCGGCTCAGGCTCGCTGGCGCCGGTTCTGGGCCGCCGGAGCGGGCTCAGGCTCGACGGGGCCGGCTCGGGCTCGCTGGGTCCGGCTCGGGTTCGCCGGGGCCAGCCCAAGCTCACCAGAACCAGCTTGGGCTCGCTGGGTGGGGCCGCCTCGAGCTCGCCGGGGCCAGCTTGGGCTCGCCGGTGCCGGCTTAGGCTCGCCAGGGCCGCTCCAGGCTCGGGCTTGGGCTCGCGCGGGTGCCACTGAACTCGCACGGGGCCCGTCGAGCTCGCACGGAGCCGGGCTTTCACGGGGCCGGGCTCGCACGAGGCCGACTGGGCTCGCACGGGGCAAGCCTCGCACGACGAGCCTGCCCGGGCTCATACACGGCTGGGCTTGCACGAGGCCGGGCTCGCACGCGGCTGAGCTTGCACGGGGCCGGGCTTGCACGAAGCCCGTTTGGCTCCCGCGGTGCCCGCTCGGCTCGCACGGGGCCCGCTCGGCTCGCACGGGGCCGGCTGGACTCGCATGGAACCACGCCCGCACGGGACCCACTTGGCTCGCAGGGGGCCCGCTGAGCTCGCGCGGGGCTGAGCTCGAAGGAACAGGGCTGGGCTCACACGGGGCCGGCTAAGCTCGCACGGAGCCGGCGGGGCCGGGCTCGCTCGGGTCCGGGCTCGCACGGCACGGGGCCCACCTCAACTGGCACGGGGCTGGGCTCGCACGGGGCTGGGCTCACAAGGGGCCGGCTCGGGCTCACACGGAGCCGGCGACGCCGGCTGGGCTCGCACGGGGCGGGGAGCGTCATCTTATGGCCCAGGCTCGCACAAGGCCGGGCCCGCACGGAGCTGGGTTCGCACGGGGCCGGGCCCGCAAGGGGCCGCGCTCGCGAGGCCGGGCTCGGGCTCGGGTCCGCGCGGCTGCGTTGTCCTAACAAGCACGCAAGGCGGGGCCGAATCGGGCTCGCGGCTGAAGCGGCAGCGGCGAGCTCTCTCGGGTTCGTGGCTTGGCTTGCTACTCTGGAGGGCTGGGCCAGGTATGGGCCCGCTTTACTGTACACGCGTAAAGGCTTTCACATCTTAAAAAAATGCAACAGCGACGAAGAACCGCGCTCACTCATCTTCTCGCTTACGTTCGACGTTGCAACTCTTTGAGCCTTTCAAGCTGCTTGAGTGTTTTTCTTCTCTCTTTCTCGTTTTCAAAATAGTCAAGGAAGCTACAGTGATCTTGTTGCAGTAAGGAGGAACTTCCTCGCCCACTATATTTGCCACGTGGGGCCCAGAGGAGCAACTTCCCTAGTTATCATGAAGTATCCTCCTATCTGCAGAAAGCTCGAAGGCTTGGGCAGACCGCGATGGGATCCGTTTGGTACAATCTTCGTTGTTCATATCTAAATCTATAATGGGCGTCGCTCCCCCTACTTCCTGCGCGTTGTGCCGCTCTGCGCTCTTCTAACCTTTGCATCTCCTCTAGAGACGTGACTTCTTGTCGCGGCGGAGAACCAGACATAGCTCCCACCGAATGTTGATGTTGTTAGAAGAGCTTAGCCTAAGACGATCGAATGATAAGCTTTAGGAGAATTGATTGGGTATGGGTGATTGCTCCTTGAGTGATTGGCCACTCTTTGAATTATTGATGTGGCCAAGATGGCGAGCTGTATTAAACTTCATTTGCATGTAAATTTTTTAGGTGGTATGATACTATCAACATACTGCTATTGTGGATCAGGCAGAGACTGGTAGAGACATAACCCATTTTCGTATACAATCGATTTCGATCTACTTTCTTACAATATGAATATCTAGTCAGAACAACAAGATAGCACTCGAAAAGCTGAAATATGCAAGTAACTGATCAGAATAACCGAGATACTCATGAGAAGGAAGAGTAGCCACTTGGCGTTAAGCTACCTCCCTTATTTCAGTCAGTAACTCGGTTATTTTGAGTTTTCGAATACAGCATGACTCAGTTTGTTTAACTTGAGGAGGATCTTCGTCATACATCTTCTGCGATTCTTGTGAATGGTCTTGGCCTATTCGTCCTCATGTTGGATTTAGTAGAGGTTATTGTGTCATCCGTAGAGAAGTCATACATCAGAAGTCTTGAATGGTGTATTTCCAGAAAAAGGAACTATGATGAACAAGATTATTTCTAATTCTAACGATTGACCACTGCATAATCAGCCTCCTCGCCAGCAGCAACAGCAGGAGAAGCAGGAGGAAGAGCCGGAGGAGCAGCAGATTGTTCAATTGGGAGCGCAGGCTGCCGAGGAACACGAACAGCAGCAGCAGCAGCAGCAGGAGGAGCACCACCACCACTACCTCCTCCACCTCCACCAGCTCCAGTTGCGGCAGCTCCACCTTCACCATTGGATTCAGTTGTCGTCGTGGCTTGATCAGTACCGCAAAAACCTATCAGGTTGCACAAGGCATTACCAGGCTGGCCCTTGCCGGGTTCCAGAAAGGTCTCTGCAGGTACCACAGAAGATGAGGTCTTAGAAGTTGGAGTATCTACTGAAAAGTTATACGATCCTCTTTGTTTTGTCATAGGAGAAGAGTTCGTCAACTTGCAATTTAAGTATTAAAGCGTTGTTAGTTGTATCTGATACAGCTCCAATGTTACAGTTCTGATGCAGAACTCTGTATCATAAGTCTTCGCGTCAACATACTAGTCTTAGAAGAGGAGTCGTACTTGAAGTAACATAAAAGCAGTACAGACCAAGAGCTCAAAATGTTAATGCTGTGTACGTAGTTGTAGAACATGCATTCTCGAATTCCATAATAGCTGAGGTCCCAAACCCAATCGAGGCTGCAGTGAGGAGATAGTCGATAGACCCACTCACAACGTTACCGCCGGTGCCGATGTCAACCAAACAAAAGAGCAAATGAGATTAGAGGAGAAGCATCTAATGAAACATCAAGTAAGTCTACTTAGATGACTGTGGACGTTGCTTACAAACTATACCGCAGTTGCTCAGGAATAGGATACTTACTCAAGAAGGAGTGGTCTCCTCTACAAAGAGACAAGCGCTCGGGGCTATAGTAGAGACGGAAAACAAGTCGTGCTTGCTTAGAAAAAGTCGTCTTTGTCCAAGGTCAAGTCGTTTTTGTGAACAGAAACTACAAAGCCAAGCCTTAAAACGGAAGCAGCATGCAGCAAAGCGTAAGCGTACGCCACCCCCAAAACGAGGGACCAGCCTCAACTCCTGGATTTTTGTTGGTACTAATAGGAAGTTCCATCGACGCCATCCTGTTGTATATTATTCCCCTTCCTGTATAAGAAGAAGTCCAACTTTTCTTGTCTTCACTGAATTGCTCTTGATCGTCTGGAGTTGTTGATCTTGATAGTTTTTAAATAGAACGAAACGGCTATCCTGCAAATATCTCTACGAAAACGTCTCTGCGACAATCGGATTCGTCTTTCTTCTAACCTAGAAAATAATTGGGATTGGTTGGAGGCGTTCTGTAGCTGGAGTCAGTGTTAGACTGTTGGTTTGGGTGCATTCGGATTGATGAATTGCCTTAGTACTGTAAGTAACTGCTTGTTGGTTCATTGAAGTGGACCGATCACTGATGTGGTTATACCTAAAAAACAAGAAGACCCAGATAAGAGGAAATAGATATTACGGCTGAATCAGATGCATGCGCATGCTCTTGCTTATTGAAAGACGACGACGACGATGATGGTGATGATGATGATGAAAATGGTTGTACACGAAGCAGGACTACGAGCAATAAAAAAACGAGTGAAGATTGATACAATTACAACCATAGGGGGCGACGATAGTCATGGCAGCGATAGCTTTCTTTTTTTCTTCACGACAGCGATGCCGATAGTTCTCTTTTTGTCATTTTCCAACGAAATCCAACCATGTTCATCGCACTCGTTTCTTCGTGAGTGACAACTCTATTGACGGAGCACACGCTAGCAATTCTGTTGCTGTTCAACTTTTTCGAGGCAACTCTCGTCATTCTATGTCTCTCTCGTACGTTCTTCTCCGTTTGATGGTAGTTGGGCTAATCTATCACAGAGCAGTACGAATGTCGATGCTGTACACGACGATGAACATTAGCGCGTTCTGCTCCTCCTGGCTCAACAGTCGAAATTTCTGGCCAAGTTCTTGAAGCTCGAGCAGCCTAACCGTTTTCCTGGAGCTATTCTGGAGAGAGAAGTGCTGGAGAGATTGGAGTATGCATTCGTGTCATTGAGAGTGGAACAAAGTGTGGTTCTTATTCGTGGTAAACAAAAACATTTAACATTTATTCAGTCAATGGAATAGTTCTTGAGTCAAATGGGTAAGAGGCTCCATCCATCCTTCCGATCATCTTGATGTTCGTACTGTCATGAGTGGACTTAGGGATGCTCCTCTTTCTTTTCTCCCGGAGTCGTCACTTCACGCGACGAAATACGGCTCCCCTTATTAGACTTCAACGAGCTGTACAGGTAGCGTGGGCCTCTTGCTCTTAAATTGTTGCTGAGCAACTAACTACTTAGCAATTTTTTTTTTGATTTTTTTGGATTGTTGATGAAGATAATAAGTTGCAAGTGATGAACTGAGAAGATAGTCGACATTTTGCTGTGCAACGATTTCGAATTGGATGGTGATGTGCATGTATGTGTATCTCTTTCATGGAATTGATTTTCTTTCTACTCATTCAGTCTGTGCATCGAAAAACGACCCTACCAGCGCACTACTTTCCTGATGCTGATCTCAGCGATGTTTGATGTAGGGCCGGCTGTCCTTGCATCTTCTTGTTCAAGCAGGCCCTGGCGCAGATGGATATTTTTGAAAAATATGGACTGATGTTCATTGATTAGTACTATTGGTAATATGAAAATGGATTAGTCTTTTTCTTTCGATTCGCTTTCTTGCATGTAGTTAGTCATGACGAGAGAGCTACCGCCGTCGCATCCCTGAGGCCACCCCTGAGCCCTTTTCATCTCCCGCCCTTGAAAAGAAGCCGAGGACGATGCCGAGGATGCATCTGTGGTAGCCTTAGATGATTATGATCATGGTGGTTAGTCATGTTAGTCCTGTTTAGACTATAAAAACGTGTACAATTATTAGTTCAGACATTTGCCGCCATCGATGACAAATAATGACTCTACTTCTGCGGCAATCTTAATCAGAATGCACATGGTTAGTCATGTTAGTCCGCCTCCTGTTCGCGATCAGGCTATAAAAACGACCTGTACAGTTTTTATCAAACTTTACGTTTACACCTAAACGCGTGCGCAGACAAATCCGCAATGAGTGACTCAGCAGAGGAGAGTGCTCATTATATGCGCATCTGGTCGGCACAAGAATAATCAAATGTTTCGTACTTCGTCGAAATTTCAAACGGGAACAATTACTCTTGTCAAACTTTCGTATTCTCGATCAATGAGTAGATTTACACTGATGCTCATATTCAATCCTGTTCGAGTAGACGTAAAACTGTTGTAATGCTTTTTTTTGCAAATGAAAACTTTTCTTAATGATAGCTTGATTTTGAAAACCATTGGACTGTCTGTATCTGAATGTTGAGAAAGTCACTGAAAATATTTCGCAATCTTATCTGGTGTTTTTCTTGAGTTCTTGGGTGTTTGAAATTCGATAAACGGTTGCTCTGAGCAGAGAAAGGTAAATCTAAATGATAAGAAATTTTGATAACAATGTTTAAGTCACAGCTTGTGTAAGAAATTCGGTCAATGGAGTAGTGGACCACATATTGCAACTCTTCTGCTATTACTCGAGACACATGATCTGATTGTCATAATGAAAGTAGAAGAGCAACCAACTGAAGCAGAAAGATAACCGAGACACTGAAAGTAGAAAAGCAGCGTGAGCGTAGACAGTGACTGCATGCTCCTTCATTTCAGTTCGCTACTCGCTTATTTCGAATTTTCGGTAGATGACAGAAAGCATCAGCAATTTACTCGCGTCTCTGATATTAGTCCATCGTTGTAGTGAATTGTCAGCGCGACGAGCACGATCATCATGCTGATGCATGATTTTCATTGCTCCACCGTATAGAAGTGTTCTGCTTATTGCATAATGCTATAAAACTCAGATCCGACGACCGTTATTTTCACCTCCGTCTGAGACCCACAATTTGGGAAGATGAATGTACTACTTCATTGACTTGTTCCTATCAATCCGGATCCGGTTACTCGATAAACTGAACTAACCCGAGGAGTAGCCTAGAAAGAGAATAACGTGCTCAGATACTTCTCGTTCTCTCTCCTTCGTATTTGTGTAGTTGGTCGTTACTCTCTTACTTCGAGTAAATGGTACTGATGCCCATCATGGCGGAAGCGGAAGGTCCTACTTCCTTCGGAATTCTAGGACGAGTCAGCCTAAGGTGTTGAAGCCAGAGAAACATGCCCCATGAAATCAGATGTGCACCCACACCCAGCACATCTCCACTGCTCCACTATCTGATTCTGAGAATCATATGGTGGAGCTGAAGGACTTCTAAAACTTTAACTCCGCCCAATGGAGGTATTCATATGTTGATCAAAACTTGGAGTCAAGAAAACGAGAACGGAAATGGAGACATCATCAGAAAGCTTTTCTCATCAGATCACTTTACAAGTACTCCTACTACATCTACATCTAGTACCAGAAGAAACAGAAGAGTCGATTTATTACGTCCTTCTATCACGACCTCCCCTCCTGCTCTGCCTCTCCGAAATCCCGAGCCATGCAAATACCTAGTGAAAGAAACTCCTGTGATTATCTCTACTCCCGTAATTATCTCTAATTTTATCTCCCATTCTATAACCCACCAGCTTCCACAAAGGTCCCCATATGATGACCGGGGAGCACCCCCAAAAAATCTTTATATTTAAATATAATATATGATGACCTGTCTCCCCCAGGTCTTCTTCTGACCTGCCTTCTCCAGGTCTTCTTCTGACCTGCCTTCTCCAGGTCTTCTTCTGACCTGCCTTCTCCAGGTCTTCTTCTGACCTGCCTTCTCCAGGCCTTATTCTGACCTGCCTTCTCCAGGTCTTATTCTGACCTGCCTCCCCCAGGTCGACCTGCATCCTCCAGGCTTTTTTATTACGACCTGCCCCCCGCAGGTCATACTAGTTGTAGTCCTCTTGTTTAGACAGACACTTCATTGAGGACTGCTGCCTCGAGGAAGCTATCGCTATCTTCTGGTGCCGCCTGCTCGGCTGCCGGGGAAGGATGTTAGAAGAACTACGACGATTTTCAAATAAATATTAAGAGAATTTGATGAATCAATTGGGCAACTGCTCCTTGAGTGATTGGACTATGGCCTCTCTTTGATTTATTGATGTGCCCAAGACGAAGACCACGAGGCCAAGCAGTAAGGTAAGCTCCATCGGCATATCAATTTCGCAGCTCAAGGAATAAACGTAGTGTTTCTATTTTCATGCTTCGTAAGTCGTGTAGATCTCTAGGAGGGCGTCTCTTACTGCCTCGGCTTTGAATGCTGCAGTCGCTTGCTCGTTCTTGATGGAGGACACATCCATTCATGAAGGACAGGCTACCAACGAAATTGAGGCTGAGCTAAGAAAGTAATAGTAGCGGTACAGTCAAAAAATTTAACTGAGCAGAGCAATTAGATGGCTAGAAACTAAATCACTCTTGTCATGCATAAACTGAAGTTTTCCGTTACAACGGAAATGCCTGATACTAGGCGAGACCAAAAATAGGAAAAATAGTCTGACATCAATCTATTTCTAGCAGTTTATTTTACATCCACTACAGTAAGTAAACCAGTGACACTGATTTCTAAGCAGCCTAGTGCTCCTGCAACTACTAGTCTCATAGGAAAAATAAACATCTATTCAAAAACGGGACTATCGTAGGAACGGTACTATTGAGCTTGAAGTTGAAGGTGAAGAATCGATGTATCTATGTAAATGTATAATAATATTAAATATTTATAGTCGCAGTCCTCATAAAAGACTATACGCCTTCGCCAATTCGGTTTTTAGAGCTTGTAAGCCACGGAGTTCGCATCTTTCGACTAACAGAGGTGCCCCTTGTTTTGGGCGGCTCGTTGCCTATTATCTAATCACGCCATGTCATAGTCGAGCCATATTACGATGTCATGTGAGTGCCCCTGATAAGACCTCTCGGCCACCTATTGTGACCCTTTACCTTTTGCTTTTTTGTGATTCTACGTCTTCTGAGAAGTGGTCTTCTAGAAGACTCATCCCCCCCTCAGAAGTGTAAGGATCACATCCTTGGTGACAAATGATCACTATCGAGTTCAAGTTCTAGATTTTCTATTGCTAAGATAGGTGCACAGAGACGGGGTAGAAACATTTCCAAGAGAGTTCGCATGGCACTACATCATGTAGAGATGCGGCCATGATCAAGTTCAAGCTCTCACTCATACAAAAATGAACTAATAAGACTCAGAACATTAGTGCAAGAAGTACGTGATCTAGTTCCAGATCGAAAATTAGCGGTGCAGAAACGCTGTTCCTGAGCCTAGACAAACACCTCCTAAACTTTTTTCTATGAGATCTTCAACTCACCCACGCAGCTGTAGCTTGTTGAAGTCTAGAACAAGAAGCATGCGCGTTTTTCAGAAAGAAAGATGCGCTGTGGTTATGGTAGACTTAACTCTTTCTTTTTGTTTCGCTCGTCCTCGGTCGGCTCTCGCGAGGCCGCGTCTTGCATCTTTGGAAAAGCGGAGGCGATCGAATGCTCTTCTCTGACATACTGAAGAAGCTAGAATGAAAGAATGTTGCAGGAAGAAGCCGACGGCAATGTTTTTCGAACAATCCGGATAAGTATTCATGTCGCCGTGATCTCTCAGTCTCATGATATTGAGCGTCCTCTCGGTCGAGTAGGACTAGGAGTTGTTGTATTCAAAGAAACCACGATACCACACACAAGCAACAAGGAGAAACTCTCACAAAGAAGATCAAGCTTTGTGGATGTCTAAGCAATTACTACATTGTAGATTAGCTTCGTAAATAAGTAGCCCAGAAAAATATGGTGCAGTAAGCTTTTTGAGTGGGGTTTTTCTTGATCAATCCGTTTCTTCAGTTAATCCACTTCATGGCTCAGCCATTTCATTTTCTAAGGAACTAAGTAACCAAAAAACGTTCCAAGGGATGGCTTAGCAGTAGCCCTTCTAGACCTTGAGTATCATGATAGCTGCCCAGTTTGTTTATCTCTTTTCGGCCGTTTTGCAAACAGTGCATCAAAATCAAACGAACATAGAGTAAAAGCGAGTGGGATAATATGGAAATAAAAACTATACTCATTCTCGAAAACCGATTTATAAAAATTTAAATTAGCTAGCAGATAGATACTTAACTAGCTAGTTAAGCTGGAGGCCAGAGGCGGCAGATTGGGTCGGCGTGGACCACGGCGTGGAGGATCCTCAAGTAGACCATGAAGGTGGCCTGTGTCTGATGATGACGAAATGCAAGGCAAAGTCGCAAGATCCTTGTGTCATTCTCGTTGTGGCACCAGGTGGTGCCACATTTCAACATGATAAAGGATCTTGGGACTTCGCTTTGCATTTTCCGTTATCAGCTGACACAGGCGAGCCTTCGTCTCCTGTGATACATCCCACGCCACGGCCACGCCGCCACCGAATCCGCTGCCTCTGGCCTCCATTTTAACTAGCTAGTTCAATATCTAAACACTAAATTAAATAAAATTTATAAATATCGTTTTTGAGTTTGAGTACACTTTTTTCTTCCATAGATAATTAGGAAAGCTATGGCTATCATCTTTGTTTATTACACTCTAAGAGGCTGAGAGGGGGCAGAACATGGAATATATACTTCTACATAGAGTAGGCTACTTGGGGAATGTGAATCCAGGTGGCCAGAACATAACATTTCGAGCTTGCCATCTTTTGGCACTGCATCTGCGTTGTACTTGAGCTGGTGCGTGTGTGTTAGAGATGCCTCGCGCCGCGGGCTGTGCTGGTTCAAAAAGATACAGGGCGGGCCGACTGCCCGTGCAGGTTGTTTCCACTGACTTGGAGATGCTTGGCTGCTAACTGAGCAGTCACGCTCACTGACTTGGCGAGGCTTGGGCGCTCACTTTAGGTTACTGTTACTGAGGTGGACACCAAGCGTTGCCAATTGCCCTGCAGGGGGGGGCGCGACTGCAACCGCCAGAGGAACAACGCACAAAAGGCGGAGAAAAATGACAGAGCTTCCGCCGTCGACGGTCCTCCGCCGCCTTGTTTTCGTAGCTCAAGCCCACCCTGAAAGGGTTAGCGAGGTACGTAATCAAGAAACCTAGTGAAAAAACGCGAAGCCAACAGGCCCCGTTTTCTTCATTGGGAGAAGCATGAATGGTTCTGGTATTTGGTAGCCTGAGTTTGATCCTAAGGGAAAACAAGAAGAGAACCCTTAGGATCAAACTCAGGCTACCAAATACCAGAACCATTCAAAGCAGGTGCGTAAGACCAGGCGAGCGCCGTATACACCGCAGACACAAAACCTTGCCCCCTGCTTCCTTCCCCTATATAAGGGGGGCAGGCTTGCTCGTTTCTTTTGCGCGACGCGCGTGGCGCGTCACGCTTTATAGCGTTACACGCCACGCTTTTATCGCGTGACGCGTCACGCTCAGAGGGCAAGACGCATGGCGCCAAGATAGCTTGGGGAGCGTGACTAACCACCAGCGCAATCTGTGTGCACGAACGAAATAGAAACGAAACCCATGGACGACGGTAAGAAAGACAGCATTGCGAGCAGCCTGCCGTCGAGGGTGAGTGACGGTGGGTAGGTCTATCTTAGAGAAGCGGGCGGGCGGCGGTGGGCACATCTTAGGGAAGCCAACTCGCAGCCAGACGACGGGGGAAGGAAGAAAGATGGATCTGAGACAAACCCGCGGGCGGCCGTATGATCTGACACAAGCCCAGGGGCGACCACCCGGCCAAATGCAAGCCCGTGCCTTTACATGAGAAACCGCCACACGTCACGACGCCACACCACGCCACCACCACCACATCCGCAAGCACTCTACCACACACGCACCACAGCGCCCCGCCGTCACGCATGACGCCCCCCACCGCGCCACGCTGTCACGCTCACACCCCCGCACGCGCCACGCCCCTCAGCGCGTCCCGCCGTCACGCGTCACGCTGATACCCCCTCGCGCGTCACGCTCCTCAGATAAATACGGCTGCCAAAGGGTACCGCGCGGCAGGTGCCCGGCCAAGAGCTAGCGGCCCCAGCCTTTTGGACTAAGTAATTTCCCCGAGGGAGGCTCCACCCCAAGCCCCCCGGCGCAGCCTTCTTGGGCTTGGGGGGTCTATCTTCCTCATTTTCCCCTCCCAAGGTGACAGCAGCCAAGGTGGCTCCCCTGCTCATACATTCACCAAGCTGGCACACCTGCCTATGTGTGTGGCCACCAGCTTCGCTCGCCTTCTGCCCGACCGAAAGGAAACGCACCCACGCGCCCCCTCTTTCTCTGCCGATCCAGCCCGCCAAATCAGCGACCCGCCCGCGGACCCTGCATTTCTTGAACCTCTATGGAGCAAGGCGCGCCGTGAGAGAGAGTGCTCGGGAGTCGCTAGCACAGTCGCCGCCTGAATGCCAGCCGACTGGAGCACAGCGAGGTAAGATGCCCGCCCGCGCAATGACACGGCAGTATCTATAGGGCGGAGAAGACAGATGAACAATGGTGGCAAAAAGTTTGAAGAATCAAAGGCCCCTCGAGCTCGAGGGCTGGAGCGCTTAGCCCATGGCCGCTTCACACGCTCCACCCAATCCGCCCAGCCCCTGCCGACGCGGCTCTCACAATATCTTGACCAAGTAGTAGCAGTGACAACACCACATGGCAGGGAACAAAAAGTATGTGGACCAACTAAAAGTTGTCCTGGTTATCCGCTTTGATGTAGAAGAGCGCGACCAGGCCCAAAACCAAACAAAAAATAAAAACCAATCTTTCATAACCTCAACGAGCTCCAGCCTTGAGGCTCTCCATCGCCGCCGCGAATCAGAAGCCGACCAGGTGAGCCAAAATGTTAGAAGTTGGGAAGTGAAGACGACACCCAGGCAGAGGGCTAAATTCGAAAAGTAAGAAATAGAAACTCATCACGATCCCCTTTTTGCTTACTTGGTTCGCCTGAGGGCTCCACGAAAAGTTCCAAACTTCTGAAAGCGTCATCACCAAACGCCTACAAGACAAGCCCTCCTCTAAGAGTATTGCTGCTCACCAACATAGAACGACGCTCCATAAATGCGAGGCGTGAGAGTCTCCCTTCGAGTTCCCCAAAGATAATCCGGCACCTGTCCCTCGACCTTGAGCTCTATTTCATCCATTTCCGATTTCACCTGTTTGTTCTGAGGTAAGCCTAGCTTGGTTAGTGAAATTGAAAAGTTTACTCAAGATATAATATTGCCGAACTGGTGATTAAATTAATATCGCTCGAATGCATTCACCAACGCCACCCAGGAGGCCTGGACATGTGGGCTCCAATCGTGGTTTTTCTCTGCTGGGTGGTTGTCTTAATACCGACATTGAGACCCCCCAATAGCAACAAGCCACCGTGCCCCTGGCTAGCGTGGCCGCGCGAACCCTTATGCGCTCTGAATCTTGTTGCGAAGGTCTGAGAGCATGAACGCAGTAGAATCAGTGAAGGCCTCGCGTGCTCCCACGGTGATGGCCTGAGTCACCGCCAATGCTTGCAATTGGCCTGGCAATCATGATTCAGCGAAGAAACTACCAAACAAATTTAGAAGAGAACTCTGAGGCGTGGTATTATACATTGACTTCTTTGATCGATTTGGCGCCTAGTCCTGGCGGAAAGAATCCACTGTAAATTAGAGGCTTCTCTGATAAGTTGCCAATTCCTTACCAGAGGAAGGGAGGCAATGTCAATGACCCAGTCAAAGAAACACGAGTGGCCCTTTGCTCTAATATAGTGTTGCTACGTGTGAAAAAATCAATTTCCACACGCTGAAATTGATACTAGTAGCTGGGGGTTTACGAATACGCAGTTAGTTTTCAATTGTGTTACACTTTAGAGCAAATGAATGACTAGCCCAAAATTTCTCATGCATTAGAGTTCGAGTGGTTGTCGTTGTGAATTGTAGCATTTTGAACGCCGTATATTCTGAATCTAAATACAATCACGGTCGCGTCGGTTAGGTAGTGGGACAAGTCAGAGACCCGGGAGCCGTAAAAACAAGGCGATGGACCACTGCACGCGGTCGATTTCAGTAGGCGCTAGCTGCGCAGCGTTCGAAAAAACTTCGATTTTTTGGCCACTTTTAATAGCGTCCTCAAGATACCGCTTCACCGGATCGGCGGCAGTGCATTTCTTCCCGTCTGCGCTCTTGCCTGGCTGTCTTAGAAGAAGAGTAAGTAGAGAATGAGACTGAGATCACGACCATGTCCATGATGTTATTAAACACCATATTTATCTAGGTAGTAGAGCCAGAAGGAGATGAGAGATCATGCCGATCAAGAAAAACGGGACGCCGATGTGGATCCCATGAACAACTTCTGGCACTTATATCGCTGTCTATAATTGACTTCGACAAAAAGCAGGGAGCGGGAAATAACAAAATGCATGCCCTCCATAAGTCCAGAGAGAGTTCGTTTTCCATCGACGAAACCGACTGTTAGAGATCGTGTGTGTCACACTCCCACCTAGGCGCATGTTATAAAGATAAGCTAGCAATGAACGCTATTGCTATATCTTCAATGTCAAAAAGTTTTCATCAGCTGCCCTTGTCGGGTCGACCAAAGTAGCACTAGCAGAAGCAGTAGAAGCCATTTGAACACGACACAACAAGTGCGTTAAATAGTGCTATACTTATCTGGTTTTCGGCGTCGTGCGGTTATGATACTGATCATACCTGTCTCGAAATGCTAACCACGCTCCTCTATCCCTATGGTCTATAGAAAATTTTTTCTCATGATTTCTTGCCGTAAGCATAGGTATAAGATGCAACTTCGGCGTTGCCGTTAACTGCTGCGGTATCGACTTTTTTCGTCACAGAGAACACGCCTGATGCAATCGCAGGCCCCTTGCGAAAATCAAAGGCCGCGGTTGGGCTGGCCGCTGGATTGTGATAATTAGAACTGCAACAGGCAACAAAGTAAGACCGGATTACAGTAGTGCACATCATTCTGGTGGAACTGGAACATGTTCCTACTTTGCCTATCGTTTAAAGAATGTCGGTCGCCTCTTTCCATTACTGAAAGGAATGAGAACTTGAGACTTCGTGGAGGTTTAATTTTCGAGAACAGCCTTAAGACAAGCAAACGGACGCTCGATGCTCGGAAATTCGTAATCAACACCGCCAGAGATTTCGTATGGGGCACCTTCATTAACTACACAAAAATGTGTTTACTTTTTCAACATGTATGTGCATCAGCAGCAAAACGTTGACGAGACGATAAAAAGGATTAGAATTTGGGTAAGGATCACTATTGAGGCCATGCAACCTGATGCTGATGTTGGTCATGAAAGAAGACGCTAAGAACTAGTACTACTCGTTTTCACACGGAGAAGCAATTATACCGGACAAGAATAGCAACAGAACAACAAAATCGAGGGAATCGCAAGCAGCTACTCATTCAAATTGATTCTCTACATGAAGATGAGCATTCATTTCATTATACGCCCTGTAAGTCATAAATAAACCAATAAACAAAGACTATTGGTAACTAGCATACCTCCAGCTCCATCAGCTCGAGTTTGCACGAAAGTAGAACCACGCGACGAGCCTCGCAAATTTCCACGCGGGTGCATTAGACGTTTTTTACTTGCCATTGCTAAAACGGTCTATAATAAATGCATCAATTACAAATCCTCCCGACATGTCCCATGGGTCTTGTTTGACATAAAACCTCTCGGAGTAGATTGCTACTGCTTTTCCCTGACAGCACTCTATTACTTACCACAGCGGAACTAGATGTAGATAACGACTACATACTGCTGCTACAGTGTAAAGACTAGTCCACACTACCTGCAAAATGAGTGATGCCCTTGACGATGGATAGACTTATTACGCCACGCCCTAAAAAACGGATGGAAGAGGAGCCAGTCAGTTGCATTTGTTCGGTCCCGCCACCTGTGGGGTAGTTCAATATTGTCGTAGAGCCCTAACTAAGAAAGAAACCCGAGAAAAAGGTGGAAGTAGACGTAAAAAAAGGTGAGAAAAGGCAGCGGTCTTCTAAGTTAGGATCCGCGAGGTAGTCGTTCATATTTTTTTGCCTACGAACAAGACTCCACCCATTTGAAATTGAGTCGCATAAAATTGTCAGTCTGCTTGTGTACCGTCCCGCGCTATATCGAAGGAAGACAAGAACCTGAGCGGCATCGGCTCTACTAAGCTTAAGTGTGTGGGCTTGGGGGGTGAGAGGTCGGCTCCATTGCTTGGATCAGCCAATGCCCGCACGCGAAAAGCCTTGCCCTTGGCTTTATGACTATCTTTGAACCAACGAAGCAGCCCGCCACCCACATTTCTCAAGTTACCAGCCAAGTGCACCTGCCCCCGGCGCTGCACTTCCGACAGCCGCCTCACCCACCGACCACCCTGCGGGCGCCCCCTCACGCTCGCTCCCGAGAGAAACTAACAATCTCGAGGGCCTTAGAATTTAAGGAACGATTTTCCTAACAAAAAACAAAAGACATTTGCATCTTGAGAGAAATCAGAGCTCAGAGCTCTTTTCCTTCCGCTTCTGCACTGCAAGAAGACATTTTTATATTGTGTTCATTTCCTAAGGGGGTGTTTGGATGAGGAGAGAAAAAAAACGCGGCACTTAATTAATGAATTCAAGATCAATCATTTGAGGCAATACATAGTAGTAAGAAGGGAGGGGAATTGAGTGTTAAAAAATATCAGATGTAAGCGGTGCAAACAGGATTGTGTATCCCCATGAATGGGGATAGGTGAGGCCAGGGGAAAGCCCATAAGCACCTCCTGCAGGCTTTCCTCCCGTCTGCAGGAGTTTCTCCCGTACCTAGGAGAGAATGAGAAACTAACAAAACAACCCGAAGGCGAAGCGCGGGCGAGGCGTCCTTTTTCCCTTCCTCTGCGCCAAGCTCGACGGCGCAGTCAGCTAACCAGAGGCGCAGCCTACGCACATGACAAAGAAACCCGCCTAAGCATGCTCGGCGTGTATGCTTTTCGCTTCAATTGATTCGGCCTGCAGCCGCGTGACCCTGCAGTGCGCCCGCCTTGCTTCCCAGCCTGTGCCAATTCAACCCAGCCAGTTGGCCTGCACGCAGGCACCCCAATTAGGCGAAGGCGATACCAATCACCGGGACGAACCGCGCGGCAGCGTGAAAGGCGCTGGCGGGTAGCCGGTGCGGACAAATGACGGGGGACCGCGACCGGCGTGCGCCGCTGGGTGGCTCTTCGCACGCAAACGCACCAGGCCGGCCGCGGCCTACGATCGGCGGGCGGCCCCTGCTCGGTCGCGCCACGCAACGGGGCGCTGTGGCAGCGGAACACGGGGGCCCCGCTGTCTTACTTCTCTACAGCTTGGCCGCGCTCTCGCCCCTCCCCCTCAGTTCCCTCCCCCATCGCCGGGCAGCGACTCTGCCTCCCCTCCTTCCCCTGTGCACCTCCCTTCAGATTTATCGCCACCCCCTCCTCTCCAGTCCTTGCTTCTTCTCCTCCATCCCCTCCCTGCCCCATGACTCCTTCGCCCTTTTCCTCCCATTCTACTCGCCTCCACCCCCGTTTCCTGTCCTTCCCGCACGCGCAATACTACTCGTGCCCGTGGTAATAATTCTTGGAAAGACCTTCGCGGAGTGACTAGTTTGATAAAAAACCGGCATGGCGTAAAACGGTACCTCGCGATGCTGCATGTGCAGTCACATTCGAGGCCAGGCCTAGAAACGAAGCAGCGGTAGCACCGTCAGCGCTGTTGGTTGCGGTGTTCGACCACTTGACCTCAAGGATGCCACGTGAATTCGAGTCGCGATAATAAAAAAACAATAATCCTGATCAAGATAGATGAGCGCGCCAAAGCGCACACCTGACTCCAGTGCTGAAACTAGACACCGCCTCTACTTTGCTACCTCGCGAAAAAAGAGAACTCTACCTCTGTATATTAGCTATATAACTGCTATTGCCAATTCTGCTAACAGTGTTACTGCTGCTACTACTACCTGCACCAGAGGGACGGACCTACCTAACAAGAGACCTCCACACGGAATTTAATCTAAGTGACGACGTAAAGTCAACTGCCAGAGTCCAACGCGATGAAACAGCACGCTGCGCTATTCCCATGCATGACCTGGCCCTACCTACAACAATGCTCATAAGCGATTCATATTTTTAAGGAATAGCTAGCCTGCTGGTACTAATCAATATCGGTGGAGCACACCTAACTAGGAATTAATCTATATCGACGGAACTTTAAAACTCACACCTTAAGGCTCAATGATTCATGTCCCGAAAGCAGCATCTTCAATTTCGGAAGCTTCGCATGTTAGATATTTTGCTGGCGAATTATACAAGTTGTACAACTAAGATCATACCTTGTTCCAAATGAAACTCAACTCCGTGATCAAGGACAACAAAGTTCGCAAGTCAAGGGCGGACCCATCAAGTTTCGTCGTCGCGTAGTTGCTAGAGCTATGGTGCCCCTCGATGATGAACAATTGTTATACAAGGGAACTGTGAGGACAGCGAATGGTCATAGGAAAGTCCTCATATGCATAGTGCACTAGAGAATCCATAACCTGGAAAGCTCTCCACTACTGTACAGCTAGAGAGAAAAAGTTTACAGCCGTGCTGATTGATCAGATTCTATCTCATGAGAACGCCTTAATGCAGCTTCTTGGCGAGCGCATGGGAACCGCGTGACCAGTGAGTCGGATAGAGGTTGCCCTTACCAAATTAGAGGGCGTAGTCTGTGGTTTTTTGAGGTCGTGTGAGTCTGAGTACTTTTTCACGATAGGTCCGCATTTTGTTGACTTACAAAAAATAATCTAAAAGTCAAAAAATTGCTTTCGCTAATCAGTACAGAACTTTGGTCGGCCTTTGATCAAAACCGCCAACATGAAGGTTCCACGGGGGTTCCCCCGTCACCTGTACGGGAAGGGGGATGAACGAATCTGACCATAATCAGCCTGCCAGCCTCGAGACAGAATGCCAGCTGCCCCACAGTCAGTAGTCTTCAGAGCATCCGCTTCATTCCACTCCGTCCCGGAGCCTTTGATTGTGGGACCGGAATTTCCGACAAAAAACTTTTGCTTAGAAGGGAAAAATTTTTGCTTAGAAGGGAATACGAAAGAGAAGCCTTGACAGGTTTCTTCATCATAAGCTTGATGTTGTGCTTAAACCTGTACAGCATGTCAGGCTTGTACCACTAAAGGCTAGAGACTTGTGCTCCAACTCCTTACTTAGACACATCTTCTGAGCTAATCCACACGCATCATAAGCCGATTTTCCAGTTCGACGCCCTCAGTTGCGCGTATGAAAGATGCTGGAATATTTATTCTATTTTCTTCACCCAAATCACCTGTGGGATTTAAGCTTCTTACCATAGAATCGCGAAGCGCGGCTAACGCGTCAAGTTTTTGTAGTACTAGTAGGTGATATTTGTAAATTCACGACGGCGGACACCATTCGAGTCACAACCTGCAACATCATACACGACGGCGGACACCATTCGAGTCACAAGTCTTCTCCTTGAACTGTTCAAAAACAATAACAGTATGCAGATGCACTAGCAGTACTTCAGTATGCGATAAAGTCCTCCACCTGAGGCATTCATCTACTTGCTTCTGACTATTATCATTATTTACTCTTGCTTCCTCGATCATGGAGAACAAGAATCTTCTATTAAAGTGAGCCTTATTAACGTAAGCTGCTTGACAGAGATTTCGCAAATGAAGAGGACTGAATCTAGTTTGTAGCACTTAGTACAGAACTGAATCAATCTTCCACTTTCTTCGATTAGTAGCCGACATTTCCCTTCTCAGTTGATGTTCAATCTTCCAAGATCAATTAGTGGCTGCGCCATAGGTTCTAGGTCCTCCTCCAGCTTCAGGTCCGCGTACTGTTGCGGAACTGTGGGTGCCACCGGTGCATGCGAGAGCACAACCTCCACGTTTAGGTTAGAGTCATGCGATGTTCACGCATCAATCACTGACTGATCATCGGTCAACTGTGTCGGTGAAATTACGCAATATCTTTCAATATGAATCTTTTTCAGAAGTAGTTGCAGTGAGTCCTGGGTAGTATTTCGTTCGCGGTCATAACATTGGGAATCACATCATAGTCGTGCACCCGCCCGAATCGCTTCTCCCGTATCTCGGCCCAGGCATCGCCATCCGCGGATTTTATCTCACAGCCATATCTGTCGTGTTATCTTTTGATGTATTTTTTCTACAGAACTGCTCACGACTCCGCACAAGCAGTCGCTTTTGAATACTTCGGTCTCTCACTGTCGAACATGCATTGGTTCGAAAAACTCAAATTCTTTTCGCAAACTTATTCAGAGGACGAGCGATAACTAAGAAAGCGCTATTCTAATTGAGGTTACTCGCTCATTCTAAGTGTTCAAGTACTTTTGGTTTTGTTGGCTTCCGAAAGGAGCACACAAGCTGTCACCCCACCAAGGCTTCCAACTTGTACCGTAAAACTTGACACCCATGATCGTTTTCTCCTCATCAATCAAGATCTTAGAGACGAAAACGAAAGCAGAAGTGATAGTATCAGATACTAGTGGTCGAGTATCTGAATCTGTATGTGTCAAGTAGACGAAAAAGATGAGTTGCGAACGAGTGTGTATTTTCAACGATTTAGATTGTGCATCATAAGATAATGAATCTGCTTTGAAGCGCCTTCGTCATCCAACTCGGACAGCTCCCCAAGGAGTTGTATGAGAGTTCCAAAGAGAATCCACATCCAATATCACCTTCAGCTCCGATGTGTTTTCTACAAAGAAAAGCTCGATAAGAGCATATGAAGCCGGCTTAGCGACCGACTGAGTGAGTGACTGACTGACATCGTCCCCGGTGAGAGGTATAGCGCAATAGTTGAGAGATTGCATGCGCATCCAACGACTGCTTGTCCTGTTTGCAGGATACTGCCCAAATAGTTCAAAGTCTCAACCTGATTTGTTCAAATATGGAGGCTGCGTAAAGAACTAAGGGATACCAGATTGATACATACCTACCAAAAAAGTTAATTAAAGTTGTCTTTAGCTCGGCTATCTGATTCATTGAATGGCTCCGGTATTTGGTAACCTGAATTCGATCACAAGGATTCTCTTCTTGTTTTCCCTTATGATCAAAATCAGGCTACCGAATACCAGAGCAATACACTCATCGATCCATCTATAGAAGTACTGGCGTCAAGTCAACTAAGAACTGCACAAAAACGGTCTTTATTGCCGCCTCCTCGTCCTGGAAGTGCTCCGCTTAGCGGCTTTTGCCACTTGCTTCCTCTTGGTTTTTCTGTCTTTTTGTTTCGTTTCATGTGATTCCCCGCGCCCCTCCAGAGTCCACCGCGCCAGCCTGCAAATGTGTGCTGGGGGATTCTGGAGGGGCGCGGGGATTTGGAGGGTGCCCGAGGTTCTTGGCTCGCAACTGGGTGAGGGTTTTCCAGGAGGGAGCGCAGTAGGCGGCGAGTGTTCTGCGGATTCGCGTCATGCCCGGAAGGATTGAACTTTGTCCGGATTTTTGCAGTCCTTAGTTGAATTTTCTCCATTATAATATATGCTAGTTGTTGTATTCATTGCATGTCAAGTCTATCTGCCAACCCATCTAGATATCGTCCACTCGACCTCGAGCAACTACAAACAGCATAATCTTGTTCGACCAACTACAAACAGCATAACCTTGTTCCTCCGCTCACGCTCCCACAGAGTCCATCCAGGCCTTGCGACTGCGGAGCCTTTCTGCTGCTCTCTGTCTGGCTCATTCGGTTCGGTCTTACCAAGAAGCTCTTTCCCGTAAAGCCATCGCCAGGAGAAGGTCCCCGCTACCGTGGCCATTTGTTCAGCAGTTGATTAGATCTAGATGTAGTACTATGATACGTAAATGTATCACAGATACGAAGCCACAAGAGGCTCAGAAAGTCACACAGTTCTTCATACATGAAGATTAGGTTTCCCTCAGGAAATAATCAATGAATCATGTCCAACAGAAGATCCGAGTATTTTCCTGTTTGGCAGACTTCTCCTGTTGGCTCGCCTATTCGTGGCTGAGCGAGTCCAAAAAGAATCTTCATCAACATAAATGAGAAAGTAGCTAGTTATATCGACGTCTAGCGAGATGCGGGTCTGTATCTGTAAGGACGAGAGAGAGAGAGGTTCCTGGGTGGTTGATTAATAACAAGTAGATGGAGGCTAGTCTAAGTCAAGACGCTGTGAATCCATATATTTTCTGTGAGGTAGTAACTGATGCTCTCCCTAATTGGAAACTAACTCCTAACCCGCCTAAGTTGCAATATTACTGACAAGGGCATAAGAAATCAAAGAGCAAAATTACGTAGTGAAGATAAGTGTCAATATGGTAAGAAGTGGAAAATTATCAGGTGCTATAACTAGCAGAAATATAATTAAGAGCAATAAAATTCTGCAAACACTTCCCCTCCGAAACCTCAACCTCCAACACCGAAACCCACAACCTCCGACACAAAAACCAACAAACCCCAAACCCATGAACCCGCGAAACCCATGAAGCAAACCCATGAAACCCATGAAGCAAACCCATGAAACCAGGAAACCAGGAAACCAAGAAACCAAGAAACCAAGAAACCAGGGGACCAGGGAACCAGGGAACCAGGGAACCAGGGAACCAGGAAACCAGGGAACCAGGGAACCAGGGAACCAGGGAACCAGGAAACCAGGAAACCAGGAAACCAAGAGACCAGGAAACCAAGAAAACAATGCGAAAACGTGGAAAATTTTCGAAATTTGAAGAACTCAAATCCAAGAAATTGAATCGCAGTGAAGGCGCTGGCTTAAAGTCAAAAACTTTGGGGTCTTAGCACTTCACAATCGCAGAACTCAATCGCAAAACGACGACAAAACGTGGAAAATTTTCGAAATTTGAAAGACGCAAATCCAAGAGATTGAATCTGCGGGAAAGGGCTTACAGTCCAAGGCTTTGGGGTCTTAGCACTTCAAACGCACAGAATTCAACTCCAAAACGACGGCAAAACATGGAAAATTTTCGAAATTTGAAGAACGCTAACCCAAGAAATTGAATCCCAGGGCAAGGGCTTAAAATCCAGAGTCTTCGGGCCTTAGCACTTCAAACCCACGGGGTTCAATCTCAAAACGACGAAAAAACGTGGCAAATTTTCGAAATTTGAAAAACGCGAAGCCAGGAAACTGAATCGCAGGGAAAGGGCTTAAAGTCAAAAACTTTGGGGCCTTAGCACTCCAAGCGCACAGAATTCAACCCCAAAACGACGAAAAAACGTGGAAAAGTTTCGAAATTTGAAAAATGCAAATCCAAGAGATTGCATTTCAGAGAAAGGTCTTAAAGTCAAAAGCTTTGGGATCTTAGCACTTCAAGCGCACGAGATTCAATCCCCTAACGATAGCAAGACGTGGAAAATTTTCGAAATTTGAAAAACGCGCATCACTTACATCGTTGCCGTGCTTAGTTTTTTATTTTGGGAGGGAGGGGGATCCTAGTGGGAGGGATGTTGTCAAACGCTCCAAGCTAGTCCTTTAGAGTTGTTGCACGCCTTTACTCACGGCTAGTGGGTTTGTAGCTGCATTGTTGTTGCTGGTGCTTTAGCTGTAGAAGAGATCTTCTAGTTGTGAGGTAGTAACTGATGCTCTCCCTAATTGGAAATGTGCAACTTTTTCACCTGAGCGCTGGAGACTTTATTTATTCGCGCATCGTGGTCGCCATTCACCATCACAAAATGCTGGAAGAGGTTTTTTTAGAGCAAAGAAAAAGCAAAAAAAATATTTATTTTCCTATTATAGTAACCATGAGTATAACACGTAATATTTTTCGCTTGATAAGTAAACAGGCGTGGGCCAACGCTTAAACAAACAGCTGCTAAGCCAAGTATCCTCTTCGGTAGGAAAAAAAGAATACTTCTAGACTCTCGACGGTACAGTGAGAATACGCAATTCTCGACGGCGTGAGAATATGCAGATCAGCTTTTCCTTATGTACGACTCTGTCCTTGGTCTTCTATCTTAGACTCGTCGAGACTCTAGTAAAAATAGACATGAAGATGTAGGATCCTGGACTAGAGGACCTCTTCAGGACGTATGCGTAGGAGCAGAGGCAGAGCCTTCATCAATGGGCATCCCCTACTTCTATCAACAAAACGACGCAGTTCTTCCTGAACAGCTTATAGGCGATAGCGTACTTACATGTAAAACTAGAGTATGCAGCTCGTGGAAATTGTGCAGGTACTACTTACTTACATCGCGAGAAAGCTTTTAGAATAGAAGTAGAACAACAGAATAGCCAGGAAAAGGGATGCGTTTAGGAGCTACATATTGCGCTCTTGGTAAAAAACGGACCCTCACTAGCAAAGCATAGTTTAGACAGTTACGCCAATGGGGGTGCATCCGGTGGCCATAATTCTTGCTTTTCAGGAACTTGACCCAATTGAGAAAATAGGCCAGCGGATCCTCCTTTTCCTTGTCTGTGCCCAGTGTTTCCGAAAACATATTAGCATTGACAAACAGGAGGACTAAAAAGGTGAGTTACCTGATCGTATTCTTTGCAATAAATATATTAGTCATGCTTGTTATGCTACAATGAACACGACTTCTGCGTGAGCATATGCTGTGAAAAAACAAGAACGCAATTCAGAGAGAGAAAACTTGTTAAACTTACTTTGGTTCTCAAACTCATGATCCTGCGAACTCATCTACTTGGTCAAAAAACAAAAAGTAACAAAAACCTGTCATAAATTAGAGCAAGATCGAGGCTCGATTTGATGACGCTCCCCATCAATCTTTTCTGGTAATTGATGCTGGAATAATCGAAATTTTGCGACTTTCATAGACGAGACCAACGTCAGCACGAATGGTGCTACAAGAACATCAGACTACTTGGGTGACGGACTGCTCCCCCGAAGTGCCTAGCACTCACGAAGCTCATGCGGTAGTACAACAGCACGTAAGTGGGAGTAGAGTACTCTGAGTAATACCTTCACTTGTCTTCTATGATAAAAAGCCAAGAATTCATCTATCAGTGTTTCCAACATTAGCCTTAATCTGGAACTTTCGCATTGTAGGAGTAGTCACCGGTAAAAGCGTAGATATCCGCTTTCGGGGGCAATGAACGAGGCAGACGAGATAGTGACAAAGATTTTTGCCAATACTTTGGTATCCATTTTTTTAGCAAGAACGTCAGGTGTGAGTATATGCGCGGCATTACCACAGTTGGTGAACTAGTGCGGTGCGTGCTGGGGTCGTCGAAGAATACAATATCATAACGAACACCACCACACTGAAAAAGACAGAGCCGCCGGGCGGGTCTACTAGCACGGCGCGGGCACTGTTTCGCCACACCAGCGAACGCCTGGCTCCAGCTTTCGCGTGGTCGAGGCTTTGCGCGATGACTCGAAGCCCACACAAAACCAAGCGCGACGCGAGCCTCAGGCCATAAGTACGGCCAGAGGCTCACGCCCCGTCTGGTTCATTGATTCGAAGCACCAAAGGAGTGCGGACGCTGCTGCACGGTCCAGCCCTTGCGGGTGTGGGCCACAACCCGCGCGAAGTGCAAGCCGTGGTCCAGGTGTAAGCCCGGCGGGCTCTTTCTTATCTATGGCTCAGGATCTCTTGGGCGCCGAGCGGTGGCCCAGGCTTGCTACACAGTCAGCCCACAGAGTGCCGGGGCATACCGCGGCACCACGCACGCAGTCCGAACCCAACAGAAAAGCGCAAAGCGCTGACCCCAAGCCGCAGGCCAGGCGCTGCCTGTATTGCTCTGCTCTAGATTCATCCCAGACACAGAAAGGCAGCCCCTGGCATGCGCCTGCCCACCGTCCATGCATGTGGTGCGGGAGTCGATCCGCTGCGGCTCGAAAGCAAGCGAGGCTTCCTATGCGGAGGCAGAGGCCAGGCGCCATCGCCAAGCCATGCATGGCCCCTGCTAGTTTCTTTGTCTTGGTTCCTCTGGTCACCGCATCGACTGACGCAGCACGAAAGAAGCACACACCCGAACACAAAAAAGAAGGCGCGCGGCGCTGGCTTCAAGCTGTGGCCCATCTTTCACCTGGGGTGGATTCTTCTGCAGAATGTGGACACAGCGGGGCGCGGTGCTTGGACTTATCGCGGCGCGCCGGGGGCGACCCGAAATCCGCAAAACAAGTATGGACCGGAGGCCGCGGCCGCAGTGCTTTCTTTTCTTTGTTTGGTCTGCATTCATCGCCTTGCACGATCCCCCAGACAATCAGAACGACGCCAGGCTGCGGCCCGCCGCTTGTCCAGGGCCCCCCTGGCCCCTGCAAAAAATTCCACCCGCGCAAGCCCCGCGCGGTGTAGGTAAATGCAGAGCGAAAAGACCCACGCCGGAGCCCCGTTAGCTCGGAGCACACACAACACGAAGGCCACAAGAATGGTCAGAGCTGGCATATTTTGGGTCGGCTCCTTTGCATTAATATCGACCCACACAACAAAAGGGGATGCGGGCTGCGTACACTATAGCGCCAGAGTGGGCCTTTTGTGGGTTGGAACTCCAAGCCCACACAAGGTCGCCGGCGCGGGCTCCGAGCGGTGCGGGCAGCATTTGGCTAAGAAGCGAGCGCAGACCACGGCCCCAGGCTTATGCATTTACTTCAGCTCATTAGAGGAACAAAGAAAAGAAGCGGGGACAGGCTTACCTGCATGAAGACCCATCGAAGAAAGAGAGCCGCCCTGCTCCTGCTGAATCCCGAGGGGGCTCCCGTGGCTGGTCTTGTTCTATTGTTCAGAGCCGCGCAGGCTTGCTTGGTGAGGCTCAGTGGTATGACGCTAAACCCACGCAAGGCTGAGCGCAAGAGGCCTACTCACGCCGTGGTCCCTCCGAAGAAGTGAGCTCAGCCAAGCCAAGGCGGGCCACTCTGTCTGCGTACTCATTCAAGACACTGCTCCGCCCATGCTGGCGCTGTTTGGGTTGCAGCTCGAGGGCCTACGTTGCCGGCCGGGTTTGGTCGCCTTGGATTGCTCTGCACAATTCGGGGAAAACTCGAAGAGTGCCTGGACAGGTCACGGCCTGCAGGCTTGTCGTTGCTTGCCTTACCGCTCGAAGCCAGCCAAGGGCCAGGGCTTCGGGCGATCGGATAGAGAAGCCCTGGAAAGCTAGACTTTCACAAGGGGGTTACAAAGGGCGGCCTAAATCATAAGGGGCGGCGAACTTCATAAGGGGGGGCTGTAAGGGTGTCACAAGGGTCTTCAAGGGTATCCCAACCAAGGGGAGCGCACAAGGGTCATAAAGGTCTTCATAATGGTTCAAAGGGGGGCCTAAGGGTAGGGTGGGTCAGGCTCTTACAACGGTAAGACAAACGTCTTTATTATTGGGTATGCTTTAAGGCTGGGCGGTACCTCCCCCCCCCTGTGGTCTGGTCTGTGGTGGCGCGCGCGCGCACTTTTCCGCGCTAATTCTCGCAGATTCTAGTGGTGAAAGGCGTCAGAACTTGGCACAGTCGGCCCCTTGCGCCTCTCGGCGTGTCCCTACGGGACCCCCTGGCCTCTGCTGACCACCCTCGCAGGCGGGAGGCCTCCGGGGTTGAAAGCCGCCGAAGGCGGCCACGGTCGCAAGTAGAGCCAGCAAGCCGATGACCACAGGCCCGGAGGGTACAAGCTGCACGGCTCAGGGGGTCCAGTCCCTCACCTTTTGCCGCCTTCAGAGGCCTTCTAGTGCCGGCGCCTTGCTGCGGCAGCGAAGCATACTGGAGGCACTTAGGGCACAGGCACGCACCTGGAAGGAGGCGCAAGCGGTCCCGTGGTTGGGCCCCTTTTGAGGCCTTCCACCTACGTCGGAGGCCTCTAGGGGACAGCCAAGCACCTGGAAAGAAGCAGAGGCGGCCCCCTGGGCCCCTCTTGAAGCCTTCCACCTGCGTCGGAGGCCTCTAGGGGAAATCCAAGCACTTGGAAGGGAGCGGGGGCGGCCACGTGGCCCGCTTTTGAGGCCTTCCACCTACGTCGGAGGCCTCTAGAGGAAAGCCAAGTACCTGGAAGGGAGCGAAGGCGGCCACTTGGCCCCCTTTTGAAGCCTTCCACTCCCGGCAGACGCCTCCAAAAGGTGTCCGGGGCTACGGCACCGCCCCCCTACGGTAGGGGGGGATAGCGTAGCCCCAAGCGCTGGATCATATATTAATTATTATGCAATTCGACATTTGGTACACATATGATTGGTCGTGATCAATAGGAGTCGTGACAAAGCAGAATTTTGAGTAGCAAGCGAGTAAGTAAATGTAACACGACTGAGCATGTTGCTGTAAAAAAAGGTCTGATCCATTCTTTTTCCTTTACTCTACGAGCCTTGATGCCATAAGAGATTGCCCTGGTACATGTTGTAAAAATCCCAGTGAAGTCCTTGCAGGTCCGAGATGTGGTAGATTGTTTGCGCCCTTCCTTCAGCAGCACCAGAAGCAGGCGCAGGAGGCAGGGTTTAGAAAATCATGAGGATTCTGTATTCCGATTTCAAAGAGTATTTCTGATTCTGACTGTGCGTATAAATCAAATTTAGAAAAAAGCTTCAGAGTCTTTCATAGCGAAAATGCGTGATCCTCTGAGAATACAGCATAAATACAGATTGGTGACACGGAGAAGAGACGAGTGCAATACTATTATCGACCCAACGGGTATTAAGAGGTATACTCATGGGTAACAGTGAGTATTGCGCAACGATCGCAACGGCGATAACGTTGACTCAACGCCAACGAGGGCTGCTCATATAGAATAGATCTGAGTCTGAGTAGTAGTACTGGTTGTAGTAGTCGTAGTAGTAGTAAACCCAATCCAGGGGTACGTCTGAAGTTATTTGCACAAGGGGGGAGAGGGGAAGTGTTTGGGTTGTAGCTCTACTTTGCTTTATTTGTTTTGTTTTTGTTTTGATACTGATACTATCGATCTTAAATTATTCCCAGGAAAAGGAACTATGATGAAGAAGCTTATCTCTAGTTCTAGCGATTGACTACAGCATAAGCAGGAGGATCAGGCTCGGCTGCAGTGGCAGCCTCCTCAGAAGCATCAGCATCAGGAGAAGTGGAAGCGGGAGCGGGAGCGGGAGTGGTAGTGGGAGTGGTAGTGGGAGTGGTAGTGGGAGTGGTAGTGGGAGTGGTAGTGGGAGTGGTAGTGGGAGTGGTAGTGGGAGTGGTAGTGGGAGTGG